GTGTCGTACAATACGAGGGTGCACGCTTGATTCCAGGCCACTCGGACACAGTCATCTTGACCCTGGTCAAAGACACCCTTGACGATGCCACACCAGATACATGTACGTGATTGGTCCTCCTACTTCATCGCACGCGACCGTCAAGGATCTGCATCGAGCTAGCTTGTCTAGTATCACCTTCTGTTACTGGCAATGTTGATACATGACACCCTTGTTTGCTGGCCTGCGTGCAATACCCTATTGGCAGACACGTACGGTCAAATTCGCAGCTGCTCAATCCGTCGTGCCTACCAGCCGGATGTTCCAGCGTCTGGCAAGTCCCATCATGTGGTCTGGTTTTTGCCGGACCAGCGGGCCTTTGAAGCTTGGCATCGTCCAACATTCAAATATGACTGACCCCGATTCCTTGATGTGGTTGATGTCTAGGTGCCAAGGGGGCCTTGCAACGCAGCCAGTCGCAACCCACGGGATCTGTGGATGACGATCTCCTTGCCAGCCTTGACCAGGCTGAGGCAGCCCTGCAAACCCTCTCTAGCCCTTCCCACCGCGCTCGTGCACCGCGTCGGCCACCCTCGTCCCGTCGTCCACTGGTCACAGTTTCCAGTGTGGCTGATCCCGAGGCCGAGGTTGATGAGTCGGATGCTGTTGAGGATGTGATGGCTTCCTTGGTTGCCACAGCCGAGACCAGCGCACCAGCGCTGGACGCCGATGGCGCCAGCATGACTGTCATGGAGCGCGCTCGGATGCTACCGGAATCAGAGCCGGCTTTATCCAAACCCCTTGCCGCCGCCGTGGCAGAGGGAGCTCTGAACTCGCACCGTGCTCTTTTAGCCACACAATACATGGATCGAGAGGTATGTTTACCGTCACTCTCCCCTCTTCTCGTCGACATCTGAGCCGACAAGCCTGCTGCCCTCACAGTCTATCCCCGTTGTCATTGTCCTGCATCCCCGGTTCCTGGGTGGCTGGCTGGTATTTGACGAAATCTTTTAGCTTCGCAAACTGATTGCGCTCATCCAAAAACGGGGCAAGGCTCACGGTGGCAGCGAGTGGACCATTCGCTTTGGGCAGCTGCAAACAGCGGCTATGAACGTCTTTGGAATCTCAGTGCGTCTGAACCCCTCATTGTTGTGCTCGGCTGCTGCTTGACGCACCAGCACATGGCTGATGGCACGTGTAATCTGATACGTGTATGTGTGTGTGTGTGTGTGTGTGTGTGTGTGTGTGTGTGTGTGTGTGTGTGTGTGTGTGTGTGTGTGTGTGTGTGTGTGTGTGCGCGCGCATGTGTGACTGTGTTATATAGCAACTGATTGGTCTGCTGAAGACGGCCCGCACGCGCCATATTGTCGCGTATCATGCGGACGCCTTAGTCAAAGGTGCCAGCGATGACGTCGAAATCACTCTAAAGCAGACTAGCCTTCCGGACAGCAGCACAGAGACATGTGCGTCCTTGCCTCGGCTGGTTGCTGGCTTGCTTTTGGGGATTTCAAAGTCTACCTTTCTTGGTCTGATGGCAGTGCCCATTTCGTATCAATTTTGCCGGCTGAAATGTCATTTATAGATACGTTTCAGCAACTGCGTCAAGCGTCTCTGCGACGTCCAAGGCGCAGTGTCTCTTCTGCATGGGCATCCTCGTTTCGCACCTCTGTCCGCGGTCGCACCAATTCACGTGCAGGTACGCCTTTTGGATGCTCAGACTTGTAAGGATGCGCGATAAACTAGGGGACTGTGTGTGTGTGTGTGTGTGTGTGTGTGTGTGTGTGTGTGTGTGTGATGAAAAGGCCTTTGTCACATGCTGACCTGTGGGCTGATGGGGGCAACCTACAGTGTATGATGAAACGCTGGCACGAAAGCTCCAAGAGCTCGAGGCCGAACGACAACGCGCCGACGTTGCACGCGCCGACGCCCAGACGAGAATTCGGGATCTTGAGGATGAGCTCATCGTCATGAAGACTGAGGTTGAGACATTGCAGAACGAGCTCGAAGAGCAAGCTGAAACCCTGGGCAGTCGCATCGAGACTCTGACGGACGAGCTTGAGATGGAGCGCACGGCTCGCCAAGAGTACAAAGTCTCTCTGGAGTCTGAGCGCATTCTTCATCAGCACCAGACAGAGGAGCTCAAGCGTCGTGTGGCTGAGTTGGAGGCTGTCCAGGACAGCAACGTGGATCTCAAGGAGCATGAGCGTCTCATTCAAACCATCCAAGCCGAATTGCGCACACAGGTGGAGCAGCGCCAAGCCTTGGAAGTGGAGATGGCAAAGATGAAAACCGGGTATGAGGCCAAGCTGGAGACAAATCGCCGCGTCTTGGAGCAGGAACTGCGCGTGCAAATTGAAGCCGACGTGCAGCAGCAGACAAAGGAGATGGTGCGTGCTAGTGTTCGCCGCCAGCTGCCTGCCAAACCACAGCCTACGCCAGCCGCGCCGGCTGAAAAGGCGACGGTGGCTCCACCTGCTGCGCAAACGCGAGGGCCAACGCCAGTCGCCGCACCCACCGTCACTACTGCCGCGCCCGCGCCCACGCCCGCGCCAGCCACATCAACCGCTGCCTCAAGCAGTATGGCGGATCGTTTTGCACTTCTGCGCCAAAAAGCGGCTCGCCTTCAGCAACAGACAGCAGCCACTAAGGCTCAACAAGAAATGCTGCCTGCCACCGAGGACGAGACTGTGGAAGCCGTGGCAGACGTTGTGGCCAATCTCAAGGCGCAGGAGGCACGGGGTTTGAGTAACACTTCTAGCCTGGGGCAATCAGTGCGTCGAGGCCAGTTCCCAGCCAAGCGCGCCCAGGCTGCCACCCAATTTGTCGACAACGAGGTGAGCATGCTTGTGTCGACAGAGCGGGCCAACTACGCTTGGGTAACAAAAGCAAAAGGGAGTTTGCCTGAGCCAGAACAGGGCAAGAAGGTTTGATCTCGCTTCCTCACCTACCACAAACCCCGTGTGTCCTTGGGCCCCAGCTGCGCAAGCTGATCAATGCCATCAAGACGCACGGCGCCGAAACTGGCGGTCAATTCAAGGTTACTTTCGGACATCTCAATGCCAAAGCCGGCAGCGACTTTCAGGCAAGCGACACCATGATGTCGGGCAAGGCTTGTGATCTTGTGCCTGTGTCTGTGCAGCCACTGTGGGACATATGCCAATTGCCGATTTAGTTGTATCGTCATCTGATTCTCGCTTTATTTTTTGGTTTCGCTTTTGTTATTTTAAATAGGTGCTGACCGGAACTCTTCGGAGTGCAAAGAAGCAAAAGGTGTGTCGCGTGATCGTGGGCTGTTGGCTTCTTTCAAGCAGCCTGCAACACCGCATCACTAATCTTTGCTGGGGTTGGCCATAGATCGTTGGCTACGAGGCAGAAATGGTCTTGGCAGGGATCCATGATCGCATGGAGATCACTTTGTTGAGCGACAACATTGCCACCAACGACCTTGATCGCTGTACGTCGCAGTGTGCTCTTCCGAGTGCCCCTTGCAGCTGGTCAGACCTGAATGATCTTTTTGTTTGATCTCTTGCCTCCTCTTCTTCCGCCCAGATACATACGAGGATATCAAAGAGTGTGCTGCCGAGTCACGGGTGCAAGAAACTGTCGAGAAAGCTCGGGCCAAGAGCATTCGTCGCTCACAGCAACGCCAGTCTTCAGCCTCGGGCACTGGAGCTCGATCTTCTCCGTTGGGTCAGGGACGCGGTCTGAGTGCAGGCGCATCACGACTTTCCGTGCGCGTTCCCAGTGTGCGCCGGTCAGTCTATGGCGCAAAGAGCGCGGGGGTCGGGGCTGGCTCAACAGTCATGCCTGCAGCCGATTCGACGCCCATTGAAGCCTCAGAAGAGGCTGTCGCAGACGTGATGGCCAGTTTGGCGTCGTTGCACCGGCGGGACGAGCGCCGCAAAAGTCGCCAGCAAGGCCCCGCGTTGTCTGGTCAGTGTGGGCGTGTCCATTGGCTTGGGATTGAAACATCCAGTTCTTCTTTGGCACTGCACTCGAATCTCATTGCGCTATGCTGATCTTTCTATCTATGCAAATGTGTGTGATGGATGATGTTTAGCTGTCAATGAGAATGAAGCATCTGAGGTGCCCGATACATCGTCTGTAATGAGCCGTCAGCTTCGTGCTTCTGTTCGGCGCGGTGAACTGTCGGAGAAGCGAGCCATGCAAGCGACGCGCTGGGTTGACAAGGAGGTTTGTTGTTGTTGTGCCAGCAACTGCGTGCGTGTAGCAACTCAGCTCGATGGGTATTCATCATTCTGTTTGCGATCCATCTGCAGATTCGAAAAGTCATCAAAGCCATCCAAACGCATGGCACACCGGGGCCCAACGGCCTGCACGAGGTGGCATTCGGCAAATTGTTTGGCGAGACGCAGAATGAGTTTGAGGTGTGTTGCTTCACAATTCAAGTGTCCTTGCATTTGTTTTCAGGGCTTTGATATCGTTGCGTGTTTCGTTTCTACCCTCTGTTGCCAAAGGCGAGGGGCCGTTGAGGGATTCATTTGCTCACTTCCACGGGGCATTTTCGCTTTTAGGCGCTGACTGGCACGCTACGCACAGCCAAAAAGAAGCAAGTGGTGGCATTTGATTCAGAAATGCTGTTTCAGGGCCAGCATGACCATATCATGATCAAGCTTCTCAAAACTTCGATTCCTGATTCCGACCTCAACAGCTGTCAGTCATAGCCGCCCGATCGTGCCTTGGTTGTAGAGCACGCTTGGAAGCTGTTTTTTTTTTTTTTTGCGCACATGGAGCTGGCAGGTCGCTTACGCCCTCCCCCACTTTTTCTCTGAACAATTTGTTTTTATGATCACGCAGATACCTATCGCGAAGTCTCGTTAACAGCCAGCAAGCGCAAGCTGGGCAAGAGCTTTGGCTCGGCCAGTCTACAAAGTATGATTGAGTCTCAATGATTCTGGCGTGGCTTGAGCCTCGCAGTTCGTGCCACTTGAAAGTTTGTCCAAGCTCACCTCACGTGAACTATTGCCGTTTTATGCACACCATTTGTAGCGTCCAACAGCAAGTGCCATGTTTGTGGCAAAACTGTGTACCCAATGGAGTTTGTGGGTGCATCAGACAAGGCATTTCACAAAAACTGCTTTCGGTGCACCGTTTGCAAGACCATGTTGCGCACCTCGGACTACGCCACTGTCAATGATCAATTCTACTGCAAAACTCACTACGAGGCCGCCTTCAAGGCCACGGGCGGTAGCTACGCCTTTTAAGTGACTTCAAATCCGCCACTGCAAGAATGAGCTAGAAGCAAACCAAAAGCTGAGTCACCTGCAAGTGTGCATGCAGTCTCTGGATCGGAGAATCCATTTCGTGTCGTGTTGTTGGAAATTGATGTTTGCTCGTCCCAACCAAGTCGAAGCTGTTCGTCACGACCCCGCCAACTTTCAATGACGAGTGGGAGGCGCAGACCCCATGATAATCAGAATTTGATGACAATTTGCGTTCACACACAACACACACACACACACATACAACACACACACACACACACACACACACAACACAACACACACACACACACACACACACACACAACGTGGTCTCGGTCTCAATTTGTTCGCATACGTCAAAAGGGCTTTGCATTTGGCAGAGGGGTTGAGGTTCAGGTGTTGGCGTCGCTCGGCTCCTTGCGCTCTTGTGTCTGACGCATGGTCTCGGAGGGGCCTTTTTGATCCAGTTTGCAGTGCATAGTTTGACAGCCAGAGTAATTCCGGCGACATCTTCGCCAGAGGGGTGCCGGGTTCACGTGAAAACCCACCTTTGAACTGCGGACCTGACACATCCATACTTGCGCTGCCATGGCCGACGACGAGGTGGTATCAGCGTCGGCGGGCCCGGCACCTGTGCCGGTGCCGGCCAAGGCTGCCAGCGTGAGCCAGTCGGCCCCATCCAGCAACAAGAAGAAAAACAAGAAGAAGAAAGACAAGAAGAAGACGAGTGCTCCCGTGACAGCACAGGTCTGACTCATGGCCAATTCCGATTCAAGCGTCAACTTTCGCAAGAGATTCTCTCACGAGCGGCTGGCCCTCATCTTTGCTGTGGACATTTGGGGGGCGTCAATAGGCAAGCAACGTTCAGGACACTTTGCCAACAACAACCGAGTTGCCTGCCGAGTCATTTGAGGCTTGTTTGCAATGGTGCATCGAGCAAGTTGAATGTGGCTACAAACTGCAAAAGGGTATGTGGAGGGTATTACGGCCAGTCTGCTCGCACTTGAGGCCGTCGCTGGGATGGAGATGACTGTGTCTTGCCCGCGGTCTTTGTGGTGTGGGTATTCTGGCCACGCGGATAGGTATCCGCCCGGATACTGCTTTGGCCGTCCTGCGCTCTGAGAGTGCATCGAAAGTTCGTTCCGGCCAATTCTATCCATGCCGACTCATGTGCCGTTGTCTTCTTGCGTGAGGAAGGGTGTCATGGTGTTTTGATGCTTGAGACTGGAGGATGCGATACCTCAAGGCTATTGTTTTCACCCTGGTTGACAGGTAAAGAAAGTTGGGATGATGAAAACCGCCTTTGGCGATTATCGTCGTCTCATGCGCACACTTGGTCGACCCAAAGCACCGGGGGGTAAGCCCATGTTCGCGTTCTGCTCCTAGCCAATGGCCATTGGCTTTCATTTTGCCATTGCCGTCTGTGGGTGGGTTAAGAGTGTATTTGTGTGCTGGCCCCGTATGCATGTCTGATCGGCCTGCCTGTTGTTTTTGCCCATCCCACCATTGCGGGTGTCAGTCCGTGATATTCAGGTGACCAAGACATCCCGTAAAACGCGCACCTCCGATGCTGCTGTCTTTTATCGGTGCGGGGAATAAACGGACGTTGGCTCTGTCGTAGCTCTTGTTGGTTTCAAGGTTGTTGTCTGCTCATGCTAATGGATGCTCGTGGGGGGCCATGTTTGCCGCATTAATGGGTTGACAGTTTGTCTTCGGCAAAGTCCAACCCTGTTGATCGACAGGCTGCGCTGGCACGGCGTCAGGCTGCGCGGCGCGAGCTCAAGGGCGAGGCGGACCGCCCCAGTATCAAAGAACCTGCACAGCCGAGTGTTCTGAAGCGTGCGGACCCAGCGTGGCAACATGAGTTTCGTAGCTCACCTGTGCAGCCTTTTAGTTTTGGCTTTGGGGGCGGGGCTCCCGCGGCCCATGGCTCGAATAAGGCGGGCAACGTTTCAGCTGGGGCAGTGGAGAATGCGGCCGACATAGAGTCACATACTTCATCTAGTGCCACTCCTGGCAAGTCCCTGGCCAGCCTATTTAGCCGACAGCTGACCCTTCGCACCCCACCTAGTGCTGCTCCGGCAACAGCCCAGGAAGATGCTGTGACCTCGGCTCCAGTCACGACCTTCTCGTTCAATTTTGGAAACTGAGACAAATTGCATCATCTTTTCATGCCTGCATGGGATTCACCGGCCCGAGAACGGCCTGGAGCGAGCTTAGCGGTCGTCTACGTGTAATGTCTAAGCTTGATGTGATCTGGTTCATTCCCTTTAAGCATTCCATGATGGGGTTCGCAGGGCAGATGATTCAATGAGCAACCTCATCTCGAGGCATGCAAGCATCCACGTCGACAAGAAAGGTTTCAATCAATTTTCATGGCATGAACGCAGACACACAGGGCATGCCATGGACAGCAGCGAGGTTGGCCCAGAGGACAACCAAGCAAACAAACGAAAAACCAGTAAGTCCGGATCGCAAAACACACCACGAAAAAGGCAAGCGGGCTGAGCTCAGCCGACAGGACAGGCCCGGGACACAGGTGGTAGAAGAGCAAAAGCATAACGGAAAACAAACAAAAACTATCTGCACTCTCTGTGACAAACACAAACACAAACACACACCCACATGGACGCGCGCACACACGTACACGTACACACACACACACACACACACACACACACACACACAAACAAAAAACCCAAGGCCAGGCCAGGCAGGGATAGGGCAGGGCACTGCACATCCAGCCAATGGCGGCTAAGCGGACGCTCGGTCCCTGCGGATGAAAGACCGTAGGCACCCGTCTCAGCGGCCAGGCCAATGAAGCACCGACATAACAGACACGAGCAGGTTGACACGCGAAAAACAAACATATACACAGGCTCACACGCACACGCACACAAGAAGAAGGAGCATGTTCGTGTCGCTGGTTGGGCACTTGGGAATCGGAGTCACAATCAGGAGCTCAGGCCGCGTTTACATGGCACAGCCGTCAAACCAAGGGTGTGTCAGAGCCTGACGGGCAGAGATGCGCTGCGAAGGCTCGTAGCGCAACATCTTTTGAAGCAGGTCCAGGCCCATGGCATCAAGGCCAGGGATGAGACTGGCCAGACCTTCACCACTCCATCGAGGAAAGCAATCCTTGTAGTCCGGAAGCTGGGAGACACCAGGCCAAGTCTGCTCGGTGGGGGTGCCGAGGACACGGAAAATACGGAAGAGCTCGTCGATCTCAGAGTCACCGGGGAAGAGGGGGCGGCGAGTGACCATCTCCGCGAAGATGCAGCCGATGGACCACATATCGACAGGGCAAGCGTACTGGCGCTGGCCGAGCAAGATTTCGGGAGCACGGTACCAAAGGGTCACGACCTCGTGGGTGTAGGCACGGATGGGAATGCCAAAGGCACGAGCCAAGCCAAAATCGGCCAGCTTAATGAAGCCCTCGCGGTTGATGAGCAGATTCTGGGGCTTGAGGTCACGGTGCAGAATGCGGCGAGCATGGCAAAAGTCGATGCCCTTGAGGAGCTGAAGCATGTAGGACTTGATGAGCTCCATGGAAAGGCCGTTGCGCTGCGAGTCGATGTGCTTCTTCAAGTCTTGGTCCAAGAACTCAAAGACAAGGTAGAGTTTGTTCTCAGAGTGAATCACCTCCATCAGGCTGCCGAGAGCGTTGAAAAGACGGGGGCGAGGGGGAAGGGGTTTTTGAGCGGCTCGGGCAAATCGTGGTGCGCTCGGCTGCGTTGCTGGGTACAACATACCTGACAACGTTGGGGTGGCTGAGCTCCTTGAGGAGGGAAATCTCGCGGATGGCGGTGCTAGGCACGCCCTCTTCCTCGGCCTCGAGCTTGATTTTCTTGAGTGCCACGAGGTTGCCGGTTGCCTTGACCTTGGCCTTGTAGACGGTACCGTAGGTACCCTCGCCAATCTTCTCAATCTTCAAATACTTCTCCATGATGTCTAGCGCAAGGAGGCACAAGACGAATGTCCACCAGCTGATGAGATACCTGCTTGAGAAGACTGTGCCTGGGCTGCTAAGACATGGACTCACCGGTAAACGGGCCAAGCCTGCTATTTGATTCGCCGCCCAGAGAGGCAGAAAGACAAGTGAGGTTGCAGCATACGACTGTCTTGACAAGGGACGATGTAGCCTGAGAACTTACGGTTCGTTGCAATTCAACTTGTCACCGACGACTAAGGAAAAAGAGCCCAAACACTCGAGCAAAAATGACGGTCGTGAAAATGAGCTCGCGGCTCACCAGTGCGATGCAGAGAGAGAGAGAGTGTGTGTGTGTGTGAGAGAGAGAGAGAGTTCGAAAGAGAGAGAGAGAGAGAGAGAGGGTTTGAGAGAGAGATTGAGAGAAGAGAGAGAGAGAGAGAGAGAGAGAGTTTCGAGAGAGAGACTACAACGTGCAACGTTATGACCGTTGAAAAATATTCAAATTGTCGGTTGATTGGCGGGAAAAGTTGAAATTGAATATGGGCTATTATTTGGGGCGCATAAATCATGATCCAGCACATACACGATTAAGTTGGTTCCGTCGCGACCTTTATCTGACATTTATGCCGCCGCAGGAAACACACAGCTCAGGATGGCGACGGACCGCATCAGTCAGATGCAGTCGATGCTGCACGACCTGGCCAAGCATGCCTACGATGCGGTTGGTGTGCTGCACACTGAGAGCAGAAGCACGGATGCGCGTCGGCGGGAGCTCCATGGGCATTTCAGCTTTCTCTTTGCACAAACAGTGAAGGACTTTGCTGCCTTTACACACCACCTGCCGCACATCCATCAATCCGAGGCTCACTTCGCCAGCGATCTGCGTGAGCTCCAGGAGCAGAGCCAAGGGGCAACGCAGCGCTTACAGGCCACCCTCCGTGAGGCTGAGCAACGCAGCGCTGATCTACATAGTCTTATCCATCACGTCTCGAGTCAGGTCTTCCTCGACGAAATGCCACCCAACCAGGCTCCGCCACCGCGAGTATCGGCAAGTGTTGCTCGAGCTGGAGACCCCGAAACCAATTCGGCCACCGCCACCGAGGCCACCGCCACCGAGGCGACCGCGTCTGCCCAAGACAGGGCTGCTGAAGGCATAGAATCTGGTGCCAACAAATCGCAAACCGCGTCGCCTGGTAGCCGGACTGAGGCGCTCTCAACAGAGGAACCTAGTGTGGTCATGGCTGATGCGCTTCCCACTGACGCGTCCGCTGGCGAGAGTGCCAGCTCAACGCCGACGACCGAGCGACGGTCCACCCGCACCGGAGGGCGCGGGCGGACACGCAGCAGTTACGCAGCAGGACCAGAAAATGGAGTCGAGGACGATCCAGCCCCGCGACCAAAACGGACCCGGCGTTCAACATCGCGTGCGTGAGGTTCTTTCTAGTGGTGCGCGGGTGCGCTCTTTGTTTTTTTCTTGACGCCCGCCTGCTGAGGCTAGCCTTGCAGGTTTTTTTTAAAAAACAAAACAAAACCAACCAAACCAGACCACCCCAGGCTGGGTGGCTTTTGCTTATTGTTCAACACCAGGGCTTCTGGAAGTTTTTTTTTGTGTCAGACCAGCAGGTTCAACGAGAGTGAAGGCTCCTTGTCAACCCCCCTCCTGGTCAATGCCTCCCTTCACCAACGCCTTCCAGTGTTTGCACGCCACGCGTGAGTTTGTGCTTTGTGTTCCAAGCTGCAGTTGCTCTTTATAGTGCTAGCAGTAAGTTTGGCGGAGTGCTGCATGACCCTGGGCAGCCAGTCCAGACAAATTGACAATCCGTAATCGACCCATAGGAGGCCATTGGCTTGTGCTGCCATCTCCTGGCTTGGCACCCATTGAGAGCCCTGTGAAGCTTCGGTATTCATCTAGTCAATGTGCACAGGTCAAATTGCCCGAGCTTGTGGTGGTAGGGCTATTGCATGTAGTTGTGTTAGGTATTGGCGCGTCAAAAGGGGCACGCGGTGGATCGAGATTGGATCGAATTCATCCTGGCAAACCAGGTCTGATTCACAAACAACAATGTGCTCCGTTTCCATCCATCAAAACCAGGCAACTTCAGACATCGCACGAGCCTCAACCCATGTAAGGCGATTGGTGTCCGGGTGACGAAGCAGGAGTCGCGTTGGCTGAGGTCCAACAGAGCGAGTGAGAAGGGCCATTCCACCACCCACGCCACAGCCATGCGTGTTGGTGCGCCCATCAACAACAAAGCCTACTAACTCAGCTCCCTATTTAGAGTCACACAAACGGATTGCATTTTAGATCACGTGGTGCCACAGAGCCAGCAAACTTATCCCCATCAACACCTGGAGAGTGGCTTACCCAGGCGAGCGCATTGGGGTGGTCGAGGTCGGGCAATGTGTGCTTGGGCAACTTGAGGAGAGCTGCTCCTCGATCCGTGTTGGGCAACGCAAACACGGCACACCGATCGTCCAGCTTGCCACGCCCGACGACTCGGAGTCGCTGCGCGCGAGAAAAAGCAAACAAATGTGAACAGCAGGGTCAGCAGAATGCCAAGCGTCAGGGCACACGCCTGGCATGCGTATCAAGCTACACACCGTCCAGTGCAGGGCCGGCAAAGGCCGGTCACGGAGATGTCCGTCTACTTGCTCGTTGTAAACCACCTGGGGCAGGGGATTGCCCCCCAACAGGGACCAATCAGCAATGAAGGGGGCGGCCACGTTCAATTTGCAATAGTTGAGACGCTTGGCAGGAGGTCGCGCCTGCCACCTGTGGTCGGCATCACCATAACCAAGACGAAAGAAATACAGCACAGGCGCCAACACGCGGGTGCAAGATCATAAGCATATCGGTGAGAAGAAGAAGAAGAAGAAGAAGCAGCTGCAGGAGCATCAGTGGCCTGGGCTACAAGAGGGCGCGACTCAACGCAGCTGTGACGTACCGGCGCTGTCGAGCATCGAGTTCTGACTGCCGCCAGGCTTCATACGCACTAGACCCCACACAATGATAGGGAAATGCCAGCTGGCCACTTTCCAGAGCCAATCGCCGTTCCTCAGCTTGACCATGAACGCGTGCTCCTGCGTGCACCAGCATCATCCAAAATGGCAACGCCCAGCGCCGAGGTACGATTAAATCCCAACCAGCACCAAATCCCAGGCGACCGCCCTGCGTGGTACTGGGAAGGGGAGTGGGGCGATAGCCAAATCAGCCGGACATGAGTTTCTCCACAACTGGACCAAGCCTTGCGCGACGTGAAACAGCTACAAGCGCGAGCATACCGGGCGCCGGGCTTTTGGATCAACAGAATGGGGACAATGCTATCGTGATCCCCGGGCTGCAGTGTGGCACCAGACACGGGTGCTGCGGCGCGCCTTTGGTTCAATTTGGCGACGTGGGCTTGTCCTTCGGAGCTGGCACGGCGTGAATCTTCCTCAATGAACCAGGCAGCAGAGGTAGCAGTCATACAGGTGGCTTCACTGGCTTGAGCTGGATCGGTACTAGTGGGCTTGGGCGAGCGTGCGGCCAGCCACTCTTCCTTGCGCTTCATCATCTGGCTTGGTGTTTGCAGGCGGGGGTCCCATACGGCCAGCTGGAGGACGGTGTTGGCCAAAATCACTTTTTCTGCGTCTGATCGGTTCAGCTCATTCCATGCACGCGTGCTCTCAGAGAGGATGCCAGAGGGCAAGCGGTCGCCTGCTTCGATCGCTGGTTGCAGAGCACACTGCAGAAGTTGGAGTGCTGCCGGTCCGCGGAGCCGAAAGCGGTTGGTGTATTCAGTGTTCACGTGGGTCAGCTCAAGGTCATGCGCAGCCACGGAGTTGCCGGCGGCGCCACGCAGCAGAGCTTCAACGACGGCCAGGCTGGCAGGGTGTACTGTAATCCAACACCGCCAACCGGCAGTACGGCTCCGCTCGGACCAAAAGTAGCTGATGGGGGCTACTACAGAGCCATCCGGATAACGCAGCAAAGCCGTCCATTCCTGGCCAGTGGCATGATACAGGGTGGTTGAAGCTGCAGCGTCGAGGACAGCAGCACCCGCACGATGGTCTGGCGCGTCCAACACAAGCGTCTGCATGAAGGAGGCATCTTGTATGGACACGTGGTCTCGGACGAAGCGGTAATTGACGCGTTCTGACTTGTCGCTGGGCTTTTGGGGCACATGAAAGCCCCACTGCTCCGCCATCTGGAAACGCTTGGCGTGCCATAGGTGCGTCTCTAGCCAGCGCTAAGGATGCGCAGCGGTCAGCAGCAGCAGCAGCAGCAGCAGCAGCAGCAGTGAGGTTGTTTTGACCGGCAAGCACATTCGATAGGGCTGGCTATTGGTGAGAAGAAGTGAGTTGATTGAGCATTGAAGCAAGCTAAAGAGTGCATACCACGCGTGATGAGCGAGCTTCAAAGGCCGCCCGCATGTGACGCGGGCGGCGCTTGTGGCGACGACTCTTGCTCGCATTGTCCGTGTCCACCATTTCCTAGCGAGGTCGAGGCACCACCGGCGGTGAGGTGAGGGGCCTTGAGCCAAACCCCATCTCACAGTGACGGCGAGGATTCAAGGGCCTACCCGGGCGGCAGCCGCGCGCAAGGCGACAGGCAGACGCTTGATATTGTGGCTGGTGGCCCGACGTCGCATGTGTCGCGGCAGTTGCTGGTACTAAAGCGGGGCGCCGCCACATGCCTTCATCAATGGGATAGCTCGAGTCAAATCTGAGGCATCTGAGGTCTGGATCATTGCCTTACGTACCGTTCGCTTGCCAGCGCCACTGCGTTGTTCCAAATCAGCCTCCATAGCCTTCATCTCCTTGGCACGGGCAGCAGCAAACTGGCTCACATCAATCCCGCGTGCCGTCAGCATCTTGGCCATCTTTGACTGGAGCACGACCATGGATATGCACACTTGGTGAGGCAGTTCTCAATCCCATGCAGGTCCTTCTCGCGTGCTGCTCTGGTGAGAGTGGCGGCAAGCCGTAGCAAACAGCGTCAACCAACGTTCAAACCTACCGTGGCGGCGACAGCACTGCTTGTGGCTGCGCCAGCGGGACCGGCACCATTGAACTCAGCCCCACCAGCTCGCTTCGCCATGCTGACAGAGCTTCGAATGAATGCCACACACACACCCTTCCTTCTCCACAATCCCCACCCTAGACTGGCAAGCGCTCCCAACGCCTTGACTGCACGAGGAGGCAGTGTCCAAAAACCGCGCCGAGCCCGACCAAACCGAGGATCCGTCAAGCCTGCTCACACCCCCTCCCTTGCCAGCCAGCCAGCCAGCCAGCCAGCCAGCCGATCATGTGGAAAAAACGTGTGTGACTTCCCCTCCTCGAACCAATGCATCTCTCTCTCTCTCACACACACACACACCACATTCTCCCATATCAAGATGTCAGATTGTCAGATTGTCAGATGATTATTGCTTGCGAGAATAATGTGCGCCATAACAACGATGTGTGTGTGTGTGTGTGTGTGTGTGTGTGTGTGTGTGTGTGTGTGTGTGTGTGTGTGTGTGTTTTGAATTTTTAGCGGAGACGGGGATCGGTCGGCGCCGCTGTGGACCGCTGGTCATCGCGCGATGATGAGAGGTTTGGGGGTTGATGCGTTGGGATAAAGACGGGCATACCGTCTCTCCATGGAACCCCTGGTTCTCGCTGTGCTTGATCGGGCAGAGCCCGATGCCCAAAGCGCCAAGCGAGGCCTGGTTCCGCTGCGGATTGAGGGGACCACCATTCGCACCGGTAAGCCATCCATCCCTCCGACGCGGGCTTGATTGAGACTTGGTGTGCATGCGGCTCACTCCGAAGCTTGCCCATATTTCCCTTGACAATTCACGCCTGGGTCCACGTGTTTTCGGATGTTGTTGTTCATTTGTGCTTCAACCTTGTAGAAAAGGAAACATGTCGCTTTGATCGAGTGATTGTACAAGATGCAGCCACGCAGCTCAACGAGGCCGTTCTTCGCCCCTTGCAAGCCTCATTCTTGCGAGGCTACAACACTGCTTTCTTTCTTTTGGGCGAGAGCTCTCTCAACGTTCCCGACCTCCTTGAAGGTGACACCCTTCTCTCCACACCCGACCCATGCTTATTGGACTGCCCACCCCGGCACGACCAGACCACATCAGCTCCTGCCACCTGTCACCCATGGCCTGGCCGTTTCTTAATGTGGGCCTTTGCCTTGTCATTGATGACTGACTCAAGCTGTGTGATGTTTATTCTCAGGGCGTCAGGGTCTACTAAGTCATTTTGTACAGGACTGCTTCACCCATCTCAATGATGGCACGGCCTTTAAACGTCCGTCTTGCGTTTGGACGATAAACTGGTTGAAGCAGGCAAAAATCTTGGATAGCAAGCGAGACGCTCACCGAAAATGTCAACTTGGCGAAAATTGCTGTAGTATCCTTGGCCGCTACGGAGATCCTCCAGGAAAAAGCTACCGACCTTCTATCCCAAGACAGAATGCCACTGCAAATACCGGAAGGTTCTCTTCCCGAACCCGAGCTGTTCACAGGCACACAGCTTCAGGTCGGTGGCCCAGCCACTACGCACCGTCTTGCTTTGGCTCGTATATGTTCCTCAACGATCTGGTCCGCTCCACCCTGTCAATAGCTGCGTAATGTCAAGGAGGCATACAAGATCATCGACGAAGCCATGGCGGCGCGCTCGGCTGACATTCAGCTGCGCGGCAAAGCCACTCTTGTTTTTACCATCCAGGTCTTGTTTCGCATTTGACTCCTCCAATTCCAATTCCAGACTTGTGCTGCACAGCACGGGCTCACGTGCTGGACCGCGGACCTGGTAGCTGACCCGCGAAGATATTCGCTCGCAAGCCGCCTTTGTCGTACTTGCCGGCGTCGAGGCGTTGGCCGTTGATGCGACCCGCTCACGCTTGCGTGAGCCTGCCGATGTGACCAAGGTAGTGCACAACTTCGCTGATAAAGTTTGCTTCTGTCTCAACCCCGCGCAGAACCACTGGCTCACACTTGGCTGTGGACACCGGTTTCCCTGTAACAGGGAATATCGACATTTGCCCGACTAGTAGAGAAAGCCGCTAGTATAAAATCTCCAGCTGTAGCAACGGCCGATCCGGTTCTTGCGCAACAAAGCGCCTTGACTCGGCTCACTCGGCCTCTGATTGGGGGCTTGTACCAAGTCGCGGTGGCGGCGCACTTGCCGCCTACACTGCAGCCAAGCACAGCACGTCTCCTGCGCTTGGCCACCGACTTTAAAAACGTAAGCTGCTGTTGTGGGCTGGGCCATTGTGGCACGTTGCAGTCAATTTAGGCTCCCAGGATCCCAGGTTTCCGATGTCTCTCCATGCCAATGGGCTCGGGGACGCTGTGGCACATCTTTGAACGAGCAACTTGTTGTTGATGCTTTGTGTAGATACGAAGCTACCCGGTGGTTCAAGATCAGTACCATCGCAACCTGCAACAAGCCTTGCTTCAGCAGCACCTGGCCCGTCTGGACGCCACCCCTCGTACTTTGGATGGTGGCACGACAGTGCGTAGTACCGCTCGAGAGTCAATACTTTTGCGGGGCCAGTTATGGTCTGCGTATCGCATCCCAACGAAGTCAAGCCCGCCCACCGCCCTGCTTGTTCATGTTCTTCTCGTTCTTGTTCTCCTCCTCCTCCTTCTTCCTTCAACGGCACCTTATTCCGGGAACAGGACGCAAGACGAGGTGGTCAAGCACTGCCTGATTTGGAGGGCCAACTCGCTGACGCACGCGTCGAGCTTTTTGCGTTGAAAAACGAGCAGGCCAAGCTACAGCAGCGGCTTCGCGAATGCAAAACTACCATCGATGCGCTCAGGCATGATAAAATGGAGCTCAATAGCGCGCTCATCATTAGGTGAGCATCACTTGCTTGGTGCTGTTGCAATCGCACTCTTCAAGCCGGCGCGACCGTCTTTCAACTCGCGATTGCATCTCGATTGCACCAAGGGAATACGTCTCACGGTCGTGGAGGGTTGACATGATAGTGAAGAGGAACGTCTTAACGTGAGTCAGGTCCTCGTAGACATGCAAATTGATGTTAATCGCGTCAAAGAAGAGGCTGAGACACGTTTGCGGGAGGACTCGACCAAGGTGAGCTGGTTCAGGGGCTCGCGGCACCGCCCCCCCCCCAATTTCGCGCCCGCGTAGGGCTCAAGTGATCGCCTCGCACACGATAAAGACCGCGCCACTCAAGAATACACGCGCCTTAAAACCGAACTGGAAGGCCTGCGCGCCGGACAGGCATCCGAAGCAGCCTGGGTTTTCAAACTTGAGGAACAGGCGTCTCGTATCACGGCCAGCAAGGTGAGGTTTGCTTCCGTCTGCAATCAGCAGTCTCTCTTTGGTAATTTGGTCTTTCTTGAAAATCTCAATCCCTGTATGCTCCGATTGGGCAACCCATCAGGCGGAACTCATCAAGGAGCGTGATGACTATGCACGCGAGCTACTGAGGGTTACAGGCAAACTTCCACCTTCTGCTGCAACGCCGACTGCCCAAAGCGCTCAACGCGATATCGTTTCGGTCCAGCAGGAACTGAATCAGCTACAGCGCATTATACGGGAGCGTTATAACCTCCAGCACCGCCAAGTATGTCGCTGGCTGCTCGGCAATTTTTGGTTCATCGCTTAGGCGGCGGCTCTTTTAACTTCCAGGGGCGTGTTGCGCTATAGCTGGAGACCACCACGAAACTTGATGCAGCCCCAGTTGGGGCGCTGCAGAACCAGGCGCTCGTTCGCCAAAATGATGAAGTATGCTTTCATGCCACGCCGCAATCATGGTTGTTGGGTCCTGTCGAAGCTGGGTTTCTTCTCCATTTGCTATCTCTCTCTCCCACCCGTCCCTTTTCCCCCCAACATTTACGTATTTTCTTATGTGCTCATGGTGCCTAGCTTCGGCGTGAGCTCGGCAAGACACGCGCGGCGGTCGAAAAGCTCCGGGGTCAGCTAGCCCGTCTCGAAGGGGCGCATGCTGAGTCACTGCAATCTTGTCGAGCGGCTTTGGAGCGTGTCAGCAAGTCTGACTCTTCTTTGGCCACGGAGGCTGCGGTTGAAGAATTGCGGGCGCTGCATCGTTCTGCGTACGTGGCGTTGCTGTACCTAGGAGTACTTGCTTGAAGCTGCTCCTTGTGCTCGTCTAGACCTGATGCGGTTTAATGCTTTTTGCAGTGAAGCACGGTTGCACGATCAGCTGCGTGAGCTGCGTGAGCAACATGAGACCCTCCAGCGTGAATGGGATGGACTCTCTGCTGCATACACAGGCGTCCGTGAGGTGTGCGAGCAGGCAGGCGTCGATCCTGGACCAGTCTTCAAACATGAGCTGTCCTTTCTGGATGAAAAGGACGAGGTATGTTTATTTGGTGGGCTTCCTGCAGTATCGCGATACGCAACCTTTGTCTGGCCTTTGACTGCATCACTTGTTGCTTGGGCCACAGTTGGCTCGCCTTCGTCGACAGGCTGCCGAACTGTCTCAGGCCTGTTTTGCGTTGAGGCAGGGTCACTTGAAATCAAACTCGAGCAGCGCTGCCAACAAGCATCTAGATAATCTGGAGCGTGAGCGAGCAACACTGCTCACGGCTAAAACCATGGCAGAACAGGTTGGCCCTTGCAGCTTGCAATGTTTCCCACACTTCTTGCGAATAAGACTCAGTCGTGAATTCCATCCTTTGCAGCGCGCGACCAAGCTGGAGACCATCGTCAAGAGGCTCATGAAGGAGCGTCAAGTGTCAGGTCGATGAGTTGCCGCAGCAATGAAGTTTAGGCCGAATGCTCATCATATTCATCGAGACATAATTAAAATCATAATATTATGACTACATGAACATGATTTCAATCCTCAATTCTCTGGGTACACACACTTGAGAGGCACGTGAAGGAAAGGCGCAAGGTGCTGCTGAAACAAAAAATTACACACAACAGCAAAGCACGCTGCATTTTAAAACCGCCTAAACAAAGTTGCGCAGGTTGATGCAACGCAGACTCCCATCAGGCCCAACTGAGTAGAGCAGCGACCCTACGAGGGCTAGATCAGAGGCGCGCTCGGAAAACATGCGACCACGTGTGCCGTGCACTTGATCCCACCGGCACCGCTCAGTGCCAGTGCGCGCGTCCCACAGCTACGGAGCAAAAGGAGTCACGAAGAAAACAAACGTACAAGTGAGCGAAATTTTGAGGCCCAAACCTTGTACGGAGGCACTCAAGCCAAGTCGCGAGCAAATCACAAAGACTGACCCGTACGGCACCGTCCAAACCCGTGGTGGTCACATGGTGGCCATCTTCACACAAGAGCATCTTCTGAACCGACCCATCGTGCATGGGCATAGTCTTGACAATGGACTGTGTTCGAATATCGAGCAGAGCCACATCTCCCTTTGAAGTACCACAAAGCAACTGCAAGCCAAACCACGTTCGAGTCATGATGAGACCAGTGGGAGCAAGAGAAGCAAGGTCGGTGTGGGAGAAGGGGAAGACCCAAAGAGGGAAAACGCATGGAATGGGTGAGGGGTGGAGAGAGAAGCCGGCACGGCGGTCATACCTGAAGCTTTTCGGGCAGATAAAGTAGGCTCGTTGCGGTGGCATCGGTAACGTGGAAGCGCTGCACGACGCTTTGACGTGGTGGCAGCAAAGTGTCCCACACTTCAACAGAGTGGTGCTCTTGTGGATGGCCACCCAGGGCAAGAATACTGGCGCTGAGAAATTCAAAGTACTCAAGCCGCTTCAGACCGGAGGAAAGTTCCCGAAAGGGAGTACCTCGCGATTGTTGGGCGAAATGCCATAGGTGCACGGTGCCGTCACTTTGCGCCTGACCCAGGCGGCATCCGAACAGATCAAAAGCGGTGTGTGACACGCTCGAATTTGAGGACTTGCGTTGATATAATCCTTGCGGCTGTGGACTGTCGTACTCCCAGAGTACCAGCTGATCATCCGTGCCTGCGGACACGTACATCTCATGGCGAGGGTGGCCGCAAAGACGGCGTGTGTTGGGAACCGGGCGCTCGAGTGTCACCTTGAGGCCCTCCTGCCGCAGAGACGCGTCCGTATCAATCTCAAGAATATCACGCGTGGTACCGAGTGCCAGGCGCGTGTTGGAGGAGCGCAAGGTGGCAATCATGTCCACGACCTCGTGGTGCACCGTGCCCATGGTGTACCAGTCTGCGAGTGGCAATTGGTCCACAATGGGGCCCACGCTCGTCGTCGATTTGTCCAACAAATCACCCTGCACCAGCTCAAGCACGAGTGGCGCGTTGATGAGCGTGTGCCACAGACGCCGAGCATTGACACCCTTGAAAGGGTTGTTACGAGGCTCAACAAGCGCCTTCATTTTGAAGATGCTACGCGTTGTGGCCGTCAAGTTCGCGCCGTCGTTTGACGGCGCGCTGTCGCCCAGCGACCCAGCGAGAGAGACGTCAGGCGTAGCCAGAGCATCGTACTCGGTACGCAGAACGTCCACGTGTCGGCTCAAGCGCATGACGAGGCGATAGAGCGCGGGGCTCGTCCAACTCAGCTCGCTGGTGGCCAGGCCTGCTGATTCGAGGACACAGTCTATTTGCCGACAAACCGTGCGCAGAATCGTCAGTTCCAGTAAAGCCCAGCGATACCGGTACGCTGCATCCTGGGGCACCGAGTCTGACTCCCGGCCCTCCTCAGTTTCCTCAACGTCGGCCAAGGCATCCAGGCTGTTGAGAACTGCCTCCCGAGTAAAGCCGGGAGGCAGCGCATCCTCACTGGCCCCTTCGTTCTCCAGAAGACATAGCAACTCCACTGTGTCTTGAAGTTCGGCTGCGTGCTTGCCAGCGGCCAGCCGCTGTGCCGCCAGCAAGCACGACTCGCTTTCCGCACCAAAGAGAATAGTCCATATTTTAGTCGGGTGAAAGCGCGCAAAGGTGCTCTGCAGTGCCGGGAGATTGCGCTCGCGCCAATGCAGTGCCACGCGTGCCACATACACAGCCAAAACTTGCTCCGCCAAGCTTTCAGGCGAGACAGGGAGCGGGAGGCCCTCGGGGTCGATGGCGACCTTGCGAAGGGAGCGAGAGAGGCTGGCCGAGAGTTTGTGAGAGAGTGTGTTGAGGTCTGCACTCGCGGGTGCGGTGGCGCCAGGTTCTTCCTCCGACTGGCCAGAGCGCGTGACAAGAAAGCTCTGCGCACAGTTCAGCAGTTCACGTGACACGCGTTCCATCTGTCGCACCAATTGACTCGGTTTACAAGCGGCCAGCAAACTACCCGCGGCGCTCAGATCAAAGGCATTGGTCGCCAGATTTAGAGCAAGCCACGGTACTGTACCAGGTTGGACGGGCACATCTAGAGATGCGGTCGGAAAGCACAATGCAGCTCCCGCCGCCGTTTTGCGTAGAGCTGCGGACCAGGGCATGTGGAGTTGGCTCAGCTGGCCCAGGTCACTGGCCACGTGCACAGCCAATGCATGGCGCAAGCGACGCACGGTAATACAGCGTGCTAGTGGAATCAAGGCGGAGAGCAACTTTTCCAAGGAGCTTTCATCCGTATCTGCATGAGCAGTGTCTGTTGCTGGCCCCACGGGCTCGGGTTCTGGCTCAGGTGGAAAATCGTCAAACCCAAAGCCGCCAAAGGCATCGAAGCTAAAGGTGCCCGAGTTGATCAAATCCTGTTGTGACGTCGCAGCGCCGCTGCTATCCGTAACTGCCGTACTCACCTCGCCGTCAGGTGCTGCGATGGAGTTGGCTTCCTCCTCCTCCAGGCGTTGCAGCAGCTCTTGGCAGACGAGGGCAGCAAATATGTGGTGGCCACCAGCCGCCAGACTCGAGGCTGCTTGCTGATACAAGTTAGTCGGGACGCGCCGCTTGCCACGCAGCTGGCTGTGCTGTTCAAGGCGCAGGGCAAGGCGCAGGGCCAGGTCAGGGTTGGCAAAGCGCTGCGTGACGCGCGTGAGCTCGTCAAACGACTCGCAATAACTTCGTCCCAGCCACAATGCCAGGGCACGCCCGGCCAAATGTGCACCATGCTCTGAGAGATGCTGTGCCAAACTGTCGGTGGCAAAGGAGCTGATGGCAGTCTCATCATCGTACATCAGGCGGGCCACAACAAAAGCCAGCTGTGGATCATTGAGGTTGCGCAAGCAAATGTTCAAGGCAGAGGCGACGTCACGGCCAAGCAGGAAAAAGGCAACAGCCTCTTGAAAACGATGCTTGGAGACCAAGACAAAGGCATTTTTCAAAGCTGCCGTTTGCCATCGCTCCTCGGCAAAGTTGTTGTTGAAGAAAGTGGCCATCCGCTCGTTGTTCTTGAGCTTGAACAGTCCTGCAAGAAGCTTGGCCTTGCGCAGCACCACGTAAAATATGGCTGCCTCCAAAGGATCGTTGGTGGCCTGAAAAGTAGCCTTTGCAATGCGCTCAATGACAGCTTGCAGCTTGGCTTTGCTTCGCACCCAGTATCCAGCTCCAGCTGCGCGAAAGTCTGCCCAGCGCAGATCCGGATCCCCTGCAGGGCGCCAGCGCTGTTGCATAACGTCAAATTGATCCACCAAGGCAAGTAGCGTGTCCTCAGCGTCGCTGACCACACCGATGAATGCACCAAGGGCATCAACGGACTGGCTGGCCTCCGTTGTTGCTGCTGTGGGAACGGCCAGTTCCCAACAGGCTCGGAAGAGCTGGCCAGCCTCATCTAAATCTTGGGCAACACCGTTCAAGCGAAGCACGACGCGCGCCATGGCCCCAAGCTCATCCAATTGTTTGCCTACCATGAAAGTGTCGCTTACACAACTCAACGCACGTTGCAGGCGATCCACGCCGGCCAAAGAGAGTTCTTCGTCGCCCCCGGCCGTATCTGCGTGTGCAGTCAAGAGGCTCTCTTTGGTCATCAAGCGCTGACGGGGGCCGGTCTTGGTCGGCTGGGCTTCCATTCGGTCGGCATACCGTGCCAGAGGTAGCCAGGGCCACGCGATGGCGTGTTGCTTTTCCTTGACGCCGTCCAACTCAAAGCGGTAGTCATCGAGCGTGGAGGTGAAGAAAGAGTTTTGTTCGAGCTCGGCAGTTTCTTTCGAGATGCGGAAAGGCCGCACACTGGTCCAGAGCTGCTGTAAGACGTCCATGGCAGCGTCGACCTGGTTGTGTAGGACGAGCTGGCGAAGTGTAGCGGGGTGAAAGCTCGGTTTGGCGCCGCCCAGGTCAGGCGTCGTGCGCAGGCGAAGAAATACGGCCGGAAATGCTTCTGTATCGCGAATAGCTGCGAGCAGAGGCTCATCCCATTTGCTGAACACGTCCATGCCGTTTTCGGTGGCCATCATGCACACACCGCCTTGCATCATAGCAGCTTGCTGGGGAAGGCTAGCATGGCTTTGCTTGGCCAAGACCCGGAAATCACCGGAGGCGTCAAGGCATTGCAAATACAAAAAGTCGTCGCAGCACACCTGGAGGAGTTCAGCCTCCGTTTCCAAGCAGCACCAGGTGACGTGGCGCACGGCCAGCTCCGAGGGCAAGCGGCTAACTGCGGGCTCTTGCCCATTGGTCAGGGACAGCAGGTCTACGACCGCAACCTCAGTCGCACTTGAGCCCGTGACGGCTGAGGTGCGCGCCGTGATGACGGCACGTCCAAGGCGCGATACATCCACATCCATCTGCACCTGGTTGAGAGGCAAGAGCGTCAAAGGCACACGCAGGAGCTCGGTGGCCTGCACGCTTTGCTCGTCATCCTCGACACACCACAGCTGGAGGCCAGAGGATGTGGCAAGCACAAAGTGGGCTTGCAGCTGGCTGACCGAGGCCTCTAATGCTGCACTAGTGACGCCACACGAGTCCAGCGTTATCGAGCTCACGTCGGCATCGGGCGTCCATTTCAGGTTGGGGACCATCGTTAAGGCAGTGGCCTGGATGCTCGGAAGGACGAGGGGCACGGGGTGTGCCACAAGTGCGTCGGGCGATAACATCTCTCCCTCGGCATCGAGCAGGGCCATCTGCGTTGTGGTTGTGCCAAAGAGCAGAATGGCGTGCCGCTCGCGCTCTGTGCTGGTGTTGAGGCGCACAAGGCAGAGCGCTTGAATGGGCTCGTCGCTTGTCAGCTTGAGCAGGCGCTTCGGTGCCAAAGCCATGCGTGAAATGAGCCCGCCCTGCGCCATGGTCTCTTGTGCACTAGCCGAGCGGTCGGCAAGTCGAGCAGCACCGAGCCCAAACATGTGTACTGTCTTATCCACGGCCACGGCCCAAGCCACAAAGCGCTCTGTTTCAAAGAAAGCCATCGACTGCTGGAGGTGCCGGGTTTCCATGTCAGACACGGGCAGTTTAATACGGGCAAGCTGCGTGACACTTTGATCCCCACGATGTGTTGTCGGTATGACAGGACTATCATTGGCCTGCAAGAGAGATCATACCACACGGCCGCCCCGAAAGCAGGTCAGCAATTCAATGAGGCAGGGGCGCGTGGGCACACGATGCAATGGTTGAGATGGGGGTCAGAAGAAGGGACGCATGGGTAGAGGGCCTCATACCTTCCACACCAACAATTCAGCTTCGTCATCGGAAACGGCCATGGAGATGGCACAGCCAAGCTGGCGATGGGCCTTGATCACGTTGATGGGACGCGTGTGGCCGACACAGCGGGCCACGCAGTCAACAGCGACGACGGAGGAGAACGCAGAGTCAAGTTCAAAGTGTACGCGCCAGTGCGCGAGCACACCACTGTTATGATGAAGCGTGATGCCGATGGGCCGTGAGGCTCGACAGCTGCCGCTCGTTGTGCTCGGTAGCGCTGTGCCCGCCTCACTTGCGCTCGTGCTGGCCGCCATGCCGGGAGCATCAGACGCGTTACCCACCACCCCGGCTGTCACTTCAAGATCAGAGTGAATTAAGACCTAGAGCGTGCGGGGGCAATTTGAGCTTGCTTGCCACATGCAGCAAGGTACTACATGCTAGCGAAAATTGGCCAGCTATAGCTATAGCTGGGGCATGGAAGCAGGGCCAACCTTGTAGCAGGGGGAGGCGGCATCAGTGGCTGGAATGACTGGAGGTCCACGCGAGATCACCTTGACGCGAGGGGCGCGGCTGAGGGACCACCAAGGAGGAAGCCAGATGAGTTGCACAAACACTAATCAGAATGCATTCAGTGCAAGCAAAAGCGTACCGTGGCTCGGAACAAAGGTAATCGACACGCCAAAAGGTCAGACTGCCGTCGCGCTCGACGTGGAACATCAAATCTGCACCTTGGCCCTGGGCAGCGTAGGCATGGTATGAGCAAAACACAACAGCTAATGCAAAAGGGGTGCCAAAAAAGAAGTGATGTCAGCGGGCCAACGTACGCGAGTGCTCAGGTTAGCCTGAGGCAGCTGGCGAATGCCACCGATTGATGAGGGAGGAAAGTGTCGGACAGCAGGAGCCAAGAGATCATTGGTCATGATATCAAAGTCTAGAAGAAGAATACCAGTCAAAAGCAGCATCGGTGGGAGGCTTTAGGGTGGGCGTCGGCTTGAATCAGGAGGGGGTTGCTGCTGTTGCTGCTTTGATCATACACGTGCGCAGGGATAGACGACGTGCTCCTTCAAGCATGATAAACGGGCACAAACCTGGAGCAGTCTGCACTTTTTGAAAGTTTTGGTTTTGGCTGAAACTTGCTTCTGCACAAGATATTGCGTATGAGGGCGCACCGAAAAAAAAGAAAAAGAAAAAAAAAAAAAAAAAGAACATGTCTCATGTTTTCACGGCGTTGGAAGACAGACCGTAGGCAGTCATGTCATTGGCGGAGAGGTTGCGCTTGATGGCCGATGATTTCCTGCATTCAATGAATCGCCGTCCGGTACAGAGGACATAACATCTCGTCAGTGCTTGTGAATTTGGTGATGCTTGCTTTCAACTCTGCTAACGACCAGTACTCGGGCGAGCAACGTACTTTGGGTGGGCCGGCGTGAGGTTGAGACCTTTTAAAGGCCTGCTTGAGTCCTCTTCTTCGATGCGATTGAGACCTCGGGCTGGCCCATCGCCATTGGGCGGTTGGGCGCCGCCCGGGCCAGACAACTGGGCTTCGGGCGTTGCGACGCTCTGCCGAAACAGCGGCAAGGGAGCGGCGGTTAAGAGTTAAGAAATCCCCGGCCGCCGATCATATTAATACAAGGAGAGGGAAGTCTGAGCAGCGGAAGCAGGGGCTGACATTGATGTTGACCCAGTGAAGGACAAACGGGTGTAAATCCTGGTCGTTGTGCTGGGCGCCCTTATTTTGATTTTCAAGGACTTGTGAGCAGAAAAAGCCAAATGGCTCGTAGACGGCTGTTTCACACCAAATCCGGCAGCGGCCATCTCGACACGAGGTCAAGAGTACACTCCTGTCACGTTAGACAAGCAGTTATCGGGTGAGGCAATCGATTGTCCCTGGCACAGCAAGCAAACAGATCGAGCCAATCGCGTGTGGCATGACTATAGATGGGAGGCAGGCGGCGGCGCCGGCTGATGACATACCGCTCCCAGTCGTGGACGGGCACGCGCCAAGAAAAGGCAATGACGGAGCGCGGGTGTGGCAGATGTACAAATTCAAATACAATATCATGTGCGTCACCACGCTTGAGGGAAGCATGGGGACGGCGAAACCATAGCTAAAGCCAAGAAAGTCAGGTGAGTGTAAGCAGTACCTTGGAGGGTGGTGCAGCCTTTTTGGTTGAGAGCAGCGAGGACACATACCTTGGGCAGGCGATCGTTTAGGCCCGCGGACAAGAAGAGCTGGCCGTTGGGGCTCATTAAGAGGTGGTGAACTGGCGATGCGGTTGACTGAGACCAAACACATTGGTAGCGACCACGATGGGCCTAGAATAAAGAAAAAAAAGAAAAAAAGAAAAAAAAAGAAAAAAAGAAGAAAAAAAAAAAGTGTCAGAGCGCGCAACAGGGTCAAAAAAAAAGGAGCTACCATGGTCAGTGAGCAGCAGTACAATCGGTCACCTTGGGCAGCGGCGAGTTGAGCGGTTCTTTTGCTTGCCCAACTAGCGCCTAATGATGCAGGAGTAGTTGTTGCGAATGAGGGGGTGATGGGTATACGACAGAGGGAAAGCAACCAGGTTGCGGGTAATTAGCATGGGCAACAAGGACAGCTTACATCGTCACACCACAGCATGATGCGCTTGCTACTGCCAAGCAAAAAGCGGCCACCTCCTCTACAAGTGTATCATTGGCACGGTCAGGGGATGATGAGGAGTGTGGAAAACAAGAAATCACGGTCTTTGCAAAAGAGTGGGAGAACACAGGAGCCGGTGTGCGGCGAAACCCACCTATCCCAGCAAGTAGAGATGAATTCTTCGCCTTGACCTGCTTCAATGACAGCTGCTTCCTGCCAGTGCACCTCAACACCCGAGGCCTACAAGATCGAGTTGAACGTGAGTTGGGCTTATCGGCGACGGTGGAATGCGATGCTGTCTGCGAGGCATGCTCAGGACCAATTTCTTCAAGCATGCCTCAGATGAACGGAGACAAACCGCTTTATCACTGAGGGTCGCAGTTGGTCGATAGATGACGACCTCAGAGCCATGTGAAACAATCAGCTAATGAATTGGGGGAAAAGTTCCGGTAGCAGCAGTGAGAAGACGTTCCAGGGAGCTAGAGGGTGGTTGATGTTTTGTTGACACTGTGCACGCATAACAGACGCAGTTGCCAGAAGGCGGCGGGGGGCGGGGGGAGGGGGGAGAGGGGAGAGGGGAGAGGGAGAGAGAGAGAGAGAGGGAGAGAGAGAGAGAGAGAGAGAGAGAGAGAGAGAGAGAGAGAGAGAGAGAGAGAGAGAGAGAGAGAGAGAGAGAGAGAGAGAGAAAGAGAGAGAGAGAGAGAGAGAGAGAGAGAGAGAGAGAGAGAAAGGAAGATGACGCGGGAACCGCTGGCATATGCCTAACAATTCGTTCCAGCAGCGATCAAGGCGGACTGTGTTATACGCAAGCGTGATCGGTTCGGCCCAGCCAATGTCAAACAGAGGCGCGCCCATACCACAAATCGGTAACGGCCGATTGGCCATCGGTGACGACATAGGGCTGATCATTGGGGCCACCTGGGAATGCAAGGTGATCATGGTGACATTAGGCGTGCGTGCAGGCTATTGAGGTGACAAGATGTGTTGCAAAGAGCTTGCCGGCAAAGGAGTGCTCCAGCCGCATGGTGGCCGGTGGAGCTCGTGAGCCAGGAGTGGAGCTGATTCAGCCTCTACTGCACAGTTGGAAGAGGGAGTGGCGTGGCGATTTGTGATTCAAGTGGTCATGGTGCAGAGCACAAGAGGTGGAAGGATTTTGGCTCATGCGCAAGGCTGGTGCGGCGAAGAGCCATGGGCTGCCACTCAGTGAAGCCAGCGGGCACACGCACCCGAGCACAAGTTGTCCGAGTCAGCAATCAACCGGGCAAGCAGCGCCCGCTGTGAGCCTGCGCGAGGCGACTCAACGGGGCTTTGCACCCTGCGTCACACCAGCCTAGACACGTCCGTTTGAAACCGGGATTGATGAATCACTGCCTGACACGCCCACGCCCACAACCACGACCACGACCAGCCTGAACAGCCTCAGCAGGACGCTGCCGCGCTGGACCGACACACACACACACACACACACACCTCAACAGTTGCAGTTTGAGCTGGAGGGGTATATGTGAAAGTGTGTCGTCAACTACACTTATTCACTCAAGCGCACACTCACTGTTTGCCAAGTGGCCAAGAAATTACATTTAAGAGATGTACGTGTTAGATTAACTAGGGCGGATTTGTCATTCTGACGTTTGTGTGTCGTGGAGCCTTCTCTCGTTGTTGTCCGAAGTTGCTGGACGGAGCGGGTTGTGAGCTCTCGCTGCTCGTTTCCGTTCCGTGCTTGCTTCTCGTCTCACTGCTGTTCGGACTGCGCTCGGCTGGGCTGGATTGGGCTGGGTGGCTGCGGATAAAATCTTGTAGTTTTCTTTCCTTGAGAAGTGCTTGGATCGGTGTTGCCACGGAACTGTGATCTGGTGCAGGGTAAGTTTCTTTAGATGATGGTTAGAGGTTGTTTCTCCATCGGTTGCTGCTCCAAAACTCGTCTTTGACTCGGGGCAGCAAAGTGTCAACTCAACGCGTCGGCCTCGTGGTATTTACCAGCGGCAGTGAGGAATGGCAGCTGCGTTTGGCGCTGCCGGCGCCGGGCAACTGGGGTTGGGCGACGAAGGTATTGACTTGCTTCTCGCCTTGTTGTTGTGCATGTGCCCTGTGCATGTGCCCTTGTGATGCCGTGAAGCTCACCATTGTTCCATGAACCGCAAACAGGTCCCATTTCAACATCATATCGGTCATTGGCCGTGCCCAGGTCCGCGTCACTGATCAGCCTCTCTCCCCCCCACCCCCCCTTCCCCACCCTCACACGTTGCTTCCTGGGTGTGCTCACATCTGTGAAACATGCAAATGCACTTCAGCGGGTTGCGAGCAGCAGCAGCAGGAGCTTACCACAGCCTGCTCGTCACTACTGATGGTCAGGTGCCAGTTTATGGACATGGGATGGCAGGGTGCATTTCGGTTAGTCATGAGGTCTCCCCTCATGAGCTCTTGAGCTTGTCTTCTAGGACTGGTCTACTCGGCGGGCAAGAATGATCACCGCCAGCTTGGACGGAGTGGTCCCGCAGGCATCTTCAAGCGGGTCCGTCAGATCTCGCCAACTTTTGCAAAAAAAAAAAAAAAGTCGCGAATGTGCCAGGGTGATGTGACCATATGCACATCTCTACCCCTAATCCCATCACTCACCGAGACTGCGCCGTGGCGACCAGATTGAGGCGATTGAAGTGGCGAGCATACGTCAGGTCGCAGCCGGCGAGGACTTTAGTCTAATGCTCGATGATCGCGGCAAGGTGTATGCCGTTGGTGCTGGCGAACGTGGCCAGCTGGGCTGTGGCCGGTCAGTAGCGTGTATGCACATGCGCGACTCGGCGGCCATCGGTTTTGGCTTGTGGCTCTCACCACCTTTTACTATGACTGTCATGACTTGTTTGCAGGCAGACCAGTGAGGAAGGACATCGGGTTCCCAAGATTATTCGCAGTTTGCATGATGTTTGTGTTTCCCTTCACTGTAAATGTGTAGCAAGTTTGTTTTCTTTGCCAATGCCTAATCTCTCTCTGCGCTGCATGTCATGCACAGGTGCCCATCGTAGCCTTGAGTGTTGGGGGGCGACATGCCCTGGCCCTCTCCGCAAGCAGCATCGTTTTTGCCTGGGGTGAAAATGCCAACGGCCAGCTGGGCAACGGCCACTTTGTTCCCTCCTATCAGCCCACGCCCATTCCAGAACTCAACGGCCGGGGTGTGGTTGGGCTAGCCGCGGGCCGTCAACATTCGTTGGCTCTTACAGCCGCAAGCGAACTCTATGCTTTTGGCGCCAACGAGCACGGGCAGTTGGGTGTTGGGGACACCAAGCCGCGTCTGCGTCCAGAGTTGGTGCGGGCTGCCCTGCGCAAAGGTTTAGTCAAGGTATACTGCGTTTCGTGGTCCTTTTCTGTCCGCATAGTCATTGGCTTGTGGCAATATCATCGCTCGCTCCCACACCAGCACTCACATAGCCCAACACACCTCTTTTTGAGACCATAGGTGAGCGCCGGCGATTTTCATAGCCTAGCCCGCTCTGCCACAGGGCACGCCTTTGCCTGGGGAGGCAACCAATGGGGCCAATGCGGTGTGGGTGACGATGCGGATGCCATTCTGCTTCCCCGGGAAATCGACTCGGTGCAAGAGCATGGTCACATCGCCGACATTGCCACGGGCAAACGTCACTCAGGTACAGCCAATACAACGTGCCTCATAAGTCCTCTTTTTTTTTCTTTCTTTCTATGCAGCAGGCCTGCCTAATCTCACGCGGCTGCCTTCGATGCCTCGGGATCTTTGCCAGTTCTGCTGGTGGTCACGTCCAATCAAACGACTCCGACCCCCTCGACCTTTCACAAGCAGTTGCTCTTTACTTTTGGCGCCAACTCCTTAGCCCAGCTGGGTGTGGCTGCAGGTATGTATGGCAGCTCAAGAGGCGCTCATACACGCTGTTGTCTTTGGCTCGCTGCATCTCACCTCAGAGGTGATCGGTTCACCGTAGACCACCCGGCCCACAGCCGTGACAATTCTCGGACGCCGCTTCTGTTGCGACCACCCTCTGAGCATAGGATATCAAGCGTGAGTGTGTGTGCGTTTGCATTTGCGTTTGCGTTTGCGTTTGCGTTTGCGTTTACTTTCTCCTTGACGCCTACGTTGACTACCATGGACTGGAAACTATGCTTTTTTACCAAAAGTAGCGTGTCACCGCAGCCGGTTGGTTCTGATCTTATTCGTCAATGTCATTGCTTTCATTGTGCAGATCACTGCAGGCGGGGACCACAGCTTGGTTCTGTACGAGGAAAGAGCCGAAGAAGCCCCCGAGTCTAAACGCGCCTTTGCTTTTGATGAGTATGTCGTTTTGATCACGCGTGCTTCTTGCTTGATGCACGCGCTGGCAAAGCGCTCAATTTGGTGCTTGTACTAGCTTGGCCATCGCAATGCCGATCGCCGCTCTGACCGCTGATCAGGTGCGCGAGCTCGCTCGAACAGATCGGCCTCGACTGCATCAGCAACTTGAAATCATGCTCAGTTCGGCTGGATGTCTCAACGCCGCCTTTTTGACAACGGTCAGTGTTCCTGCACAAAACAGAACAAGGCGCTGATACATAAACGTTGCCAAATCCACATGTATACATAAAACATGCACACACGCACGCACAATTTGGGATCACGACACTGCCAAGGCCATTCACGCCTTGAATTGTGCCTGTCCGATAGACGGACAGACCAGCAGATGGCGTGATTGTGGCGCTTGGTCAGGTCCGATCGTTTTTCGAGGCCATTGTCGCGCTCAACGACGAACATGCCACTGAGGTCGTGTCCCGTGCACTACGAAAGCTGTTTGGCAACCTCCAGCACATTTCTCCCATCAACGAGAATCATTATCTCTTTCTTCTGGTCTTGCTGGAATGTCCATTGCTGCTCAAGTGGGTCCATCTTTGCTTTGATGCCGTCGTCAGTCTTTCGTGGCACTTTTGGCGCTTTCTTCTTCCTCCTTTTCTTCACCACCTCTTCTTCATGCTCTGGGCCTTGGCTTACAGGCCGGAAAGTCACAGCGTGCCCTTGGAAGGGTTGGTGCGCGTCTTTACACAAGTCACGCACCAACGTAGTGACGCGGTTGGCGAGCACATGCTCAAGTCCTACCTGCATGCGCCAGTCACCTATTTGCACCGGGCTGTTCAGGTACGGAGCTTGCCGTAGCTCGGTTGACGGCTCATGGTTCAGCCAGTCTTACAGTTCCACCTCGTGTCGCGGCACCCCACGTTTTTGCACGTGCTGCTAGGTGCTACAAGGCTACTTGAGCCATCTTCTCACAGGCCGTGGCACCGCCTCAGAGCCCGTGTATTTGACTTGCGTGAGTCTTCAAGCCCTATACTTCCTGAACAAGCGTGTTGACAAGCTCAAAGCGTCGGCATTTTACAACGATCATGTCGGTGTCGTTTCTTCGTCATGCTGCATGAGCCGAAATTTGCTTGCTTGCGTAAGGACAGCTCATTAGGTCAGCGCTGCTATGCTTTTTTGCGTAGATTGGGTCTACGCCGGCCATGCTTCAAGAAATGTTGGTCTGGGTACTCAACAAGAGCAATGTTTTTAGCTTCTGCATGTTTCCGTTTTTGATCCCCTTGCCCGTGAAAGAGCAGATTGTTTTTCAAGCGTCCCAGGCTGCCATGATGCAATCGGCCATGACGAGCATGCTCACAGGTGCCGAGGCACCTGTGTTGGTGCTAAAGGTGCGCCGAACTGACATCCTGGAAGATACTATGAAGGCTCTTTCCATGGTCTCGCCAACCCAATGGACAAAGCCCCTTCGGATCAAATTTGAGGACGAAGAAGGCATGTCGCGCCCTAGTGACTGCTGTTGGCCTGGTGTTTTGGCCGCTTGTTTGGCAGAGCTGGGACTGACTGGCTTGTTGCTGCTCTTCCCCTGGGGTGCAGGCGTGGATGAGGGTGGCTTGGTGAAAGAATTCTTCCAGCTGGTCATGCCCAAGTTGTATGCCCATGCGTTTGTCCCGATGGAGTCCGAGGGTCTGCGATGGTTTTGGTTTGCAGGTCCTACCGAAGACCGCTTGCAGGTCAGGATTTGTGCTAGAACTTTTGCCCTGGTATTGGCACCCATCGGAGCTATCGGAGAGCTGGCATCATTTCTGGTGTTTTCAAATGTGTCGCCATGTTGCTTGGTGGCGGGCCTGTTTCCCTTTTCTCACCATACCTCGTGTCTGCAGGCCTACTATGCCATGGGTCTCTTGTTTGGCTTGGCTTTGTACAATCATGTGCTTGTTGAGCCTCTGTTCCCTTCTGTCTTTTACAAGATGCTGCTTTTGGCAGATCCTGAGGTCCGTTGAACCGCTCAGCCTGACTCATTGCCAATCAATATCACCTCCATGGTCCCGTACGAGCACAGTCAGGACATGTTTCCCGGTATTGCTCAGCGCTGGACGCATTCTGGATACATCGTGCTTAGATGAGCCAGCTGACTCTTGACGATTTGGCGTCATGTGCCCCGGATGTGGCCAAGGGCCTGCGCTCGGTCAGTTCCACGCTTCGCTTGTTATGCACCCGCTCTTCTTGCTGATTTTGGCACACTATGGTCTTCAACTTCTTCACGTCTCACTTGATCATGTGGCCTTTCCTTCGCGATTATTGGTTGACCACATCAACCAAAGCTCCTTGACTATGACGGTCACAACGAAAAAGAAGTCTTTGGGTTAACCTTTGAACTTTCACACAAGGATGTTGATGGTCGGGTGGAGACGATGGAGCTCAAGGTGTGTGTGTGTGTGTGTGTGTGTTTGTGTGTTTTGGTGACTCCCGTCCTTGTTTCCGACCTTGCTCAAGCAAACCGTTGGGTTTGTTGTATAGGCGGGCGGAAAGGAGATGGACGTGACAGCGTTGAACAAGCACGAGTATGTGCAACTTTACGTGCAGTATTACTTGTATGAACGCGTCGCAGCTTCTGTCGATGCCTTTCGCACTGGCTTTTTTATGATAGTTCAAAAGACACCGTACGTAGCAACCCAATTCTTTCGACAGATGGCAGCTTGTACCATGTAAACCTTCCCCAACTGACTTTGTCAACCCTTTGGACCTGGACAATGTAGTGCATTTTACATGCTCCAGCCCCGCGAGCTGGAGCTACTTCTCTGTGGCAACCCCGAGTACAAGCTCGACCAGTTAAAGGACAATGCGCGATATATTAATTACTCGGCCAAGGACACAGTCGTTCAGTGGTATGATACCTAACGCTGCTCGACGACGGGTCGAGGAGGAACGGGAGGTCATGCTGGGGCTTGCCCTCAGATGCACATTCCCTTCATGACCATTCGTTTTGTGATGACAGGTTTTGGGACTATGTCTTGGCACTGCCGCAATCCAAGCGACGTCGCTTCCTCATGTTTCTGACGGGCTCCATGCGCGTGCCCGTGCAAGGCGCCAAGGGCATCAAGGTGACCATTCAGCGTGTCGCTGACACGGTACGTTTCTTGCAGGCACCCTAAAAGGGAGAAGGCTCGACTACCTCTCTTTCATGTCTGTCTTGTCAACTACGGCTTCAATCTCACAAGCACTGTGGGTCCGGGTGATGATAGACTCGACTTCCAGTTGCTCATACCTGCTTTAATGTGCTCGACCTGCCGCCGTACGAAACACGTGAAGAGCTGGAACGCAAGCTTGGGTATGCGCTTGAGGAAACGGAGGGATTTGCTTTGGTATAGAAGCACTTCCATTTGCAGGGCCCAACGGCCGTTGTGGTTGGTCCATCGAGTCCACAATGACAGAGGGCCCAATTCGAAAAAAAAACAATCAAGAGGGACGCATCCTCCTTTCAAACCGAGCCAGAAAAGAGAGACGTGCGAAAAGAACACTCGCAAGGCAAAAACCGCTTTGCTCAGGGCAACGCAAGGACATTCTCTTTCACCCTCGGGTAGCTGCACAGCAGCCAGTGCACTTATAAGGGGTGGGTGGTTCAGCCTATCTATGAACTTTGCTCGTCCACGCCAAGCTTGTAAAGAGTAACGCGGCCAAAAAAGTCGGAAAACTTGGTAAAGGTCAATCGCAGCTGTTGGACCTCAATCCGAGTCTCGTTGAAAGCAAACTGCTGTTCGTGGTTGACATCTTCAGGGTAAACACGGCCGAGTGTTTCATAAGCGCCACCGAGGGTCTTGCCCTCAATGAGACATTCCAAGCCTGCGGCAAGCAAGAGGCGTCAGGGGATCCAAGCCGAAAAAAGAAGTTTTCAGAGAGCCTGTCATCCGGACGGTAGAAGTTGCCAGCTCGGACGCATTGACGCACCCACGAAGCCCCCTTGGAAGACAAAGGTCAAAATTTGGGGAACCAAAGGCGCGGCAAAGCGCATTTCAATGACTTGCTCCTCACCCTGAGCGAGCCATCAGTTTCAGATTAGCATGGATAAGAACCTGTGAAGAGCCCTGGGGCGCAGGGTCTCTTTTATTTCAGAAGCAGTAAAAGCGGAAAGAGAAGCCTATGTAGACCTCCTCGAGGATGCGACTAGCAGCGGTTGAGCAAATATCCCACCGGTTCCGAGTTCCAGCACGTGTCATCCAGGCCATCATTCAGGTGCTGCTTCCCAAACGACTTTGTGTCGCCATTGAGGACTGAGCTGACTCTGGTGTCAGCAAAAGGGAAAACACAATGAGAAAGGCGTGTCAGGGATTATAAACACTCCTTCTGGCTGCGTCAAAAAGCAGGAGCATGCACCTGCCAATCTGGCCCTACTTGATCTTCACGTCGTCCATCGTGCTCATTATTGTTGCCAAAAAAATCAAAAAATTTGATGATTTGATCTGATCTTTTTTTGCGTGTGTGTGTGTTTGTGTGTGTGTGTGTGTAGTTGACTCGTTTTTTCTACATGGAGTTAAATTTTTTCTGGTCCAGCTCAGCACAAATCAAGGAAGTACAGGTGCGAGAGGCGTCGGAAGGAGTGCCGGAGGGCGCTTACAAGACAGGAATGCGGTTTTCCTTGGCCCACTTCTTCATGACACGAGTGATTTGCTCGACCTGAGGGCTGTTGCTGTTCATCAAAATGGCAATCATCTCCCGCAGCGATTCTTTGGGTTCCTGTCCCGCAATGATTTGCTGGAAAACCCCAACGCAGGCGCCGCGCTTGCCGTTCCAGTACATGGGATCTGGGTCCAAGCGCTCCAAAACATCAAAGGCCTTGGCCGCGTAGTAGAATGCCCCCATCTGTTGGTGCCCAGACCAATCGGAACAAGACCATTCCCGGACGTGAGCACGGTCGGCCGTCACAAGGCAAATGCAGACAGTGTACAAAGGAAGCCAGGCCGACTGGCCAAACCTTATAACAGTCGTTGGCAATGAGTTGCAGCAAGTGGTAGGAATCAGAAGAGGTTTCCATTTTGAGGTACAGTTCCCAAGCGAGGCGCGGCTTGCGATTCATGATGTCTGTGTGCAAGAAGCGTGGCGGCAAATCAGGCGAGAAGGCGCCATTGCACATGCCGCGACGACGGGAAAGGTCAGCACGTACAGCAGCGTGCCAGCCACGAAAGGTAATGGAAGTCATCACGCAATTCTTCTGATTGGATCAACAAGAAGGCTTCCTCGGCCTCCTTCCACTTGCTGCACGAGGCCAGGGCCTGCCCATAGTTGAAGTTGAAGGTATCGTCGTTGTAAAAGTAGCTCTATCAATAGAATGTCCCATAACGACCGGGTCAAGCTGACATGAGTTTGGAGGCAAGTCATCCAGATCTGCCATCATGTTTTAGCACCATGGCAAAGCGAGCTAATGGCGGGTGCAAGACAAGACACGCTGCTCCACCTTGATCGAGTCAAGGTAAATGAGAACGTCATCAAATTGACGCAGGAGGTAAAAGCACGAGGCCATGCACTGGCGACCGGGAATGGTGTCGCATTCGCTGGCCGAGCCACCAACGAGCTGGAAGTACTGCTGAGCCAACTTGAGGTTCTCCTGCGACTCGTGCTCCTGGCCAACGCAAGCATTGACGACGCCCTTGATGATATAATCCTATTTCAAAGCCAATGTGAGCACGGCCAGCACAGGTACGAGACAGTGGACAAGAGGTGCTGGAATCGGCTTGTAAAGCTAGCGACCATTGCTCTCACGACCGGCTTTCCAGCGTCCGCAGAGAAGCGGCTGCTTGGACACAACCGCAGGAGAAGACAAGGATGGTGGTGGTGGTGGTTATTTGGCAAGGCCCGTGAGGTGCTTACCTGAGGTACGTTGGGATCGAGATCTTGGGTCAATTTGTACGCCTCCTCCAGATCATTTTGGCGCAGGTAGTAGATGATCAGGTTGAGACGTGCCTCGGGCAGGACATCGATGAGCTTGGGCATGACCTGAAGCGCGCTCTCGCCATCGCGGAAAACCACGAGATTGTGCTTGATAATGTCCTGAGCGTATTCAAAAGAGGCGGATGCCTTTTCTTGCAGAGAGAGGAGCTCGGCCTCAGCGGCCTTGCCATTGTATAGACGAAAGTGATTGCAAGCCTTGAGGTTGAGAGCGGTGGCGCTATCTGGAAACTGAGTCAGGTAGGACTGCAGCACCTCTTGCGAGACATCGTAGTAGTCCAGCTTGTAGTAGCAGAGGGCAATGTAGGCATTGAGCGCGTGGTAGTCACGGTTCTCAAGCAGGAGGCGCTTGTAAATGTCAATGGCTTCTTGATAATGGCTTCGCAAGTAATGGATGGAGGCCAGACTCAGCTGTGTGCAGGTGACACGGATCATGACGGTTAGGCAGGTCAAGAGTGGCAGGATCGAGAGCGCATCACGTACACACCACAGCAAGGGGACGGTCTGCCATGCGATGGCGGGTGCACTGATTCTCGACCTACCTGGTCCTCCACCACGTCTTCAAGATTCTTGTGAAAGCTCATCAATCGTGTTTCGTTGCCAAACTAACATGTAAAACAGCCCGCCGGCCATGTTCCAATTGGACAGGCTTTCAGTAAGCATAGGCCCTCTAGCAGTGGCAGGGACGCCGGTGTCAAGTCAACCATACGAGAAGACATACTTTGTGGGAGAGATGAAATTGAAGTCGGTTTTGTAGCGGGCCTTGAGGGCCCTTGCCGGCAGCATCGTCAGCCTCTTGGTACATGCCGAGAAAGAAGCAACAGCAGGCCAAGTGGGTCCAATGCTTGGCGTCAGCATCTGGCTGTTCGAGAATGGCTTTGAAAACCTGGCAAGCGGGCGAGGTGAGAGAAATCGGGCGAGTCGTCCAAAAACAGGCGCCATGGGGTGTGTACCGCAGAGCTAGGACGCACCTTGAGCGCGCGAGCAAACTGGCCCAGGTGGAAACAACAGTAGGCAATCCATTCTTGAGAATGTTCAAGGGGCTTGCCAGCGCCCTCGCAAAACTATCAAGGGCGAGGCGTGAATGCGGTCGAATCACCATGCCAGCAGACCCTCAAGTCAGGATACACACGCAAACACCTCGTACCTCGAGCAGCGTAAGGGCCCCAACGTAGTCGCGCTTGCGCAGGAACGACTCAAGTTTGGGCAATTCCTTTTGCTTTTTGGCGCTGCGATGCCTCTTCAGCTCTGCATCGTCGACCTCTGCCGCTTTGGTGCGAGAGAGCATCTACGAGGGATGGGGGACGTCCGGTTAAACAGACCTTCCAGTCTGTTGCCTGTTTCAACCACGAGCAGGGGGCAGAGACCGTACCATCTTGTCCGGTTCAAGTGATCGTAGCGCTAGTGAGCAAATGCTTTGGATGATGGAGCGAGCAAGGTGTGTGTATCAAGAATCAAAGCCTTGTTTGCAGGCACCCGACTCGAGCAAGCTCAAGTGCCGCGCAGAAAAGGGCGCCCTCCTAATCTGGCTGGCCCCAACAAGTATTTGGGTCCGTCTCCAGTGCTCAGCCGGCTGATTGTCTGAATCTCAATGACTTGATCACTGCCACTGAATCAATCTCAAGGCTCCTCTGGCTGCCTCGCTGACGCTGACGCTGTCGCCGGTGTCGCCGGTGTCGCCTCGAGTGAGTGAAAGGGGTTTTTCCTTTTTTTCTTTTTTTTGAGTGTGGTTGTTGTTGTTGTCGCTTGTCACCAAGGCGATCACTCAAAATTTGCAGAGCCGTCAATCTGCTCAAAGACTTGGAGAGACTTGGAGACTGGGGTTCTCATTGTCATCTTTTTTCAAACAAAGGAAAGGATGATCAAACTCAATTTTTCTTCTGTTGTTGGGAAAAGGGGGGTTTTCCCGTCCCACTCTGATATGAGACGGGCAGGGCGGCCGGTAAGCGGGGGTTTGAAGCAGCACCAATTGCAAAAGCACGCGCGCACTTTTATGCAACGAGGGTTCAAGGCAAAGAGAGGGAATAGAGTGAAAAGAGGAAACAAGTTGACCCCAGCCCAGCAGCGGCAGGGCCAACTCAACGCAGCTCATTCCATCGCGGCAGCTTCCAGAGTTTACGAGTGCCACGCGCACATTTACGGGGTGCAGGGCTATACTCGTGCATCAGAGGGGCCCAGATAGTCACCCGTCAGGGAGGCGGTGATAAACTATGATTCAAACAGCGTGTTCGCATGAGCACAGTCGCAACAGCAGGCGCCCTGAAGGAGCAAAGACAGGTGCAAGGGCTTCACGTACAATGTCTTGTGCAGCAATGCGCACAGCAATAATCTTGACACGCACTCCGTCGTTTGGTTCGATTGTGATCTGTGGAATGCCCGCCAGGCGCAGGTCGTGTCAGTGTTCGCCAGTGTTCATGCGGGCAACGCCCCCGCTATGGAAGGGGAGCTCTGCCTACCCCGTCTTTGGCGGAGATGTAGCGAGGGGGATTCGCATCAGAATCAAACGTCATGTCAGGGATCCACTGCGGTTCACATCCCCCCCCCAAAAAAAAACAAACAAACATGAGACGAAAACCAGCGGGGCAGAGGATAAAACAAGTACGTTGCATATCGTGAGGTCAAGAAAGCCGGGCAGAACGCAATGGCAGGAAAGTCGAGGGCTGACATACGCTGTTTGACACAAATGCGGTCAAGGGACCAATGGAAACGAAAATGCCCCGCTACAAGTTGTCAACACCGGCATCGAGGATGCATTTGTCAGGATTCCCGCGCGCAATCAGATCGAGCGATAGTGAGGTGAAGGGTGCAGGTTGTGCTGGGCAGTCACCAGGCAGCCGAGTCAACGCACGTTGTTGACACTTGTCACCATGGTATCAATGACTTGTTTGGGCACGGGCCGCAAAATGACGGCGGTGTATGTGACGTTGAAAAGAATCTCGCCGCGGTTGAACAGAATTCGGCCCTCTGAGATGCGATCAATCTTGATGACGGCCAGCACGTAGCCATGACTACACAGTCACACCAAGAGGTGTTTCATCAGTCCTTAAAGTCCGGACCGCTCTGAAGAGATGCCGGAGCACCTCTTCCCCCCACCACCTGCGCTGAATGCGGCAGGTGACTTCTAGAAACGAAGAGTGCTGGTGCACCAACCTGCGATGCACTTTGCACTCGACTTCGCTGTAGAGTTGGGTTTTGAGGATGGCCTCAAGGTTTTGGTCCAGGAATCGCGGATGCAGGAGCACATCGTGCGTCAATGTTTCCTGTTCAGCCGACAAGATATGCGCGGTCGAACATCAACGTTGTGAGCAAAAGCTTAGCGACAAAGTGAAACCAACTCGCAAGCCATGTCTAGCGATCTGGCACGGAGCCACAAAGCCAGAGAATGGCTGTCACGCGAATTGGAAGGGCATCGGAATCCAGGAGTATACCGTGAAAAACATGGTTTCGGACGCAAGGTTAGTGTTGGGAGGCCCGTCACGGTGTACAAGGTATCAAGCAGGACAACAACTGGTGGTCCAGAGCACAAACAAGACGGTGCCTTGGACACGGCACGTCCAGCTTGTCCCTCAACAGGACCTCGCGGGTCAGATCTGAGGCTCGAACGTCGATTCTCGGGCAGTGTGGTGCCGTTTCTTCCCACGGCCAACGCCGTGGTTTCGGGTCAGAGGGTAAACGCTAACGCGCACGCCTTCGATATACACCTAGTCAGGAGGAAACGAGAGAAGGACGACGCTGCAATCAAGAGCCCCGACCAGGGCGACGACTGGATGAGAAGCACTGAACTGAACTCAATCCAAGCTCCTCCACACACACACACACACTCTCAGGGCAGCTCGCAACTGTGTTCTCTCTTCTCGTTGTTCAAGAGACAACTTTTTTTTACGGACCAGCTGTTGTCAACTGCTAGTTCAGCTCTTGGACAGACACACATCGTGACAATTTGAGGGCCTGTTCTCGCCGATGTTTTGGTGGGCAGCTCGAGAGGAGGTGCAGTAAAAAGAGAGGAAGTTGCAGATGACAATATACACCTAGTGGTATAAAGTGGTGTAGATATCAAACTTATTGTAGTATATGCCCCTTCACCATCAACAGCATCATTTGAGCGCTCAAACGCGAATTTTGGCTGAAACCTGAGCGCCACACACCTGTCCTGCGCCTTGCTGGCTCAGTGTGGGGCGCCCAGCTGTGAGGTGCTGGCGAGATTGGCCAAGGCGGTGGGGTTCTAGGCAAGCTGGAGCAGTCTTCATACTTGGTCTGCCGATGCGACTAGTGGTGGACTGTTTTCCTCCAGTGAGCCTGCACGAGCCGTGCTTGTTGGCCTGAGCCTCGAACAAGGGGCCGGCGTTTGTCCACGATACTTTAGATTGCCTTTGCCAGCGTGAGAAGGGCTCGGGTGATCGCACGCTGGTCGTTGTGGGTGTGTGGGTGTACCTGCGTATTGGCGAGCCAGCCTGGCAACGCAAGAGAACCCGCTGCCGGGCGAGTGCCCGAACCCGTGCTGATTCCTTCACGGTCATTGGCCGCCACCTTGCGGTCACTTCCGCCACTACCGCTTGCTGGCTCTGACCCCTGAAACCCCACGTCATGTCGCACGTGGGAGGCCAGTTGCGTGCCTACTCCCAGGTGAAGATCATTTCACGGTTTGTCAACAAGAAGCGCGCCACGACCTTGATTGCCAGCATCGAGCAATACGACAACAAGTACATCTGGATCGGCACCAACGACGGGTAAGAGGCGGGGACAAGTTCTTGCTCAAGTCAATTCAGTGGCCTGGTTTGCGTGCCTTGTACTGCTTGGCCTCAGCCGCACAGTGATGCTTGAGGCTGTCTGCTTGAGGCTTGAGGGACATGCTGGGGCGTCATGGTGTCACAATCTCAAGCTCACCATGCCGCTTGTTCTGCAACTAGCGTAATTGTCCAATATGCTCTCCGTGTCATCACTTCCGTCACTGGACGCAAGACTTATCAATGCGATGTCATTGGCAGTCAAACCCTGGTGCCATCACAGCCTATTGTACAACTTCAGGTGTGTCGGGTGTCGAGTCAAATCGAGATGCGAGGCTGCTATGGCTTTTTTTTTTTGTGCCTCTCTTTTGGAAGCCCGACTGACCGACGCATATACATCATGGCTGGTCCCCCGATCTGCAGGTGGCTCCAGGTGCCGAAAAGCTCCTGGCCGTCACACAGGGTCAAGTATGGCTGCTGCACATGCACAGCCTCAAGGTCATGATGGATCGGCCTTATGGCAAGGTGAGCTTGGTCGTCGCTGACCGGCCAACAGCGTAGCCAGTTGGGCCGTCGTTGTCGCTTCTGCTAGCAACATCCTGGCCAGTCACATCTTATTTTCATGGCTGCGTGACTTCAGGGCATTGAACGCATGGTCATTGACCGCAGCCCCGCGCTGGATGGCAACCTGCACTTGTCGTGCGTGCGGCCCAATGGTAGCAAGGCCTCGGCCGCCACCCACCTCACCTTGTCGGGCAACAATCTCATGCCCGATTATGATCGCAAAGAGAGCCGCAATCTTCCCCCCGTACGTGCGATTCATCTCTTCTCACAGCCCACACGCCTGTGCCCGATTCAATGCCGACCTTGACGCTGATGCGATCACCGTGTCTGCCCCACCCCAACTTCATCCGCAGAAATTGCAATGCATTGAGCGGTATGGGGACCAGTTTCTTCTGGCTCACGGTGGATTTTACCATGTCTACTCGATGAGCCGTGAGGAAAAGCTGCCACTGGTTCCGTATGAGGATAAACGTCCCATCATCACCTGGTCGCAGAACGACTGCGTGAGTGAACCCAACATTTTCAATAGCCCATACCTTTTCTTCCTTCCTCCCTTACCTGTCTACCATTGAAGTATGCGTGGGTGCTGGTTTCTGCTCACCCCTCTCATTCGTTGCATTGCAATCCCTTTTCATTGGCGACAGTTCCTGTTGGCGGTGGTGACAGAGGGAGAGAGCCTGGCCATTCAAGTGAACAAAGATGGGCAGCCCTCCGGCACGGCCCCCATCCGCTTCGTCGATCATCCCGACCTCATTGCGTTCCAATACCCCTACATCATTTCTCTTAATCAGGCCTACGCCTTTCTCAACGTGCACAGGTGTGTCAAAGGTGGACCAAAACCCCTTGCTCCTCCCAATGACATAATAGCCATCCAAACCGCTCACACTGTTGCCCTCGACGGGTTGTTGTTGATGCCCTTCTGTTGCTGATCACCTTTTAGCATTTTGACATCAGACCACGTGCAAAACATGAACTGCGATGAGTGTATCATCCTGCAAAATCGCAACGGCGTCGTGTTGGCCACCACCACCAAATCTGTCTCCATTCTGGCCCTCTCCACCTTTGAGACGCAGATTGCCGATCTGCTACAGGACGGACGGGTCAAAGAAGCACTGGATCTGGCCGAAGTCACGTTTGGGCATGAGGAAGACGCTGCCACGACCGCACCAGCACAACTCGAGGCTGACCTAGACAAGATTCGCGCTGTTCAGGAACAAGCAGGCTACACGCTTTTGAAAGACGGCCAGCTTGCTGATGCCCTGAATTTATTGCTGAGCGCTGGGGTGGATCCAGCTGATGTAAGGCTGTTTTGACGGATCGAAGTGCAATTTTGCCCATCATAAGCTCAGCTCACATTTCTATTGATGGGCTATTTTTTGTCAAGCTGCCCTTTATCAAGCTTTTTGCTCTTATATTCCTTGCATTCTGCACATCAATCTCCACAGGTGCTCTTGCTATTTCCATCCCTCCAAGTGCAGGAGCCAGAGGAAGTCACCGAGTATCCCAGGTCCATCGGTCTGACAGTTGCCGAGAGCAGCAAGAGTAAGCAAACTGATCGGCTTAGAGCCTGGCATGTCCTTGCAGACCTGACATGCATGTGGTACCCATCTCCGCTCACCCATCTTGCTCATCTCCCAACCAGTTGACATGGCAGATCGCCGGGCTCTCGAGACCATGGCCGACTACCTTCTCGAGGCACGGCGCTATTGTGACGGGTACGCACACGCACGCGCCGCAGAAAACGTCTCTTTTGCCATAGCAGAGCTTAAGGAAGGCCGGGTAGTCCAGAGCCTCACACCGCACGGTTTCTCGTCGCCCAGCCGTGATGCACAGATGAGCGCCGATACGGCTGTAGCCCTGTGCTATGCCGTTCTGTCGGCTGATAAGCTTTCTCAGTGGGTCGCGCGGGGCGACACCATGTGCAACCTTTCCGTTTGTGCTAAGCGCATGGAGGATCTGAACCGTCTTCACGTGAGTACAGCCTTTTTTGACGATGGGCAACAACAAGTTTGCATGCAATACTCTCACATAGGCGCATCTCCAAAAACCTTCTCTTCACATGTTAGGCCATGGCCTCGCTATTTGCACGTGAAGGCATGGTGCAAAAGGCACTTGATGTTTGGAAAAAGTGCGCACGCGATACCCACGAAGCCGCACTCGCGTGGTTCGATTCGTGCACGGCTGTGCACACGCACTCACCCTTTTTGACCCACGGCGACTCTTTTCTGAATAGGCTTGAGCTATCGCCCACTCCATTGGATCCTACTTATCCCGGTCCAGAAGTGATTGTACAATTTCTGATTCAACATACAGACGCGCGCCTCGATCTACGCACGTTCTTGCTGGAACAGCTTGAGTGGCTCTTGAAGCGAACGCCTCAAGCTATTCACATCATCACCAAGCGTGCTGTCAAGGAAAGCGTGGAGCTTTTCGAGCCAGCCACGATCCTCAAAACCCTTCAGCCCCACCGCGATGCCATGTTGCTTTATCTCGAGTGGCTGGTGTTTGAGGCCAAGGTAGGCGCGCTTTGCTGGCAGGACGAGCCTGTGATCCTGTTTCCTTCCCTCGGCGCTCCTTTGTGTGATGAGTGACAGTTTTCCAGCCTTTACATCAATGCCTTGCTTGGCTTGGCGCTGTGCCCGCATTTAGACGCATCGGGCCGAGTATCACACCATGCTGGCGCGGAATCTGGTTGACGCCATTCAGCGCGTTCAGCGGCGGGTGCGTTGTGCCAGGCTTGCGTTTGGGTCAAGTCGTTGGGTGTCTGGGTGTCTAGGCAAAGCGAGGACGGCATCTTGCTTCACTTGAGTCTACTCATTGCTGAGCATGGCTCTTAGGTTGAAAATCGCCGCAGCAAAGGCGAGGATGCGGATGAGCTTGTGGCTGAGCTGGAAACCCTGCGCCTTCGTCTTCGCAATGTGCTCAAGACGAGTCAGCAGTACAGCATTGACCTGGTAGGCTTGGGCACATTACTCCAGCCTGTATGTGACCAGCAGTATTGCTTATTGACGCTGTGTTCTGTCGTACTTTGCACGGCCGATAGTTGCTGCATGACCTCGAGGCTACGGCCCTGTATGCCGAAAAGGCTATCGCCTTGGGCCGTGCGGGTCGCCATAAGGAAGCTTTGGATTTGATTGTATACAAGCTCGAGGACCATGGGATGGCCCGTGAATATTGTCACATCATGGCCGTGGGCACCACTCGACGTGAGCGGCAGCATGTTTCACTAATGTTGTTCAAGGTATGCGTTTTTGATCTGGTCCCGGCCTGCCTCGCCCTTGGCGCCTGCTTTCTCAACGCTCACGATTGCGCTTGCATTGTTGGGTGGCACAATGTGTGCAGGTCTACATTGAGCCGCCACCAGGCAAACCACGCAACGATCACGAGGCCTTGGCTCTTCTCAATAGTCACCTCTCTGATCTGGATATTGCCGAGGTATGTTGGTATTTGTTACACTGCCCAACTGCCGTTTTGGGGCGTTGAAGTGCCTGTACGTCCCAACTTGCCCGTCGAAATGATCCGCTCGTGTCGTGGCCCATGCTCGGTTGTAGGTTTTGCACTTGTTGCCTGATGATTGGTCATTCAAGGTCATCGAGCAGTTTTTGCGACGGTCGATCCAGCGCGACGTCCATCACCAGGCGCTCATCCAAGTGAAGAAAGGTCTCGTGGCCAGCGAAGCCATTCAGGTGGAAAGTCACCTCGCTCAGCTGGAAAGCCTGCGCGTGTTTCTACCGCCGACCGCCAAGTGCCGAAAATGCAAGCGACCGCTTGCGGCACTTCCGTCTGGGGATTTTGACGTGCCCGAATGCCCGCCCTTTGTTCGGTACGTGGTGCCCTTGATGGCATGACCCCCAACTCGAGACATGCTCACTTGGGTGTGGCCGTGCATGCAGATACCCAAACGGCATTGTGACCTGCTTATCGTGCGGTCAAAATCCAGAAATCTGTCCGGTCACTGCGACGCACTTTAATCCTCGAATACACAACACGATGACTTAAACCTGGCTCTAAATGGCATGTCGTACAGCGACACCTGTGTTGTTGCCGTCCTGCTTCTGAAGGTCTTGATGAAGGAGTCGCAATTGCAACCCTGACTGAACATGATCTTGTGGTGCCCGCCTTTTCATCCACCAAAGTCTGCTCACCAACACAGGCACAGACACAAGCACGATCAATTAATTCTCTGCGTCTTTGGCGGCTTCCGCAAACTCATCAGAAAAGACGTTGACGAGTTCAATGGGGTGGCTATAGTGCTGCTCAATCAGTTTGATTTGCTGCTCTTCCTGAGGCAGCACCATGGTGATGGCCGTTCCCTTTTTGCCGAAGCGACCCGCGCGCCCAATGCGGTGCGCATATTTTTCAAAACCTGGCACAGGCAAGCGGCACGTGTGGTCAGGCAGCCAAATTGTAAAACACTCGTGGGGAACAGACGGGCCGGGCCCCACGACAGGGACCGCCGCATGCTTCAGGCATAAATCGCGACATACTGATGGAGAGGCGATGTTGTTTCTCATCCATATCTACGGGCAGGTTGAAGTTGACCACAAGCGACACTTGGGGAACATCAATACCGCGAGCCAGGATATCAGTGGTAATCAAGACCTTGCTCTCGCCACGACGGAAGCTGCATTGCCCAAGCCGATGAGGGGTGAGGAAGCAGCCACGAGACACCACCGTAAGCCTCACAGGCGCCCAAAAGACCTTGCAAAAGCACCCGTCAGGACGGCGTTGGGTTGAAGAGAGTATGTGAGAGGACTTACCGAGTGAGCACGGCATCTTGCTGCTGCTTGTTCATATCTTTTCCACCAACAAGTACCTCCACGGTGAATCGCTCGGCCATGAGGCGCTTTGCCAGGTCAAAAGCCACCCCACGTTCCTTGACAAAGATGACCGTCTGACCAACGTTGACGGCTTCGTAAATTTCGCAAAGAGCCCGGAACTTTTCATCGTCATTACGGCACTGGATGTAAAGCTGCTTGACGTTGTCCAAAGTAACCTCCTTGATGGGAAGAGTAATAACGGCACGCGGTTCGGGCGCCGTCTTGAGAGCAAACTCCATGACGCCTTCCTCAAAAGTGGCCGAGAGCAAGATGACCTGGACATTCTTGTCAAGTTTGCTACAAACAAAATGGGAGGGGCAGGAGAGGGGGGGATGAGGAAATAGTCCAGGCTCCGCAGACCACACGGAGAAATGGCGACTGGCAGGAACGGCGATATACCCCATAATTTTGTCAATGTCAGCGCGACTATTAGGTTTGGCCAGAAGGTCGTCAGCCTCGTCGATGACAAAGTACTTGATGTTTTTGAAGTCGAATTGTCGGTTGCGAGGAGCACCGACAGCTTGGTTGGCCAAACGGCCCAGCGTGCCCACGACGATCTGCTGCGTGATCTTGCCCTTTGTGAAGTTGGGTGCGGTCGTACCATCTGGCAAGTCGGCTACGCCGTACGTAAAGGCCGTTTCCAGACCTGTGATCGTATCGGTTGGACATCATCAGATGAACAAAGGTTGAGTGCGCGTGTTTGCAGAGGCCGGCTACAGGTACTAAAAGTGTTTAGGCGGGTCGCACCCGTATCTTGGGCCAATTCATCAATGGTCTTGAGTGTTTGTTGGCACAGTAAAAAGGTTGGCGCTGTGTAGATGGCCTAGATAAACGGATGCAAGGCGAGGTTTGTCGGTTATTTAAATGCAAGTGTTTGTCAAAATAGCAGGTCCGTGCAGTTGATGAGGGCGGAGTGCAGCAGGGCACCCAGCAGGGCACCGGGACCGACCTGGGGCAGTTTGATGCTGGGATCACAGCGGGTGAGAAGGTTGAGGGAAAATGCAGCTGTCTTGCCAGTACCAGCCTGTGATTGGAAAATGAGGTTCTCGGGCCGACCCAGTTCCGGGCTATTCAGTTGAGAAAAAAAAAACAACCACCACCACCACCAACAACAATAGAAACCAAGAACAAAACCAAGCGCAGATGATGAGCGGTGACCACCTCTCCTTGGGTTGTCAGCGACTTGAAGGCAAAATTTCGGGGTGAGTAAGAGCAACAAGTACACGTACGAATTGCGCAGGAGGATGGGGAGAGCTGCAGACTGAATCTTGGAGGGCTGCTTGAAGCCCTTGGCATAACAGTTGATCAACACCTGCTCGCGGCTGGAAAACGCAACGCAACGTTGAGCGCAAGCCAATAATCATTGAGTCTGACTGGTGTGGGCAAGTCTGGGCAATATGACGATTGGGGTATTGAGCACTAGTCAGACGAGTGGTCGAGCCTACATGGGAAGGGTATCGGGTTGCTTGCCGACATCTTCAAAGGTGAGTGCCGAGTAGAGTGGGGAGGACTTGTCTGAGCGCTGAATGTCAAGGTCGACGCCCTCGACATCGATCAAGAGCTTGCTGGAGAAAGACGGAGCAGCCGCCGGTGGCGCATCCTTGGCAGTCTCCGCGGCCTCGGCAGATTTGCTCTCCTTGTCCGTGTCCAGGGCGTCGCCCAGGTCCGCGGCTAGCTTGTCCAGGCCCTTGTTCTCTCCGGCTTCCTTGTCTGCTTGGGCAGTTTTCTTGGCGCCCGAGTCCGTGGTGGCGCTTGCTTGTTGCTGGTCCTCGAGGGCCGGAAAGGGAGAGTCGGCCCAGGATTCACTGGACCCCTCGGTGGTGGCCCATGGCGCCGCAGCATCAGAGGAGAACTCAGACATGGCACTGGGGTGAGAGAGCACGTCCGGGTCGCGTCCGGCCAGAGTCAGTCACAAGCAGCTCACAAAAAAAAAAAAAAAGAGTGGTGAAAATTTCAGCAGAGCAGACCCCTCCTTTTTTAAACGTTGTTCAACTTTAGATTCGAGTCTGTCACGCATTAAACTTGTATCAAAACAGCCCCAAAAACCACACGTTCACCTATTGGCAATTTGACCAGTGGCAGTGGAAAATCATCGTCAAGTGTGTGTGTGTGTGTGTGTGTGTGTGTGTGTGTGTGTGTGTGTGTGTGTGTGCGTTTTCTTGGAGCGAACACATGTAATGAATGATCCAACAACAAGCAACAACAAGCAGGAACAAGGCGACCAAGAGAAAGAGGTGCAGTTTCCTTTTGCTTGACTTTTGGCTTGCTTTGCCATTGTGCCGTTGTGTGTGTGTGGAGATCACACACACACACACACACACAAAAGAGATTTTTTGTGGCTGACAAGGGTCGCAATGGCAGTCAGGTCAAGCAGTGCGAGCCAGTGGCGGCGTACTGCTGACCTGCAGTCATCCAGGGCACAGGCAAAGCAGCAGAGGTGGTTTTGGATCCTGCTGGGTGCCAACCTGGTCTTCCTCTCCGTGCTTCTCGATGCAGGCGCTGGCGCTGCCGTTATAGGTCAGTTTCCCCACAAGTGTTTTTTTTTTTTTTTTTTTTTGACCCTCTTGCTCGGTGATTTTGGGATTGAACCCTTGCGGCAATCGCTGAGCACCACGAGGCTTTGGCCCCACCCCTCCTCGTGGTGGTTGCTGTGCCTCTTGGGCTCTGCACTTGCCATTTTCCTTCTTCAGTTGCTGGGCCTTAAACCTAGCATCATGATTGCCCTTCCTCCGCTCCATGTTGGCTCACCGACTTGCCCTGCCCTGCCGCCTCGTCCTCCTGCATACTTGGACGTGCCGTGACACTCGTCTTGATGCCCTTTTTCCTTGGCCCTTTCTCTGGACCACCTTTATTTACACCAAGATGATGGCCATGTCAACGCCGACTCACGCATGCCTGATCCATTGGAGGCATCCTCGACGACCTCCACGACCAGTACGACCTCTATCTCGACGACCTCGACCATGATGACAACCCCGGCTTGGACCACGACTTCAATGCCCTGTGCCATTTGCCCTGGTGGAACTTTTTCCAATCAATGTAAGTTGTCAAGCTTCTTTCATCGTCACAAACTGAATCGAGCTTTGCGTGGCTTTCTTCTGCCGTGTCATTGGCCATGCCCTCATCACCGTTTCTTCATGTAGCGGCCGTCAACTGTACCGGAAATGGGCAGTGTGCACCAGGAAGCTGTCGTGAAGCCAAAAACGGCCAAGGTGTGTCCCACAATCAAATAAAAAAAAATCCAATAAAAACCATCCTGCTCGCCTGTTGCCTCACATACATTTGGCTCGCGATGAATAGGCTATGTACCGCCTGGTGGTACTCAGGCAACCTACTGTACGCGTTGTCCTCGTGGAAAATTCAGCAACGGCAACGCCACGGCCTGCGAGTTTTGTGCTGATGGTTATGAGCCAGATGCGGTTAGTCACTCATTTCACCCTCCAACGCTCAAAGCACACCACATGTGTTCATGATTTGTTGCTCGCCGCTTTGGTAGACGGCAGCAAGTTGCCAAAGATGCAGTCGAGGCGAAGTGTCCTCTCCAGGTCAGCTGCCTGTTTCAACCCGCCTCGTAAGGCTTGAGACAACAACCAAACACTAGATGAAGAACTCACATGTCTCCATATGGTCTGGTGAACATTATGATATACATTGCTAGGCGAGACTGGTGGCTTTTGTGTTCAATGTTTACAGAAGCACCCAGGTTGGATTGCCAATCAGGTTCAATCCGAGTGCGAATCATGCTCTCCTGGCATGAACTCCACGGTGAGAACTTTGGTTCTTTATGTTTCGAGCTGCCATCACGGCATGAACACTTCCGTTCCCGAGACGGTCAAAGCCAGCGCCATCGACAGCAGGCTCACACTTTCTCGGCTCCCCATGGCCTTACCTCATCTCTTTGTAGACTGGCAGCTCGTGCACACTTTGTGGACTTGGGTACTTTTGGAACGCAACGCTCCGCAATTGTCCGAAGCTATGCCCCATTGGTCATGCGTGCCACAACAAGTCACTGTGAGTCCTGATCCCTTCCTTGTTGTCATTCGCCGCGCTCCTCTTCCCCTTCCCAGTCAACTTCCTCTCTGCGTGCTTTCTTATAATCTGCCTGCCTCCTACAGTGCGAACGGCGAAGCATATTGTGACCAGTGCAACCCCTGTGAGCCGGGTTCCTTCTCATCTTTTAGCGGATCATATTCTTGCACGCTGTGCGCCCCTGGCGCCTATCAAAGCGAAGCGGGCCAAGATCACTGCCAGCAGTGTGAGAGTGGAACCTATCAAACGGAACGTGGTCAGAAAGTTTGCGACGTCTGCCCTGCAGGTTGGTGGTGTTTGATGTCATTTTTTTTTGACTTCACTTGTACATGAACCCGCCGCCGCCGCCCGCCGCCGCCCGCCGCTCTGGTTTCTGACCGAAGCTGATTTTACCATAGGCTTTTATTGTCCGGATGGTCACACAATCAAGCCGTGCCCTGAAGGCAAATACTGCCCCCAGCGTTCCACGGTCCCCAAGACTTGCCCTAGCATGTTCCGGGCCACAAGCAAAAGCTGCGAGTTTACACAACGTCTGATTGCCATCATCGTCTGCAGCTGTCTAGGTAAGCAGCTTTTGTGTTGATCCCATCAGCCAATTTTATGGCGTGTTGTGGAGAAAGGTCATGCTTCCCTTGGGGCGTGATGATTTCGCGAAAAATACTTAGACATGCATCAGAATCTTTCTGTTGATCCTTTTCCGCACTGATCCCCGAGTCATGACCCGACCACACATCACATGTACCCAAACACCCTGAAGAGTTTCACTGCTGACACCCCTGATTACGGCTCATCAAATAACCTATGTTTGTATCGTAGCTGGCGTGGCCGTCGTGGCCATGATCGTCTACCGTCGCTACAAGACGTACTCTCGGTGCGTGTGATTGCTGGTTACCCCCTCCCCCTCACCCAAAAAAAACTAAGATCCCTTCGCTTCTGAGATGTTGGCTCACGTGTTCTTTTTGCGTTGGGCATATCAACTTAGGCACCGCCATGACGAGAGCGCTCGTTTGATCGAGAAGAATCAGATCAAAAGGCCCGTGTATTCTGGGCTGTAGTGCCAAGAGTATCATTCGAACGTCGTTCAACTTCTGTGTCTGTTTTTCGTTTTTTCCTTGCCTGTACTGGCCGAACATCTGCGATGCTTCCATTTCGTCCTGATTCGTTGTCCTCAAATGCTTCTTGATAATCATCATCAACAAGGTTTTTGTTTGCATAATAGCTTCCAACAATCAAAAACTGTCTTAATTTTTTTTTACTGTCAGTAATTCTCGACATGAGGTGAGTCAGCCACCTCCCCTCCAAAAAAAAACCACGCACTCGTTATTAAAGATAATCCAGTGATCAAGAAAACATGAGCCAGGTAAACCAGGTCGATGGCATTCAAGGCAGCGCACGCCCGGCGTGCAGACGTCGAAGTGTATGTAATACGGCTATGCTCGTTCTTTGACCAAGCCCCGACGAGAGGGAAACTCTTCTGCAGGTCCATTTGAGCGTCCGGTCCCCGTTCTTTTGGGCCCTTTAGCAGTACCAGGTCTGAGACGTGCGCGAGCGACCCGAACCAATAAGTAACAACAAAAGACCAAAAGGAGAAAACAAACAAAAAAACAAACAAACAAACAAACAAAGAGTGAGTTCCTAAGCGAGGATCATGTGCAGGCCAGTTTGTACACATGTGCATGGCTCTGACGAGGCAAGGGACTGACCGTTGGCGTTTGCTAGCCATTTTCTCTTCCCGACGCTTTTTACGAATGATCTCATCGATAAAGTCATCCGTCGATTGGCCAATGACCACGTCCCCCTCATCACGCAGTGCGGCGTCGAGCGCCTCTTGTGCACGCGCACTCACCGAAGGACCAGAGTAATCCATGGTGGTTCGCTCTGGCATGTCCAGCTCGACAGCCATGATATTATCTGCTTTGTAGCGCGGGTTGGTGTCCACAGCCGCTTGCATTTGAGCAAAGACGGTGATGGCACGGTTGCGGGATGCAAAGGCGCTTTTTGGCCGATCTCGTGTGACGGTGCTCTCCAAGTCATCCGTCTCGGTGATGGGGCGCAGGGCCCAGGTTCCCGCAGCCTATGTCGAAGCATGATGCAACAGCAATGACATGAGCCAACGGCTCGAATTTGCCTGCCCCAAAGTTGTAGACATGACGCCCACCTCATCAAAAAAGGCTCGGCGGCGCAGCTTGTCAGCCTCAGTTGGCGGAATGAAATGCTCAATGATCAGTTGCTTAAGCCGCAGTCGCTTTTGAGCCTCTTCTGTTTGAATTTGCACTTCCTCGCGTTGATGAGCAAAGCGCTCATGCATGACATTGATGCGTTGTTCAATTTCCTGGCAAGTTTGTCAACGTGGGGAAAAGACGACAGAAAAAGAGGAGGGGAATAGAAAGTGACAAGGTGAGACATGGGCACGGACATCAAAAAGTCCAAAGAGCGGGCTTTTGCTGCCAGACACTACAGACCTTGAGCTTGTGGAAAACTTTCTCCAGCTTCTTGGTTTTGTGCTCCACTTCCTTCTCCAAGGAGGTGTATGACTCTTCGACCGCTTCGCGGCGCTCACGACGCGCCTCCAGCTCGGCCTGCAGCTGCGCGGCTTGTGCAGCCTGCTCTTGAAGCTGGCGCTGTCGAGCACGCAGCTGGCGCTCCTGCTCGGCGGTATGTTCCTCGATGGACTTGCCTGAGAACAGATTCATGCCATGTGAGTAAGTTGAGACGGAGCGACCCATGCACTGATGAATAGAGGCAAAGTCGGTAAGGGGCGGGTTAAAAGTGGGGCTGCATCACGCAATTCAACGCACCGCCGACCAGAAGCTTGGACTCCAATGCCTTGATTTTCGAGGCCAACTGAGCGGCTTGCCGTTGTTCTTGTTGAATCTCGCCTTGGCGAGCACTCATTTGCGCTAACAGCTGCGTCTTGGTTTCCTAGAAAGTCAGAGGTTGCTGTATCATGAGTGCTCAGGGAACCTGGATCCTCACAGATAGGAGTCTGACTTGCCTCGAGCATCGTGTTGTCTGCCATCATGGCGGCCTTTTCTTCTTCGAGCTTGCGCAATTCTTCTTCACGGATGCGAGCAAGCTCAGCCTCATCGGTAACGCCATCCTTGCCCTCATCGTCGTCAGACTCTTCCTGGTCCTCACCCTCTTCGGGGGGGATCTCTTGGCCTATTGCAATCACCATGCATGTGAGCACCACATGATCAATCGTTCCTCAACGAGGGCCGTGTGCCGTGCAGAGCTCTGGCCCTGCCAGAGCCACGTCAATTACGCATCAAGCCCGTCAAAGCAAAGCTATGCGCATATCCCAAGGAGGCGGCAATACCGTTTGCATCAAACTTGATGGTTCGGGGCTTGCGTCGTTTGCCGCTGCGCTTCTTGCCTCCCTAAAACGACAGACAGTTAAAGAGAGGGGTCACAGAAAGCGAATCCATGCCTCAGCCGCCAAACGTAGCAGTCAATACCGCCGAACACACAGGTAGTACCAACCCACCTTGCCCAACTGTTCTTTCAGGCGAAGAATTTCTTCTTGATACTCGCGCAACAAAGCATCCTAAACGGCGCGACGCTTAATACATGAAAGGGCTCAAATATACCACGCCCATCGGGCCTGAAGCTTAATCTTGTGTTATGCACTATGGCCCATCACGACGAGCGCGAGCTTTTCCACACCTTGGGGTCCTCGTTGATTTTGGGTCGGTTTTTAATGCTCTTTGCACGATGCGCGTAGCCGAGGGTGCTCATGGTCTCACTAAAGTTGCTATCGGCCGGTCCAATGGTCGCGACCATCATTGTCTTGGAGTTGCCGCCAAGGGAGTCCTGCACAAACCAAGTGCACCATGGGCACGCACAAAACTCAAATAAGCCGGCTCAATAGCAGCTGGGGGCGGCATACTTCTCACTCTTGACCCACTCGGCCAATCATTGCTGTCTCCTGTCCATTCTTCCGCTCCCTGCCATCCCTCTCTCTTTCTATTTTCTCCCGTCATTGGTGCTCCACCATGGCATTGGCGTGCCTGCAAGAGACGTGTCAACGAGGAGTTTCGGTAGGGGATGTGGGCGCCAGACTTGGATTCCACCAGAGCCTTGATAACCTGGCCCAAGGCCGTCAGGGAAAGGTTGATCTTGGCCCCTTCCTTGAGACGCTCGCCAGCTGCACCAGTTTTGGATTGACGTTCAGAACCAGCCAGATCAACCAGATTCAGGCGACCCGATCTGCAAACCGACGCAAATGACGGCAGCCCAAGAGTTAAAATGGTTAAACAAGTCCATGTCATTGGCCAGGCCAGGTGGGTGCGTAAATTTAAAAAAAAAAAAAAAAAAAAAAAAAAAGGGAGGGGGACTGAGCTTACCGTAAGTGAGCCTCGCCGGCTTCATCAATCTCCGAGCACTCGATATCAATCATAAAAATTGAGTGAGAGCGCGACGACTGATCGTTGGCGTTGGTGGCACCAACCACGCGGTTTTTGAGCCCGACGTTCATGACCTGTGTCGCGCACAACCGACATGAACCTTTTGGACAGCTCATGGGTGGTAGCAAGAAGAAGAGTGCATTGGAAGGACGGGTTTGAACCTTGGTGATTTCTTTCGTTCCTTTGACAACGATGGACGTCAGATCTTCAACGTAAACACCCGTGTCGGGGTTTTCACGCACAGCCAACTTGCGGGTGTGGTCGCGCGACAGCAAGTCACGCACATCCTAGAATTTGGGCCCCGGCATGAAAATCAGGGGTTCAAAGGGCGGGGCCGAGGAGGCAATAGGCGGCGCGCTTTGGTGCAACGTGACAAGAGGCAGAGTACAGCATGCTCGACACCGAGCCGCACCTCGTTGTAAATCTCCAAATAGGACGCGCGAACCAAGTATTGCTTGCCTGGATCAACAAGGCTCGTAAGAGCACGGGCAGCACAGAGATATCGAGGAACGCGGGAAACGAGGCGACAGACTCATTGGTCAGAACATACCCTGACTGTTGGTAATCGTGTTAAAAATTTGCTCAAAGGACTGAGGCACGATGCCAGGTAAACTCGCATCACCTACATCACAGCCAGGCATGTCAGCCGTGAAGAGGCCTCTTGGGTGGGCATGCCTGTCGTAGCCGTTGCCCCAGGGAAAAGCCGGGAGCGAGTAGGTTTCAAAAGGGGTTGGGTTGGGTTGGGTGGGTTGGTTTGGCGTTAGACCCCGAAACATGACGCACCGGTCATGGTGAAGGTTTTGCCTGTGCCTGTTTGCCCGTAGGCAAAGATGGTGCCATTGAAACCCTCGAGCACAGCATCAATGATATTCTCTGCGCTCTCCTTGTACACGGTGGTTTGCAGTGACCTATCGGCAACAGCACACCCGCAGACAGGAAGCAGGGGTCAATCAGTGGGTGGATAGGCGACACGCCAGACACATGCCAAGTCGCAGCTCTGACTTTTGGTCGTAGACTTGATCAAAGGTGAAAACCTTTGGCGCCTTCTCTGGTTGCTGAGGAGCGGGCAAAATTAAGCACACGAGAGGAATGGTATGACGCGAGCGAGGCAGACGGCATCTGAATCAGCGTACCAAGCACATTGGACCCAAAGGGACATGGTAAGCGGAAAGGTTTCACGTTTGCCTTACCTCTGGATCCCGAACGCTGATGGTACCTCGGCGTTCTTCCACCGTCACAACCCTTTATTGCAAAAACGAGACAAGAGGGGAGATGGCGAGCCATGAGCATAGCGCGCGGGACCAACCGCGTGCACATCTGGCCCGATTGACGCAGAGGGGCGCAGTGTCAACGAACTCGGCTGCGCTGACCGCGACCTCCTTCTTGTTTAGCGGTCGGCACCGCACAATGACCTTGACATTGTCGGCGAGCTTTTTGCCGCCCGGCGCCTGTAAAAGCAAACAAGAACCCAGCACCAGCACCCGCATGGCGATGTAATTGGTCAGCAATGCCAGCCAGTACACGAAGCCAGACCATATTCGCGATATAGCCTCCACGTACCATGACAGCGACCTGGGCAGTCAGGGCAAGACGCACGGCCGTATAGCGGCTGCCGTTGCGCACCCTCTCAAATTCGTTTTCTTTTTTTCTTTCAAATCTTGTTGTTCACACACAACAACAACAACAAAAAGTTAAAAAAAATTGAAAATTGGAAAAATTTTAAGGTTTTGTCTGCTCGCAAAACGGAATCATTGCAGAGGAGTCATTTGTTAACGTCGTTTGTATAAGCAAGCATGAATAAGCTTATGAAGGTGTATTGAGACTTGTTGTTGTTGGTGTTGGCTTTATTGATATTTTGTTGTGCGAGTCGAGCTGATCAACCATGCGGTCGGATCCCATCAGGGCTTGGCTGGCCCTTGTAGCCTGCGCTTCGGTGTCCGGTGCCGTCGTTGCTGCTGTGCAAGAAGAGCGGCCAAATGTCGTGTTCCTTGTTAGCGAGTGCGTTGCCGGGCCCGGAACCCCTCACGTCCCGCTGCCGATGCTGCCTGCCTCGACTCACTTGAACCGGCCTGCCCCAGTGACATGCGGGCTGAGCTGGGCACCTACGGGGCGACACACATGATCACACCCCATTTAGATGCCCTCGCCCAAGATGGCATGGTTTTTGAGCGCGCCTACGTGGCCATCTCTCTCTGCATGCCGTCACGCACCGCCTTTCTCACGTCTCGTGAGTGCAATTATGGCTGCCTAGAGCCTGAACCTTCCCGATCGGGCCGTGTGCTCACACCCCTTCAAATTTTCGGAGTCCGTAGGAAGGCCAGCCACCACGCACAACTTTGTCATTGCCCCAAACGAGCAGTGGCGGCAAACCAAGGGACCCAACGCTACAACCCTGCCCGAATTTTTCAAAACAGTTGGCGGCTATCGCACATATGGCATGGGTAAAATCTTTCATGGTACTACAGACGAGCCTTATTCTTGGTCGGCAGAGATGGGTGATTATTATGACTGGTACGAGGCTGCGCGAGCCGTCTTGTCCCTCAACCACAGCTGGCAGGATGGAGGCGTGACTTCTGATTCTCTTCAAGCTTGAGTGTGTGTTGCTGTGGTCTTGGTCATGCGCCTGACCAAGCGCCCAATCTGCTCAGGGATAATTGGACCCAGTATGGCAACAGCATGACGTACAAGTGCTTTGACGTGCCAGACAACAACCTTGGGGATGGCATTTTTGCCGATCGCGCCGTGAATTGGATCAACATGTTCGGTGCTGACCAGGTGCAGCTACCCCATTCTTCACCCATGTCCTTGGCCATTTATCCAATTTCTCTGATACCATGTTGTGTTTGCCACTTCTTCAGGCCAACGGCAGTGATACCCGCCCCTTCTTTATGGGGGTTGGCTTTCGTATGTCGTCGGTCTTGACACCAATGCTTACAGTGAGATACGGCTGCCATCCTCACGCCCGTTGATCTCCTTGGCCTCGGTGATCGTCAGACCGACCGCACATCCCATACCTCGTCCCAAAGCGCTACTGCGACATGTATCCACCTGCCGATGAGATTCCCCTCGCTGCCAATCCTTTCAAACCCGAGGGCATGCCTGATGTTGCCTATAGTGTGAGCGCTGGCCTGCGAAACTTTCAAGATTGCGCTCCACTCTTTGAGAATGTCTCCAAGTGTTACGATGACCCATCCTGGGCCTTTAGCAACCGGTACTTGCCTTGGCGACCAGCATAATATTGTTCTCCTCCCCCGTCACTTCAAAGCGGCTGACACCAGCCATGACCAATATAGGTGCTACATGGTCAATGGTACCCTAAAGACGATGGCGCAGAACGTGCGGCGCAATTATTGGGCTGCCATCAGCTACATTGATGCGCAGGTGAGCCAATGCGCCATCTCAGCTCGAGCATCATCCGCTTTCGATGTAAGCTATAGGCAACCGGTTCCCTATTGTTGTAGGTGGGGCGCATTGTCCAAGCTCTCAAGGACAACAATCTCTACGACAACACCATCGTCCTCTTTATGGGCGACCACGGCGTATGCACTTGCACGGGCCGCAGCGTAAGCATGCGGTTGAGCGCGCACCTCATCTAGATCTGGCCCTTGTTCATAGTATCAAATTGGAGATCATGGTTGCTGGGAAAAATATGTATGTAGCTGTTTGCTTCAAGCATCCCCAGCAGGTCGCACTCAAGCGGCTGTCGTGTCTGCACGCGTGTAGACCAACTTTGAGCATGGGACTCGCATTCCATTGATCATACGAGACCCTAGCCACACCCCGGCGCGCACTGCAGCTCTCGTTGAGACGGTCGACATATACCCCACCCTGGTCCGTCTGTGCCACAGTGCTTGCTCGCGTTATACCTTCACGGATGCCTCGTATGGCTCTCATGAATCCCGCGTGCGTGCCGTGGTGTCTGAAGGTGGACCTGGCCGGACTCCCGAGCCTGGAGACTTGTGCGCCTGGCTCTATGGCGGCCTTGTGCACCGAAGGCTTTAGCATGCGTCCCCTGTTTACGGACCCCACACGAGCCTGGAAGTCGGCAGCCTTCTCGCAATGTACGCTTCCATCCGGCCTCCTGCCAAGACTTGCTCGAACATGTTGAGAAGGACACACACGACAACGCAAAGGAAGAAACACCACACAAGAGCCTTGGTGTTGCGAATCCCCTTGGGACCCTCCCTGATCTTGTACTTTGGGGACCACGTTTAACACGTTCATGCGCTTGCCGTCCCTGCTTGCTTGATCTGAGCAGATGCACGCCCCGCACCATCGCCTGATAACGGCTTTCCAGCCGATCTGTTTTCGCCGCCCCTGCATGTGGCCGGGCATCGGGAAGGCGTGATGGGGTTTACCATCCGCACCAACACGTACCGATACACCAATTGGGTGTGGTTTGACCCCGCATCGGCAACCCCACACTGGAACATGTCCTGGGGTGAAGAGCTGTACAATCATACGGCACAGCCCGTGCCAGATGGCTTGTTCAACAACGAGAACATCAATCTGATTGACCAGCCTGGTCTTGAGCCCATCATTGACAAACTTCGGCAAGCCCTGCAAGCTGGATGGCGCGCGGCCCTGCCCAGTTAGGTGTTTGAGGCGTGACGATGCTTGAGCATGCTGTAACATGTAATAGGCAACGTCCTTCTGAAGTGTACTTGATCTCTGCTACGAGATAAATTGTGACATTGTTTTGGGATTCGACGTCTTTCTGTTATGGATTTCCACAGCTGAATAAGAATGAAGAAGACATTGCGATTCTTGCGCGCCTCAACGGCTTGGGATCCTTTCATTGAAGGGTCCATTGCTCACATCCACGAAGGCGATGGACGATATCGTCCAAGGCCAACTCGATCACACAGTGATTCTCGATGAGCGACATTTTTGGCCAAGTGGCCAGTTGTCCTACTTTCAGCGCGTGCTGGAAGTGCTCGGGCGTTGGGTTGGAGATGATCCTATTGCACAGGTGGTGGGCAGCCGTCAGCCCATTACGTTTAAATCTCAGGCTGTGGAAGACAGATGGTCGCCAGAGCATGGGGAATCAATGAGACCATGTGGGCTCTCACTTGAGGTAGTCATCCGCCGTGATATCAGGGATGATGGTAATGTCGCCCATGTACTTTTGCGCCAATACAGTGCGCAAGTTGTTGAGGGAGGAAGGCATCAGCCCCCATGAAGCAAGCTGCTCGAGGCGGTACGACACCTCCGAAGCCACCATGCGGGGCAGCGCCGAGTTCCAAATCCAAGCATTGCGCAGAAAGGGGAGGATGTGGGGATTCACCTGTGTGCTCAAGCACGATCGGTCCAAGTGGGATGGCGCAATAGGGATGATGAATGAGGCCGAAGGCGCTTTGTCCCACTCAACGGAAGGCTCTGAACATCAGTGGGGGATGGTGCGAACCTGGCAGACAATGAAATGATTGATGTTAAAGAGCTCTGACAATCGATCCATGGGCAGATCTGTGTGCATGGAGCCTGGAATGCACGAGATTGCAGGGATGGACATGGCAGATGAGTCTGTGCGGCTGTCAGTGACATTGATGGCTGACAGCCGAGCAGGCCATACCGTCGGACCAGGTTTGGCCTGAAGGATTCCAGGGATGGAGCGCTCCGTTGCGGTCCTTAGCGAGCACTTCCACGGGGTCGAATAGACCAGACAGAGCACACGAAGCGCACGCGGCGCTCCAAATGACAACGTTGGGTGCCGTCAAATAATTGAGCAATCGCGGTGCTTCCATCTGCGAGTGTGCACACAAAACACGGGGGAATAATGATGGACGACAGTTATCACCTTGGACGGCTTCGAAAGCCGGCCGAACACACTTCAATGGAGCGGAAAGCACACATACCGCGTCTGGTGGATTGATGGTGATGTTCAGAATGCGCCGTGTGCGGTCGTAGGCCTCCTAGATTCCGCAACATTGAGGACACCGTGAGTAAGGATGAACAACTCAAAGCACAAACATTACACCAATCGCTAAGGTAGGAGGGGCAATGCCTGCTGCTGGAACGTACCTGGAAAGTCAAGTCCCCAAAGTTGGCGCGACAACACTCCTTCAGAACTTCCACATCAGCCAGGGTACCATGTCTATCACAGTCAAGACAAGGACAACATAAAACATGAAATAGAAAGCAAGCGAAGAACATTCAATATGGTCAGAAAGTGGGGGAGCGACATCTGTGTTCAAAAACAGAAATAACAATGAAGAGAATAGGAATAGCCTTGGAGTGGAGACAGCCCGCACTTGAAAAATCGAAATAGTTTTGCTCGGAAATCAACGGGCTCGCCCTCGCGAGTCAAGATGTAGCTGCAAATGGCCAGACCAGAGAGCGATGAGAGACGATGGAGACAAAAGCGGCAAAGACAACACGTGAAACAAGACATCAGCAGCCAAGTTTGGTGGGTGTGTGGTGTCTGGCTCACTTGTTCTTCAAACCGGCCGAGTCTCCAGAAAGGAGGGCCTCCAGCTCCTCCTCAGGAGTCACGCAAATCAGCGAGGCAACAAGCGACCCCACGCTGGACCCGCTGATAATGCGCGGAAGCATGCGCCGCTCGTGCAGTGTCTTGAGGAGACCGAAATGAAAAATGCCGAGGCCACCGCCGCCGCTCAAGAGGAGGGCTGAGCGACCAAAAGCTTGACGAATGGCCGTGAACAATGTCACTTTCTCGTCTTGTCCCAAGCCGGGAATGTTCTCGGTGCTGAGGTAGCGCAGTTGATACAAAACCTGAGCGAGCGGTGCGGTGAATGAGTGGCTACAGATGAGTAAGGAAGGGCGCATGTATGCATTGTGTATCGGACGTGTTGCCAGGCCAGCTGCATTCCAGGGCGGATATGCCAGGCGTGCTAAACAGACCTCTTCGACGTATTGTTCAATGAGGTCTTTCGTTCCGAGATAGCAGCGCTCAAAGAGGCGCGGGTTGCCCATGCCACCCAGGTCACGGTGAAGGGTGGAACGCAGGAGCCAGGCCATTTGGGCCTTGTCATCGGCTTTGCGGGCCTTGTACAGCTGTTCGAGGCTATCCCGGACCAGCTGATAGTCATAGAGCTGCACAGCATACCACAATGAGCCAACGAGGGAGGGCGAAACACCTTCCAGGGGAACAAGGATGCGCTGGGCAGATCCGATGGCGAGTCAGCCTACCTCGCACTCATAGCTCATTTTCCACCTGTTGTTGCCCAAAAGCTTGTCCAACTCGTAGGCAACGGCGCACCACTCGTCATAGTTGGAGACCTGCTGAAGTTGACGGGTCAAGGCCTGTTGCTTGACGAACCGCGGGGAGATGCTGTCAATGCCGCTGTTAACCCAGTGCGGCCAAACCTCGGTCACAATGTCGTACACCAGCAAGATAAAGTTGTAGTAAAAAAACAGAACGGTCGAGCGCGCGGAGCGATGGCCCTTGGCCGCGAGATGGGCGGCCGACATATGTGCAGTCGCCCATAGCTTGTGCAGCCAGGCCTGCATCGTTTCGGCGACAACGCGGGAGCGTGTTGCCAGCCATTGACGCCAGCCTGCCAGCCAACCACTCGCTGGCTCGTGCGCCTGTTCCTGTTGCGCGGGACCATGCTTCGCGGCACCGGCCCCGGCCCCGGAGTCGATGGGCTTTTCGTCATCATCGACTTGAATACGCGGATGTCGTTCCAGGTTCGCCGAGGACGGCGCTGTTGCTGGAGCAACGCGCATCGGCACGGGCATCATGCTGATCGCCCTCCCAAGCGCAGCTCGCACCGCGCGACGCACGTCCACACCGCCTCTTGCCTATAGCAATGCTCTTGAGGCTTCTTTGAAGGAAAGGTCGAGAGTTATTTCTTGTTCTTTGGCGTCTACTCTTTTCACTGCCGATGCTTGAAACCATTCGGCACTCAATCTGGCAGAACAAACCCGACGTCCTCGCGCTCTTCGGCGCAGTTTTGAGCAGTCGAAGGTTGATTTGGAAACTGTTTCAAAGGACGTTTTTACGTTTTCATCACACAGATCATCGGCAACACCACCAGCAGCAACAAGATGCTGACATTCTGTCTGACATTCTGCGCGAAGAAAAAGTCAACGCACCGACGCATCTGGAAGATTAGAATCCGGGAAGATTATGACAATCTGACAAATTTGGACAACACACTACCAAGTGTTTGAGAGGTGTGAGCTGGCGCGCCAAAAAAGTGTTGTGCTTCTTTTCTCACTCGCACTCTCTCTCTCTCTGTGGTTTGTTCCGTATCAACCGGGGCCAGAGGCAAAGTCAGGTTGGTATGAACGGCAGTCTCAAAAGCGCACTCTTGTATTGATGTGTGGGATGAGAGCGACAAGCTGGTGACCAACGCCTTGCGAACAATGACGATATGAGCCGGTCGTGGTGGAAGAGATCAAAGAGATGGGTTTGAGCAGTGTGGGGCGGTGTGCTTCATGTCCCAGGCACAGCTTGACCACCGCACCTGCCCAACTCACGGGAAACACGCATGCCCCTGTCTTGTTGATGGCTAGGCGGCAGGTAGACCGGCCAAGATGGCGTCCAACGCAGGTACCATGCCTTGCCTTTATCAATCTGAGCCTCTGAGCCACCTAGATCGCATGGATTTGGCTCACCGGCCCACATGCCGCTGCGCGCATCCCCACTCATGCACCATGCGCACGACGCCTTGATTTCCAACCCCTGCACAACCCCTGCTGCTTTTAGTCACGTCGCAAGCCAACTCCTTGCGGATCATCAAGGTGGAGAAATGCTTTGGTGCCAACGGCAAGCCCCTGCGCAAACCGGGTCGCGTCCTCAAGGGCGAGGGTACGATTATTTTTCGTGCCACCCCTCTCGGCCTCTTCTTCAAACATGGGCTCTTTTATGCCCATGCTTGGACGTGCGCCCTCACTCGCTCTCACCTGCTCTCCCTGACAACGCAGGTGTTCTGAATAAGGTGTGCCGCAAAGTGGTCAAGCCCCGCATCTTTTTCCTCTTTAACGACATTTTGGTGTACGGCTCAATTGCCCAAGAGCAACAGCGGGTACGTTTGCAAGTTGTGCACGGGACAGTGATCCTTATGTCCTCTGCTTGTGCTTTACGAAAAAGCTTCTCACATTCTCTTGACAAAACGCCCAGTACACCAAGCAAACAATTCTGAATCTGGAGGGCATGCAATTCCGTTCCCTGGACGATACCCCCAAACTCAAGCATGCCTGGGTGGTGAGTCACTTTTGAATGGCATCAAATCTTTGCCACCCATGCCAATCTGTAGTTTCCTCCCCTGATGCCGTCCTGTTTTTTGGATGAAGATCTCCACGCCCAGCAAGTCATTCACCGTGTGCGCGGCAAGTCCTCGCGAGAAGGCTCAATGGCTGGACCACTTGACCAAGGCTGCAAATACCACGGCGGCCACAAGCGGCGATGGTCGGTCATCACTCCGTCCGGCTCTGGCCATGATCACCTTGGCGCACACCTCTCAATTTCTATTGCTTTTCGGGGCTGTTGTAGACCAGCGCTTTGAGGGGCATGCTCCCAACTGGGTGCCGGACACCGAGGCGGATGTGTGCATGCACTGCATGAAAACAACCTTTAATGCGTTTAAGCGTCGGGTGAGTTTTGACATTGCGTTTGAGCACTTTACTAGGCGATGTGATCGATTCACCCAAACAACCCTTGCTCTTGCCCCCCGTTTGACGAACGATTGGCTTCTGCTCTGCTGCATTTGGTTTGATCTCTTGCTTAGCACCATTGCCGGTACGTTGCTTCGTTCCCCAGCCTACGCGCCCGTCTTTTTGTAAACTGCAGCCTCAACTGTGTGAGTTGGCCATCCTTATCTCATGTGGTCATACTTGATGGTGGTCTTTGATGGTGGCCCTCGATGGTGACCCTTGCTTGGTGGGACAGCTCCTGTGGCAACGTGGTGTGCGGACCCTGTAGCACCAAGAAGCTTGTGATTGCATCACAGGGCTCCAAGCCCGCGCGCGTGTGTGATGCCTGCTTTGACAAGTAGGTCAATAGTCTTTGGGAAGCTTTCCTTTGGTTTTATCGGCGCAGATTTGCCACGACGGCGTGCGACGGACATGCCATGCTCACCCTTCACTACTTCATTTGCGGTGCTTGCAGGAACGGCGGGGTAGAGAATGCTACCCAGCAAATGGGCCGATCCGATGTATGTGGGCCGTCCGCTTTTCATTTAGCTTGGTCATTGCACCTCAGCTTGAGACCCTGACTGACGCTTTCTTGGCTGGGAATGGCTTTGCAACTATAGTTGGAAGACTCGGATGATGACGATGAGGATGGGCACAACGATGCCAGCAATGTCTCTGCACGTGACATGGAGGTGGGTCACAGGCGCTCGTGGGTGCTGAACGCCTCTGTGGCTCATTCGATGCATTTTCCCATGCTGTGATTGCGTGCTTTAGGAGGCAACCCAGGCCCTGCAGGACATGGCCGTGGGCGAGCGCATGAACTTTTACGCCGAAGGGGATGGGGACATTGAGGACGACGGGGCTGCTGAAGACAACGGGAACGCCAATAGCGACGACGCGGTGGACAATGGCGAGGGGCAAGCGGCGGCCGCATCCCAGTCAGAGCCGTCTGATGACGAACAGGAGCCACCGGCTGCGGAATAAACTTGATCCTTGCTTTTGTGTCCGTGCCCTGTATGACTCTTTCCTTGCTCTCAGCCCTGCCTTCCCCTCTCTTTTTTTAATTTTCTATTAGTTTTTCCCTTTGTCAAGTCTTATCCTTTCTTGTGTGCGTTTGCCAGCGGGACGATGGGGGGGGATGCTGGAGCACACTGGGCCACAAGCAGATGGGAAAAGAAAAATTGATTCACCAACTCACGCCGCCGTTCATTGATTTTGCTCAAAAATGCTGACAACTTCAATTTTTGTCTAAACAGCAATTGACACCACTTTGCTTGCTCTGCACTTGCCACGAGGGGACTTTTTGTGGGGACTTTTTGCGCCAGTCGTGTTTCAACTGATTCACTCACATTTAATAAGAAGGAGGAGCCGTTACATCAAGTGCTTCCGCTTGCTTGCCTCGCGCTCCCGGCCGCGACTATACCCGAATCGCGGCCGGTGAAGGCATTTTTTTACAGGTCCTGACCAAGAAGACTCTTCGTCAAACCCTCTTCAGAACATCATCATGTCGTCCAAGACTGGCAAGGCTGGCAAGGCTGCCGGAGGCAAGGCCAAGTCGCGCTCTTCTCGCGCCGGCCTTCAGTTCCCCGTTGGCCGTATCCACCGTCACCTGAAGAACGGTAACTACGCCCAGCGCATTGGTGCCGGTGCCCCCGTCTACCTCGCGGCCGTCATGGAGTACCTCGCCGCTGAGATCCTCGAGCTGGCCGGTAACGCCGCCAAGGACAACAAGAAGACCCGTATCAGCCCCCGCCACATCCAGCTGGCCGTCCGCAACGACGAGGAGCTCAACAAGCTGCTCTCGGGCGTCACCATTGCCCAGGGTGGTGTGCTCCCCAACATCCACAACATCCTGCTCCCCAAGAAGAGCTCCACCGCCGTCAAGGGCGCCAAGGCTTCCCAGAGCCAGGAGTTCTAAGCACTTTTTTGCTCGAACTCTTTCGCTCTCTCGCCTGTCTTGATCTTATGATCCAGACACGTCGTTTTATTTCTACCTTAAAACATCAAAATCCGGTGTTCTTAAACACCACCAATCCTTTGATCATCTCTTGTGCAAAAGCCAGCATGCCTGGCATGCCTCTGTTCGCTGTCAAACACACCATGAAACGAAGCCTGGCCCCGCAGGCATGATAACTCTTTTTAGCGTGATGGAAGCGCCGAAGCCCCAATGTAACTAAAAGAGCTTCAACAGTGCTGAAGCGTTCTCGACGAATGGGACGGTCGACGCAGCGAGCCAGCCCTTGGTCATTCCTCTGCATAACCCACAGATCAAGATGCCGCCCATGGCAGAGAAAGGAGCGAGACAATTGCATCTGGATGTGCGTCACATCACAGGCACTTCTAGTTGGTTGTGTATAAATTTTTTATTTTTTTTATTTTTTTTTTTTGATTTGGGGTGTTGACTGCCAGCTCAAACATCGAACATGCCGACGTATGAACCAGATATCTGGCGTTGCATCGAGCACTCCATGGGGCATGCGTGCTCCATACTCACGCGCCTTGGGTACTGACGCAAACATGTAGCTTTCCTTGTGCAGAATGCAGCCTCACCTTTCCCAACACGGTCAGTCGAAGAAGCATCGCTGCCATTCACGCCATGCTTCCTGCTGACGCGCTGACACATAAACATACACCAGGTTCAGCTATCTCGACACATGATCTCTGGGACGTGTGAGGGACAGCTCAAGGCCATTGCCGAGGCTCATGCCAAGCAAGAGCAACCGCTGTACGAGGTATAGAGCCTCGGCTGCCCCAGCTCGGTAGCGACCGACCCGTCACTGATCGCCGCAATCGCCTTCGCCTTTGCTCACGCAATTTCTGCTTCATAGTTTGATTTTTTCAACGATGGTCGGCCACGCTCATCCTTGGACGGCAGTCCTTGGCAAAGCCCTGGCTTTGAAGGCGGTCACCATTCTGCCGGTGGCCTGGGTGCGTCGCTGGCCAGCGGCCGTCTTGATCCCGCTGTTGACTGCTCGCCGCTGAGTCCGTGGGCGCTCACCACTCTTGGTCGGGCCTGCAGGCAGTCTTGGAGTGCACTTTGTCCGCACCAAGACAGATGGCGACGTTCTTGTGCTGAAGCAAGGCGATCGCAGCACAGCCACAGAGTACTTTTGTGCTCGAGTGCTTGAGAAGCTACAGGTGCCCTGCCCTAAGATGCGCGTCCTCTCGCGCCGTGCTTGGGCAGCCGCCGCCACAGCCGCCAGCCAAGTAGGATGACCTCACATCACATGCGGTGCCCCGGATTCTGGACAGCCTTTCTCGCCTTCACCACTGCATATGGTTCGTGGCAATGCTTCTTCTTAGATACCCTATACGGTGCAAGGTGCTGGCGAGGTCCTCGCTGGTGCTCGCGCCCAGGAGGCGGGAGGCGTGATGCAAAGCTTTGCAAAGGGCTTTACACTCAAGGACCCACGCGTCAAAGACCTTCTCAGGTCCGCATGACCTCGCGCTCGCACCTTGCAACGGGTTTGTGCCTCACACGGCTTGGGGCTTGTCTCACAGCCATCCCTCTTCTGCACCGTCCATTCTTCGTGACCTGGGTGCCATGGCAGCGGCTGACATGTAAGCCCATCACGCAGCACGCTCCCTGTGTGGTGCCGCAAACCACCGGTCATTCGCTCATCTGCGCCCCATTTCTGGCCCTTGTGCATGTGCCTGTCCGCTTCACAACCAAATTACTCCAGGCTTTTGAACAACTTTGATCGCACACCCCTGATCTGGGACCATGAGGGCAACGCCAACAATTTCATGTTCGTTACGGACAATCACGTCGCTGCAATCGACAACAGCACGGCAGGCATCACCAATGAGGACGGTGAGGCACTTGTGCAAGGCGTGTGAAGCTGGAAGGGCAGAACACCTCAAGCGCAGGAAAAGCTGACTTGTGGATTTGACTTGCTCGTCGTAAACGTGTTTGCCCGCCCATCGCACATAGGGATTGAACGATACCTTGGACGAGTTCAGGCAGCGCTGCAAGAGGCGCTTCAGCACGACGCTCAAGGCAAGCACACGGCCAAAGTTGTGCACTTTATTGAGAAATGGACCGGACTCACGCTCGACGCAGACAGTATCCGCGCATTCCACGTGCGTACATCCTCGGCCCTCCCTTTGGTCCTTTCAACCTTTTCTGTCATTTTGCCCAACACCCTGTGCACACCAGCCTTTCACACGCAGTGCACGTGGCTTTTGCTCAGGACGGTTTGGTTGACACGGCCCGACGCGCTGCACACGACTTGGATCTCACCCGTTGTTGGGAGGTACGGGCGTTTTGTTCTTGTTGTTTCTTTCTGTTCCGAATTGTTCCTTCTGTCATGGCAGCTTTCAGTCGGTCCCACATGCTCGCGTAACTTTTGCCTTTCCTTTTGCTCGGCTCTGCACGGCAGGAGAGTTTTGATGCCTTCTCCAGTGCTGACTGGGGTGCCTTTGGGGTAGACCTCATCAATGTGCCGTTTCTGACCACTGTGCAACAATCCTTCCAAGCCGCCGTATGAGCAGGGGACGTGCATAATGATATTATGATTTATGGCATGCTTCATCAACATCTCACAAAAGCAGGCCTTCTGACCCTGCGCACCTCTCCTTGTGGCAGCAGTTTCTCGCCTGTTTGAGGCCTTTCCTTGCTCTTGGTCTTGTTGCCACGATCCCAAAGGTTGTTCATGCACACGAATTCATTTGCATTTCTTGCATGAGCCGCGCGTCCACTGATCAGAAGACGCCATCGATCATGGAATCTGTTCCGTCTCTCTCCCCCAGTGCCCCATCCAATGTCGCAAAAGACTCTCACGATAATCAACCACTACTACTTCCACCACCACCACGAGCAGCAGTAGCAGCAGCAGCAGCAGCACAGCCACCAACGGCCACAGCGGCAGTTGCAGCTTCAAAGCGCGGCAACAGAGGAATGATGCGAGGACCGCACTCACACGGCTGACATAGGAAGATGAAGCAATCACATAGGAAAAGGAAGGTATCCTACAGTGGCTTCTGTACAAATATGTGTACTTTTTGCCGTTATTTTTGAAGTTATCGCAGTTGCTGTTTCGTTGCTTTTTTTTGTTTCGATACAACGCTTGGCAGCGGCGTCTTGGCGCCTGCCGAGTCTAAGAGGAGGGCTGCTGTCCAAGCCGACGGCCTTCTTCCGTGGAACGTATCGACGGCTGGCCTAGCTGCAAAGCCCTTGTGCTAGCATGCTCTTGTCGTGGTCTTGCCCTTGTCCCCCTTTGCGCTTTGGACTTCAAGTGTTTGCGTGAGATCTGCAAGGCTTGTGGGTCTGTCCCAGAGTGACGTGGGTGACCTCACCGAATAACTCACCCCACAGCTCCATCATTGAAGCCCGACTCGTGTCGCCGGTCCGGCCAGCAGCCGCGTGATAAAGAGCCAGTCAAACAATTCTCAAACCAGCCACCGCTCAACATGACTCAGCCAGACCCAGCCTATTCGGTGTCCACCACCGCTGCAGACTTTGACGCAGCCATCGCAGCAAGCAATCTGAGCTCTATCGCCCCGACGGATGCAGGTCTGGCCCAAGCCTACAGCACAAGTTCCGCTACTGGTGTAAATCAAAATTCGTCCCTCTTTTTGGACAGCCCTGACACAGACGCTCTCTTCAACGCGGACAATTTGCTGCAGGCAGCCACCTTCCCCTCGACCGGTTACAGTTTGCCTGGCATGTCCCTCCCCGTTCCCGACGCAGACAGCTTTGCCGAACCGTTCTTTGCCAAGTTTCTCACCGAAAGTGACATCAACGCCGCTTTTCCTGCCATCAACCCTACTAACCGCCCTGCCAGCAGTGCTGCCATCGGTGCCTCGACTGACCTTCCTTTGCTACCAAACGCCTCAACGGCGTCCTTCCCGATCAGCACCTCTCGCGCCGTCCTACCTGAGCTGCACCAGAGCTCGGCTCTCTCAGCAGCCTCAGGAGCGCCGCCTCTCCTCGGTGGAGCCGCTGACCTTGCCTCTCCAACACTCTTTGCTCACTTGAGCGACGATGGTGTGGGACTTCGTGCCGACGCACTGAGCCAACTGTTGGACAGTGCTCCCGCTCGCCCCATCACTCGACCTCCTTCGCACGGCCACACGACAGTGTCTGTTCCCTCAGGGCCGGTGATCGCCCCGACAAGGCCGACTGCGCCAGCTCAGCTGTCACCCCCAGGACAAGCCTCTCACACACCAGATACCGGTCGAGCGAGAACTGCACCCCCGGCCGGCCGCTCAACTGCGGCCCGCCCTGCCACCTCCAATGTCGTCTCCGTGGCCGCAACCCCACACTCAAGCGATACTCACGAAGACGATGACGACCATGCCGGTAGCACCAGCAACCCTAACAAATCAGCCGCAGACCGCTACCGCAAGAAAAAACGCGAGGTGCGATTGTGCAGCTGCCTCCCCAAATTTGCCCGCTGTGCTGTGCTTCACGCACACACGCACACGGCACCCGAGCCATTTGGGTGCCATGGCCCGTGCTGTCGTCCCTTGGTCACCACCATGACGTGAATCTCCATAGGAATTTGAGCGCTTGCAACATGATACAGAAGCCATGAAGGCAGAGAACCTTGAGCTCAAAACGCGGCTGAGCAAGCTGCGCAATGAAGCCGAGTTTCTGGCGAACATGCTTCAGAGTGCCATCCAATATTCGCCCAATCGCTTGCAAGGCTTGTTGCACATGCCTGCGAGATATGTAACGCAAGCCATGCTCCCAGAAGGTCTCGAACTTTCCACCTTCCTCAGCAAGCGTGAGGTCATCGCTGCCCTGCTAACCCAGATTGAAGCGCCGGTTTGTGATCCGACCTTGCCCGCCTTTCCTCCCATGGGTCGGGCTACAATTCGATGTGGTATCTTGCCCACATCCTGTCAACCCTCAGGACGTGCTCACATCCGATTGATGCCAATTTTCTTCGTTGGTTTCGCAGCAAGTCGCAAGATTAAAGCGCCTGGAAGAAAATGCGAACATGATCGAGGCCGCGAGTGCCAATGGCTCTTGCTCATAAAGTGTCAGGTTGGCGAGCGTTCCGAGTTGATCGCCAAGTACCAGCCCTCCCCGCCATGTGGATGGTATAAGCTGCCACAGAATTGGTCGATTTGGGACTTGCTCACGTCATTCTGTGTCCCGTGTTTTCTTTTAAATGTCGCTGTTTTCCTCTACGCTTACAGCAGGTGCATTTCAATTGACTTTCTCATCTTTGCAACTCTTGCTGCCAGATGGGCTGGCCAGTGCCTGATAGTCTAGCCTTCTTGCTCAACACACGAGCAAGGAAGGGTGGCACAACGTGAGGGAGGTCTTGACATTGGTTGGTATGAATACAGTGTTAAGGTCCTTGTCAGAGGTGGTTCAATTGTCCGTTATTTGGACATGCCACATGATACGGGATGAATGACAGCAGGCACACGAATGCACGGCATAAAAAAACACAGGGGGTGGTGTAAAGAGAGAGAGAGAGAGAGAATAATGTGATGACACATCAGGAAGACCTCAATAACTGAGCCCTTCCTCAATAAAAGCCGCAATCAGCGATCGCCTGGCGGCCGCGAATGCTCGTTCCCGAGCGCGTATTGCACTGAGCGCTGATACCAGTCGAGACAATATAGTGGAACCAGTAACTGCGTCAGGCGCAAAGGATTCAAAAGATGAGGTTGGCATGTGCGACGCGCAGAGAGACCGAAGGAGAGAGATAAAGATAATAGGCATGGTAGTCGGGGATCACGAAAAGGCGCTGTCGCGCAACGGACCTAGGAATGTATAGGACCTCGCCGGCGCGAACCACGACCTGGGCGGCTCTGCAACAAGCACATGCAATCCATGAGACACCATCGTTTGTAGTCTGGTTTGAAATGGCCTTCTTCTAAAAGCGGTGACCAAGAGTTAGCCATCGACGCCACTGGACATCGAAACCTACTGCGAATTCTTCATCTTGGGCCATTGCTCAAAATCAGGTTGGCTCCAGTCCGCCCTGGAATGCCGTGCTATTCACGAAGGAGGAAGGGACGAAAAAGATCAATCGAACGATGGCAAGTGGTTAAAAAAAAGGAAACCCACCCCCCCAAAAAAAAAAAAACATGAGGTTCAAGGACATGGCGAAGGATGTGAAAATCTGGTCGTGCGCCACACGTTGGCCAATGCAAAGCTAATGGCTCAAGAGCCTCTGCTTGACTTACATTCCGGGTGGTTGCGTGGCCACAAGTAGAGATTCGGGCATTCTTCAGGAGGCAGAATAATGTACCGCTTCGCGCCTAGCATGAGCACAGAAGGTCAGCCGCTGCTCCACCACTGGCTATGGGGAAAAGTATTGCGCTATGCCCATGGTATTTTCGCATACCCCGGATCATGGCTACAAAGTTGCGGCCGCCATCATAGTGATTTTCGGCAATGATACCACGCGCCCCAAACCGACAATTGATGCCCTGTGCTCCCCAACAAGCGGAAAAGTGAGTAAGTTTCCCCGTTGTAGGTTTGACAGCGCCACTCATAACCCAACGCGCACCCGATTCTGAGTGGGATCGGCGATGAAAAAGTTGGCGACGGGATTGAAACTGGGGAGGTCCTCTCGAATCCAGCTAATGACATCACAAAGAGCGCGCGTGTATGAACCAAGATCAAAACCCAGAATTGATCCACAAGATGAAACAAAGCCACACGCGCAAGGCGTAGACGTACGCATTGGGCCCAACAGAGTTGAGCTGCAAGTAAAAATGAGGCTCATCCTTTGAGGCATTCTCTGCCTTGTACGCCCGTTCCAACCACTGATCGAACAACAAAGTCTCCTCGCCGGTTGGTCGGCTAATGAGCAAAAAAAGAACAGGTCAGATAAGTCTGAATGAATGATCTGAGAGCATAGGAGACCATGACGCTGTTCTCTGATGTCGAATCAACAACGATCGTACTCGTAATCTTTGGCGCGTTTGGCGCTATTACGGTTGAAATACTACGCAACCAGCGAGGCACCCGCGGATGTGAGGTGAGGCACCACCTCCCAAATTGTACGCGCACAAAAAAGTGGCAAACAAACAGAGACGAATCAAAAAAACCGTTGCGAGATGACTGGGGAGGAGGTGGTCAACGCATGCAAATGATTGGACATACCATGAAATGATTACTCGTAGAGGTGGTGATGCGCAGCGGTGTCTTGCCAAAGCGTTGCTTCAGGTATTCATCCTTTGCCCACTTGTCCCTCGCGTCGTTGATCTCGGGCACATTGTACAACATGAAAGGTACCTCATTGATGCGCAGGGTCTCGGCACGAGCACGTTGCTTTGGATCAGAAAAGTCAAAGCGCTCGAGAGTACCCTCAGCAATGCCGGGGATATCTGGAATATCCGGCTATAATGATATCAAACCGGTCAGTGCTCTTACAAAAGCAGCAAGAAAAAATTAGACCCACATCAGATCCTGGCCGCACCTCATCAGGATTCCACTCCTCCAAAAATTTGTGCAAAGGTTGCAAGGGAGGATAGGGCAGGTAGTTGCCCTAGAATTGCGACGGCAAAGGTACCATGTGCAGGCACGGCGAACAAGTGAGGAACAAAGTGTTGTCCAAAAATGAGTTGCTTCAAAATTCACTGCAAGATTGTGTACTCAAGGCGGTAAACGACCTTGAGCTCTTCTTCGGCCGTATAGCGGGCGCTGGGCGTCTTGTCCCTGTGTCCAAAGCCCAGACCACTCAGGCCTGAAGCCAACGAATCGCGGATGAGACCAAGGGGTTGAGAGCCTATTTTCTTCTCGCTGTGCTTGCTGTCACTCCCCGCGTCGAATAGGCGGGGATTGGCGTTGGGCTTGTCATTCACAACACCCAATGGGGCAGCTTTGCGGACTTCAGTCACTTGGCGTTGGCGAAACGCCACGTAGTTTGCCTCCAATTCCTTGTACGTGTCCAGCATGTATTTGTTGGCTTTGGCTTCCATTTCTCCAGCAGCAAACTGCTCTTTCTTCTCCGTGTCGGGTTCAAAGTCGGCCGACTTACTCCGAGCCTGCGAACCGAACCGAAAAGTCAGGGTCGGCGAGCATCTAAAGCGAACAAAAGTTGTCTCGAAGGCATCAGGTTTCGGGGTCTCATTGAATACCTTGCTGTAGTGCGTGGCAAACTCGAGCATGCGCTCCTTAACCTCCTTGGAAGTGACCACGCCAAAGACGTCTCGCATGATTTTGTCGGGCACGATGGCGGGCAAAGCCTCATAATTGATCGCAACTCCTAGATGACCGGGAGCCTGAAGCAGAAACCAAAAGATACGGTGAGTGGGGTGAGCTCACGCTGAGAAGTGCACACGATAGAAAGCGTAGCACAAGGCAACTCGTGGCGTTGAACTTGCTTGTCGAATCGCTTGAACGGCATGTGCACCATAGCTGCCCAGTACGGCGGCGCAAAACTGGAGCAGCAGTGAGAGTGAGGATGTCGCTACAAAACCACATTGGGCACTGGGGGCGAGGTGCGGGGTCATACCGCGACACGGTCCTTGCGGTCACTTGCACTCAGCATCTTGAGCACCTCATCTGTGGGATGGGTGAAGCTGCGCACACAAGGCGCACGGCTTCTGCTCGCATGAAGACACGTGCACGCATGCGCGCCCGAAGACACCCATAGACGCATGGTGCATGCGCCATCGAACCGAAAAAAAAAATAAAATAAAATAAAATAAAATAAACATTACAATCCATAAAAAAACAAAAGGCGTGCAAGAGTGAGCCGCTTGGTGGAAAAGCGGTGCGGGTCAATGAGTTATGGAACCAAGCTACGCACGTGCTGCCGAGCTGGAATTGCGACGCCAAGATCTCAGCGGGCTTGCGGTACACGTAGATAAAGGGGGTATCAGGAAAAGCCTCACGATACAGGTCCATCATGGTGGATTGGACCGATTGGAATTTGAAGAACAGCCGGGAGTGTCGGCGACTGTTACCCATGGCTGTGACGGTGAGACGAAGAAGCTCGATCTGGCGAGCGCGCGTGCAGGCGTCGCAATGCAGAGCAATCGTCGCAGGCGGGGCACTCTCGGCATAGACCAAGTTGGCAGGATCGGCAGCAAGCATGTTGGAGACGAGCGTGGATCCCACACGTGACTGATGAAATACAAAGCCAGTGGGCACAACCTTGCTGTTGCCAAATTGTGCACGCACGGCGCTCCAGGTGGTGGTCATGCGCTTTTTGCAAGTACGGACCCAATCCTTGAACATGGGCGTGGTCCAGGGCTCTTTGCTGTGGATGTCAAAGTCAAGCTGGCAAAAGATCAGGGGCGCGCTCTCTGAGGCTCCGATCGAGATGGGCACAAACCCATCGGGCACAAAGGAGTCCTTGGTTGAACTCGAAACGGACTGTGCCTGACGCTGGCGGTGATTCGAGCCAGACTCTGCCTCGGCACGGGTCTCGGCCTTGATCTCGGCCTCGGCCGTGGAGTTTGTGGAGGTAAACGCCATCACCACCAGAACAACAGCCACCAGGCCTGCCATCAGCAGAATGCGCTGGAATGCCATGGCACAAATCAGGGCGCTCGAATGAGTTCTGCAGCGCCAACCGAGGGCATGCCTCACCAGACAGCCTTCGACCAGCACGCAAACCGCGCTGGCAACCTTCAACATGATGAAGCAATCGACTCACCGCGAGGCGTGGATGCATGGTTTGGGTTCTAAAAGGTGGCACAGCATCAACCATGTCGCAAGCAGCATCAATGAGGCCAGTGTGGGGCGGCGGGCAGGGCGCTCCGACTCGACTCGGGCAAGCGTCGTGTTGGCTTTTGGCACATCATCCGGTATTGGCAGGCACATACCCCGTCGACATAAATCCACTTGCTACGCACTTGCTTCAGCTGCGTTGGGCAGCCGTACTATACGGGCTGCTGCACCCAACTTTAAGACCAGTGACGAATCAAGATCAAACAGCCGTCCGCGCCCCAGACTGCCAAAAACCGCGCGCGCGAGGTCCTCGCGTCAAATACAAGGTTGTGTGTGTCAAACATTACTTGGGTATTGATGCAACCACGTCCAATGGCACGAGAGAAATCAAAGGGCGTGAATTGTCAGATTTTATCCTCTTGGGATTTGTTTTGGACAAGATTAAATTTTGTCGTTTGGTTTGTTGCTGTTCGTATTATTGTCAATCGTCCAAAAGGACACGCTCGTCATCACAAAACTCAAGACCATCAAATAAGCACACGCGACAGGAGTTTACAGTTACATGCTAGTCATGGATTGATCCGGCAAGATGTCTGAGGATCAAAAGGTCATGTGAGAAAGGCATGTGCCGAGGCCAGGAAGCCTGTGGTATCTGCAACATGACACGGAGACAACTTACGATTCTGTAGCGCCTCGACCATTGCCATGGCTTGGGCCAACGCCGTTGTCAGCTGATCCACCTGGAAGGCAAGTAAGCAACAAGCCCCGTGGTGTCAATCTGACTAGCAATGTCATGTGGCCGGCTCGTGGACCGTGCTCGGATGACAGCAATCACCAAAACATAGTTGAAAAAAAATTGAAAAAAAAAAAAAAACTCACCTTGGCTTCAAGAGTGGAGGTACGCGCCCCCAGCTTGATCACAACCTTGGCCAACGACTTGTTAAGGCGCATGAGGGTGCCGTTCTCGTCCATTGGATCTGTTGTCGACGTGCCCAGGGTGCCATTGAGACGCATGCCGTTGTTGCGCTGAATTTGCTCCAGCGCTTGCAGCTGCAGCTTCTGGGAGGCGAACAAAGCGGCACTGCGCTCTGCTTTTTCGCGTGCCACGCGTGCCTCTTCCTCGGCTTGCATGGCCTCGACACTCTATGAGCGGGAAAGTGACAATGAGCCAGATTGCTGTTGGTGGCACTGGTGGCAAAGCGGCAGCGGGAATGACAACATGCGAGCCCCGCACCACCCGACATTTTTCGCTGTTGGGTAGCCCGACAACTCCTCTACGTACCAGTGTGACCTGACCGCGGCTGGCCGCCAGATCATACACCTCATTGCCATATGCCTCTGGTGCCGTGGATCCAACGGGATTTAGAGCAGACCTATTGAAACGAAGATCACAGGTTTATGCTACGTCAGCCAGCAAAAAATAGAGCCATAACCCACTCGCAACTTTTCTTTTCTTTTCTTTTTTTCTGTGACGTTCGGGGTTCATAGGTGTCCACGATAGAAATAATGATGATTCTGGCATCTTACATAGGAGCGACATCCAGGTCGTGGTGCCCTGCAACCGGCTGTGCCAAGGCAGTAATGGAAGGCATGTTGTTTTGTTGCATGGATGCAGCCGTATTGCTCCCCGTTTTCACCGGGGTTGAATGGGGAGGATGAAGGGCGACGGGAGCAGGCATGGCAGCTGAAGACTGGGCTTGCGACACCGCTGGCGCTGATGTAGCAGCGGTGGCTGTCACTGGAACTGGTGGCGATTGTTGTGGGGCTGGGGCTGGGGTTGTGTTGACTGCAGGCGTGGGAACAGGGGTAGGTGTGGTAGTTGCGACTTGGGCCGCAGGGGCTGTGGAGGCTGCAGGGGCCGCAGGTGCTGCCGGGGCCGCAGGGGCCGCTGGGGCTACAGGGGCTACAGGGGCTACAGGGGCTACAGGGGCCGCTGAAGCTGCCGGAGTTGCAGGGGCTGCCGGAGCTGCTGAGGCTGCAGGGGCTGCAGGGGCTGCCGGAGCTGCTGAGGCTGCAGGGGCTGCAGGGGCCGTTTCTAAAACGCAAAGAGGCACAAGAGGCCAAGTGCATGGTGATGATTGACATGAGGACCGAAGAATGGCGCGGTTGAACCCAATCGTCAATGCAAGACGGTTGTAAGTTCAAAGGTGACCATGAGAGCGTACCGGCCTCGGGAGCGACGATGGCGCCATCGCGAGTGACGCCCTCAACCAATGGCACGGGCCAACCAGGAATGGGAGGTTTGGAAAGGAAGAGAACGAGATCCCGGAGTGTGGATACGTCGCCGTACTTTTTCTTGTTGACCGTCAACTTGTTTTCAGCGTTTGTGGCCACTAGGTGATGTGTAGGCTTTCCGCGGAACACAACACCCATCACGTACTCGGAAGTACCAGGGCGGTCGCGCACCAAGAATCGACCATCCTTGGAGCCAGGTCCCATGAGCAAGTCTAAAGGCGCGGAGAAGAAAAGGGATGCGGCATGAACCAGGGTTGTCATGCACTGTTACACATTGCTACGATGGTTGAAACATCAAGTGCATTCAGATCAGCATTCCGCCGCAGGGGAAGGAAGAGATGTCACCCACCATCAGCAGTTTCGCGCGACACTGCGCCAACTTGCCATGGCATGGCCATGGCAATGGTCTTGTAGAGACAAACGGGCCGGAAAAAAAAGAAAAAAAAGAGGCGGGAACGTAGTGCGCCTTGACCTAGCCTGTAAAGGAGGTGGAGGCCATCGGCATGAGCGAGGTGGCATCTGGATTGACTGGCAGGACTTAAGAAGGGCGAGTGCGCGCGCTCCTTGGCGGCGGGGTGTTCGGTCGTACCAATGGCTTTGAAGATCGAGGTGCGGGCGTCGAGAACGCACCAACCGGTCGCGGTGATGAACGCTTGCCTCGATGGCTTGCACAGGATCGTTGTGTTTCCAGACAAGACTGACTGCCAGCTAAGTGGGTTCTCGACATGCAGAGCTGAAACGACGCAGGAAATGAGAGAGGGTTGCAAACACCGGACGTGACGCGATGTTGGTGTTGTGGGCGTTGCTTGACCGGCTCAAAAGGCTTCGGGCTACCATATGACAGTGTTCTTACCTCTTTTACCCTATTCGTCTTTGTGAAAAACTGAAACCAAGCCCCTCTTGCTTCCAAAAGACTGGCTTTCAAGCAAGAACTCGCCGTTGTCAGATTGTCAGATTCCATGGTCTTGATTTCGTCTGACAAACCTAAGCAAAGCCGTAGGGTCGTTTCGTGCGGTTTCGTCACGGTTCCAGCTGGCCCCAACCCGCCCCCTCTGTTCCCGATGCTACAGTGTTTTGGCCTTCAAGCCCGCTTTGACCTCTGACATTCCAAAAGGAGGAGAGAACGACAATCACAACAAGTTCAGTGTGTGTGGGTGTGTGTGTGTGTGTCAGTCAAGGAGCTGTTGCTGCTGCTTTTCTCTCTCTCTCTCTCTCTCTCTCTCTCTCTCTTTCTCTCTCTCTCTCTCTCTCTCTCACTCTGTGTGGACGGCTCGGCTCGGCTCGGCTGTTGGCGACTTGACTTGGCTTGGTGGCTCGGTTTTTGTGGCATCAGCTTCAGTTGGGGCCGTGGCGCGTTAGGGGTTTGTTTGTTGTGGTGGTGGGGATCAGGACTGGGTTCTGCAGGTGCGGGTGCCCAGCCCCCCAGCCTGCGATTGCCCCACTTGGCTTGACTCGGTATCGACTGTAGAACATCATTGTCTGCCCTCCTCAAGTCTTGACTGATCGAAAGCAAGCCAGTAGCCCTTCAAAGGCTTGTCACTGCCATCATGGATGACGATGAGCGATTGCAGATCTGGCTCTCCCGCCACATCTCCCGCCAGGATGCCGAGACTGCGCTGAAGGGGCACCCTGATGGCACCTACCTCATTCGAGCGTCTGTCTCAGCTCCCGGCGACTACGTTCTCTGTGTCGTTTGCCATGGACAGATTCAGCATCACCAGGTATGTGTGGGTTACGGGCCCAGGCCGCCTTTGTGGCTTTGCATCTTCAATCAGTCTGTAATCGCAGCTCGCCACGAACCCCCCCCTCCACACACACACACACACACACACACACACACACACACACACACACACACACACACACACACACACACACACACACACACGCACACACACACACACACACACACGCACGCACGAACGCAGCTGTTCAAGAGCTCACACGTGCCTGCTCACCTTCCTCTGCCCCGCTTCTCGAAAGATCAAACACAACAACGGACGAATGCTCACACGCAGTGGACGAGAGCTGCAAAACCTTTCAGAGCTGCTGCGTCACTACAAAACTACCCTGGATGGCTTGGAGGTTCTCCTGCGTGAGGGCACCTCGTATTTTGATCCCCCGAGCAGCGCCCCCAAAGGCTACGTGAACCTTGTTCACCAAGCCACCGTGGATCACGACTATGAAAACACCAAGGACCTCTCCCCGACCCTCATCAACAAGATGAAGGCAGCTGCCGTTCGCGACTCCACTCGCCGACCAGCCCCCGTGCCACAGGACGGCGCAGGGCCCAACGAAGATGTCCTTCCGACTCCCAAGGGCTACGTCAACCTCAAAAAGGGTGAAACGGGCGCCGATGTCGTGCCCACACCCGCCGGTGATGGCATACCCGATCTTGTTGAATTTGAGATTCCTCAGGAACGTTTGCAGATCATGTCAGAGCTCGGCAGTGGCCATTACGGCCAGGTCTTTGAAGCCTGGCTCATGCCAGACCCTGATGACTTTAAAGCTCAACGCAAGAAAGGCAAGCTGGTTGCGGTCAAATCTCTCAAGGCACACGGCAACGATGGCGCTGTGCGCGCCTTCCTTGGCGAAGCTCGCACCCTGTCTCAGTTCAGTCACCCAAATGTTTTGGGCCTCCTCGGCGTGGTCACTCGCTCCAAACCCTGGCACATGATCACCGAACATATCCCCTACGGGGATGTCCGCTCCGTCCTCAAGGCGTGTCGCAGTGCAAGCACGGCTGTACACGCCCATGAACAAGTGTACATGGCTGCTCAGGTTCGGCCCATGCTTCGCCCCTGATCTCTGCCGCCCTTGTCCGCATGCACATGCCTCGCTTCCCCCTCTCTTGTCTTTCACTCTCAGTCGTCTGGTGTCATGCCTTGGCACTGCCTGGAAATCCATTAGGCAGCTGCAGGCATGGAATATCTGGCCTCGCTCGGCTTTGTTCATCGGTATGACGTGTTGCTTTGGCGTGGACCTGACATTCGAAACCCACGAGGCTTCTCACCTTGTTGTACGTGGCCTCTTGCAGTGATCTCGCTGCTCGCAATATTCTCCTTGGCCGATATTGCCATATCAAGCTGGCCGATTTTGGCCTCTCCCGCGCCCTGGACACGGAATCCCAGTACTATGTTGTCCAGTCTCGCAGCCTCCTGCCCTTTCGATGGATGAGCATTGAAGCTCTTAAAGAAGGCAAATTCACAACACAATCTGATGTTTGGGTTCGTACAAACCTCGCACGGCACACACACACACCTCCCCTGGCTTTCCTCACTCGCTGCCCGTCTCCTCACCTGGCGCACAAAATTGCACACTTCAATCTTAGGCTTTTGGTGTTTTGTTGTGGGAGATCATGTCCATGGCTAAAACTCCCTGGCGCAAGAACAGCACCCAGGAGGTGAAGCAGCTGGTAAGAGTCCCGCCACCCGAACTTCAGTTCCAGACCATGCTACGTGTGACACTCCTTCATCAATCGTGCTTCCTCTTGATCTTGACCGCCCCGCACCATTTAGATTCTTGCTGGAGAACGTTTGCCTCCGCCCCGAAACTGCCCACAGACGTTGTATTCGGTGCGTGATTCACGGCAGCTCACCCCCACAGCACACTGGTCTTCCTCAAAACAGTGTTTGAAAATTGTCCGTTACCCATTCTCATCCCAAGTTACCCGCGACCACCCCCCTTTTTTGCAATATTCCCGCTGCCGGAAATACTTGCAGCTCATGACAACGTGCTGGCAACCTGCACCAGCTGCCCGGCCCACATTTGTGACGCTGCGCCGCAGCTTGGAGCAACAGGGCGAATTGCTCAACCCAGAAAAGCTGAAGCCCCGTGATATAGGCCAGTTTGCTCCACGCAGCACCTCAGGCCCTTCCGCTGCCATGCTCAAGTTTGATCCGGAGGAGCAATCGCGAGCCTCCAACCTGATTGAGGATTTGCAAATGCCCCGTGATGAGCTCATCGTCATCAATGAGCTGGGCGCCGGTGACTTTTACCAGCTTGTGCTCATGGAAATGACTTCGGGCCTTACCGGTTTGTGACTGACACAACATCCCGCTCACCTTGATACAGCAGTGCCACCATCAGCCTAGTCAACTTGGTGGCCGCAATCTCGTAGACCGTAACTTTTTCACCATTAATCTCTTTTGCTCGCCCCGTGTTGTGCCCATGCTCGAGCTCAGGCGGAGCCAAGTGCCATGTCGCTGCCAAAATGCTCAAGGACAATGCCACAGAAGCAGACCGGGAGGCGTTTGATGCTGAGGTGAACCTTCGGGCATCCGAGCTTCTGGATCATCCCAATGTCGTGGCTCTCATTGGCCTTTGCACCAAGGTACCTCCGCTTGCCCCTCTTGTACTTTTCACCCGAACGACCCATTGACGCCTACCCACTGCCTCTGCATTGAAGATGAGATGGGTCCTATTCTGGCCAACCTTTTAGCTCTAACATGCGCTTTCACTTCATCCGCGGTAGGACGAGCCCCCCTTTATGGTGATGGAGTATCTGAGCCTCGGAGACCTACAGTCATACTTGACAGCAAGCGCCCCTGCGCCGGGTCAGGTATGTCCTGCCCGTGCAAGGCGCTCCATTCCTCGCTCTTTTCATCCTCTTTGAATGGTTGCCGGTCAGAGTACCAACCCTTGAATAACCCGTGCCCTCATCATTGCGCGTGGGCATGTTCATCCATGGTTTCTCCAGCCGGCAGCACTGAGCACTTATGAGCAAACGTCCATGGCGCGCGACATTGCCGCGGGCATGAGCTATCTGGCTGAACGAGACATTGTGCACCGCGACTTGGCTGCTCGCAACTGTGTTGTCGGCCAAGGGCCAGTCGTCAAGATTTCCAACTTTGGCCTTGGCAAGACACTTCGTGGTGGTGACTACTACTCCTCCTCTTCGGGTGTCATGCCTGTTCGATGGATGGCTCCCGAGGCCGTTTGCTTTGGAAAGCATTCGTGTGCGTCCGATGTCTGGAGCTTTGGCATTGTCTTGGCGGAAATTTTTACTTTTGGTGAAAAGCCCTTTGCCCATATGACAGATCTTGAGGTACGCCCCTGAAACGCCCGCTTGACCGGGACACGGGACTAGTGGGTGTGGTGATCAGCCAGCGAATGCAGTCGGTGCCTCCGCTTGTGCCGACTCAAGTCTGGACTGGGTATGTTTTACTCATTGACTCCGCTGGACTCTAGATTTGCAATGCGTATGCCTCCGGAGGCATGTCTGCGCTGCCTGTTCCGCCATCGGCTCCCGATGTAATCGTGCACTGCATGCAGGAGTGTCTCAAGGTTCGCGTCTTGATCCAATCAGACCTGGCACGCACGGCTTGATTGCCGCTTACTATAAAGATGCAAGGTGAATCAGGCTGCTATTGGACCTTGACCTTTTGCGTGGACTGTGCTAGGGCGAACCCAAGGAGCGTGTCTCTTTTGAGCAACTGCAAGAAATGCTTGATGAGGAACTTTCAGAGGAGAATGTGGACGTTGATGAAGAGCCCATGCCCTTGGTGGACGACATTGATTGGGTCTCGGGTATCGGCGAAGTCAGTGTCACCTCACTGAAGTCCTATCTAGCGACCCTTGTGACTGCCATGTGTGCCCATCAAGCCAGCTCATGCCCTCGCCCCTGTTTCCATGGCCACCCTTAGTTTGTACATACGGGGTGGATGATCAAGCAGGGCTCTGGCCAAGGCGCTTTTAGCCGCTCGTCATGGAAGCGTCGCTGGTAGGTCATTCCGTGAGAGCTGTTTGTGGACAGTCTTATCTGCCGTTTGCTCACGGCCATGATACCCCTTGAATGCCGTGCAGGTTTGCTTTGCGCGATAACGGAACCTTGTCTTATCACAAGGCTGAGCGGCCCGATGCCAAACCGCTTGGGACCATCGCCCTGGGGGATACCATCAAGGTCCAGCCTTGCTCGCATATCTTGAAGGCCCTTCGACTTTTTTTTCCCCCCCCCTTTTTATCCCCCCGCCCCCTTTTGTTGATACCAAAATATTTGGTGTGCGAATCGCAGGTGCATCCACGTCCTCCGTTCGAGCTGACCTTTGCCCAAAAATCATGTTTTTCCATGGTTACCCCGGGCCGAGTCTACAACTTTGTGTGGTGCGTCGAGTGATAGCGCTTTGGGCGGTTCAGAGAAGTTGGAACGATGACCGCCCTGCTCATCATATGCTCGTTGTCGTTTGCTGTTCCAGTGATAGCGATGGTGAGCGCGATGTTTGGATTAGACTCCTCAAGGCCGCCATCGACGCCCTACACTCCTAGAACATGCCTGTTTTGTTGTGAAGGGAGCCATGTGGCATGCGCGATGTCAAGGCTTTTCCACGCCTGCGTTCAAGCTGGTGTATCCATGCATATCAGTACTGGCGTTGATATGCTGCGCTTTGTTTTCTCGCTGATACCTTGCCGTTCCTGTACTTCACGTTTTTTACGTTCTTTTTTTTTTTTTTTTTTTTCTGAGTCGTTCCTCTTGTTGCACGGTCTTGACATTTCTGTGCGAGAACGAATGTGTTTGCCTTTGCTTTCTACTTTTTCGATTGATTCCATAAAGTTGCTCACACAATACGCACGAGACGCGCGTGCGCATACTTCTTTTGATTTGCTTTTTACATAATTGATCTTTGCTTACAAGATTTCTATTTTACATGCTTGGTCGCTCGCGTTGGGAGCCCGGCAAGCATTGCAGCTGACAAGTTTGTGAAGGAGGTTCAAGGCAGAAAGCCGTCCGTATAAGAGCCGGCTGAATTATCGATTCAGCGCACACCCTGTACTCAAGACGCAAACATACCTTTGTGCTGTTCTCAAACTTGTTCTTTCCGCTGCCGGTAGTCGACAGTTGTGGTCAAGGGCGTCAAGTCTTCTGCCTCCGACTCCTCGGCCTCCGAATCGGTATCACTATCGGAGTGGCTATCGACAAGCCCGTGCGCAGTGTCGCTGACGTGTGCCAGGTCCTTGCGTGTGATGATACCCACCACGGATGAGTCGCGCCTGTGTGTGGTGGTTGTCAAGGGTGAATGCATACCACTTTATCGCCACGACAGCGCTGAGTAAAAAGCGACTATGTTGCCTCACGCACCGAGAAAGTACCACCAGATGACGCAGACCCATGGTTCGAAACAGGCTGAAAACGCGGGGTAATCGTGTCTCCTCCCATACTGTATATGGGCATGGCGAGACATACGGTAGGAAATTCTGTACATCCAGTACGCCATGAGGTACAAGAGTGATCCAAGCATACTTTGTGGGCCTCAACGGTGCTCACATTTGGTTCGTCAAGATCAAAGCACGTACCATGAAGCAAGCGAGATCAGCTTCGTCCAAAAGAAGACGTAGCTTGTGGACCGTGACGGTTCGGGCATAGTGATCCACAAAGTCGTCCTCGCTCAGCTCCCGATTCACCAAGACCTCGCCATCATGCTTTGGCCCATAGATGCTGTCGTTATTCGTATGCATGTGCCAGGTTAGAAGCAGGGTTGCCAGATCACGCTCCCAAACTTGGGCTAGATAGGAGCAGGGGGATCTACATACTGCTCGGCCAGCATAAGGGTAATGTGTGATCGCAAGATAACTCCACAAAACTCATTGTCCTAGGGCCGTCATGGTCATGTTGTGAGGAAGTAACGATCAAGGGCTGTCAAGCCAACTAGATCTGGCTTTGTCCGCAACATATCAACAAAATGTGTGGCTGGGGAGGGCAGCAGTAGCTTGGAAAAAACTGACCTGGTCCTTGCGCTGTGAGACCTGAACGACAGGAAAGGCTTGATGGCTAAGCAAAAAGTGAAATTCGACCCAGAACAAGACACATGCATCATTTGTACATCGATCAGCTGGGAGGGAGTGCAGTTGAGGATCTTTCCTTTGGGCCATTACGTACTGGCATGACGAGAGTAAGTCTAGAACGTCTCCGACGCGCTCGACGGGCATCAAGCTCTTGGGACGCTTGGCCATCACATGTTTGGCCTTGAACTGTCGCATAAACTGCACAACACCGAGAAACGCTGATCAACGAGAATGGGCTAATCTTATTGGTTAAAAGCCTCCATGTCTTCCAGACACACTAACCACGGAAGGTTCCCACCCCAAGAGTGGGATGTGCTTGAGTTCAATGTGAATATCGTAGAGACCTTCGTTGAAGAGGTCACCCATCTACCGTTGCAGCATTCGCTTCAGTGAAGACGTGATGAAGTGGACATCAGCCAAGCGACAATGGACGGTACTACGTACAAACTTGGCGGCCATCAGCGTGACCATGAGTGGAAGGCCGAGAGTGATCTCATCCGTACTTTCAATCAGAATGACGGTCAGGCTGATGGTCATGCTATGAATGTGGCCACCACGAACAATAAGATGACACAACGGGAAGCTTTGAGGGTTACACAGGAGCCAGATGAGGTTGACTGTGCTCACTGACCGAACGACACCGCCGAGGAAAGATGCTGCGCCAATCAGCGCATAGGTACCCAGGTTGGTGGCAGTATAATCACCCAACCACATTCGCAGCAGCGCGCCGACCAAACGCTGTGGTGCCACGGGCCGAAAGCAGATGATCATGAGAAGATGACAGGTCATGAGAAGGTTACAGGTGCCAATCTGTATCAAGTGCGCTGAAAATCATTGACTGACCCCGTACGCGGCGCCAGTGACAAGACAAGGTACGAAGAGTCCACTAGGGATGCTCACACCATATGTCCAGCAAGCAATCACCAGATACATTAGAAAAAAGCAGAAGAGGGTTTTTTCAGAGAAGGTACCATCCATGTGAAACATAGTCTACATTGCAAGAGATATTCGAGAGTCAAGAAAGGATGGCAGTGCCAAAGGTCGATGAGGTAGGGGCTCACGCCACTCCATGTCATTGTATTGTCAAAGGGGGCTGCATGGACCTGAAACCTCGGCCCCTTCTACCCCACCGCCACGCTCACCTTGATGGACACTTCTTGCGGATTGAGCGCCAGCGTGGCCATGTCATTGTACTCGTTTTCACCGCAAAAAAAGCCACGCGCATCCTTAACAAACTCCTTGTTCAAATCTTCAGCGGTCAAGGACCGACAGGTGCCTGTCCTCGATGAAGAACAATGAGATCGCGTGAGAAAAGGAGCAGAGCATGCGCCAGGTAGAGATGCCACCGGTTCGTGTTTCAGCAAGGTAACTTTTGGGTGGGCGCTTACCCATAGTCATGGCCAAAACGAAGACCAGACATGTGCCCACGGCAGAGACCAGGAGTGCTTCCGCGACGCGCTTGCCTGTAAAAGGAGCGCGCACGAGCACACGCACATGCGTAAGAGCGTGGGTAGCAGACCCAGCTTCAGTAGGGCTGGGTGGCTCCAGCGCCAGCGCTACAGGAATGGCCGAGGCTTTGACTGACCTCGCGTTTTGACGTGCTTCATGCGGTAAATTGTCAGGCGCTTGTTCATTTCGTTGAAAAGTGCGCCGAGCAGCCCGCCAACCGCACCCATGACCAAGAAAAACGCCAGGTCCACAACATTCCATAAATGGGAGCCCTCTGAATTGAACTTTCCAAAATTGACCAAGCCGGTGGCGTCCAATTGACCCCAAGCATGCAGCTGGATGCCTACGTGCACGGGGCATCCATCGCGAATGTTTTTAAGTGATGGAGTAACGAGCCAGGATTGAGGCCGTGTTGTGGAGGGTACGAGCGTTGGTCCAAGGAAGCTAGCCTACCAGAGACGAGAAGGTTGAGAATAAAAGCAGAGGACATGGAGCAAAACAGGGATTTCCAAGTCAAAGATTGGTTCCAAAACGAAGCTCCTTCTTCAAGGCTGCGGAAAAAAAGAAAGCAGAGTGTGAGCATGTGGTGCAGGAAAGCGGGCTGGTGGGAGAGCCTTGTCATCCAATGTGTCTTGAAGCAAGGATAGCGCGGTAAGTTTGAACTTGCGACGAGAGAGGGTGCCGACCTGAAGAGAACTCCCCCGATGGGCGCTCCAAAAGCAGCAGCAACGCCAGCAGCAGCACCTCCAGACACAAAGTCTCGCTTGTCGCGATCATTGCGAAAGCGGCGAAGGAAGTTGGTGCGAAGCCAGGAAAGATTGCTGCTCTGCCCTTGTGTTAAGCCAGCGCCCACAATGGCGCCGCTGTGAATCATTGGGCCTAGAGAAATCGAATTCCACAACAAGCCAATGGGCAAGCGTCGATAATATGAGTTTTGAAGAGCCACCTGATGCCAAATTCCTATCTGAAGGACAGGTCGCTCAAAAGTGCCGGCGTTGGGTGCCCGGCTTCCAACCGAGTGCAGAAGAAATTGTTGCGCACCTTCCTTGCCAACAAACATGCCACCGCTCACGCTGAAGAGCACACCAACAGCTTTTGCGACCATAGTGAGTAAGTCCGTAACGCCTGGAAGCTAGAGACGAGGGTCCAGAGCCGAGATGGAGCGGGCGGTCAAGTAGGGCGAAGCAAAGAGAGCGGCATGGCGATTGTAGGACGAGACAAGAGTGAGGCTTTTTCTTATCGAAGCGTTTGGCGACCAACCTTGATGCCATTGAGATAACACTTTATCTCTGGAATTCCCGAACCAGCCGCCACGGGCTAAGAATCAAAAGTGGTCAGTGGTACAGAGAGGGGGATGAGCGAGCCAGGGGATGTGGAGTTTGAGGGCAGTTGAGGAGCTGATGCGCCATTGGGACAACGGGCGACAACATACCGCCAACGCTGTGAGGCTGGTGGCAATCAGGACGAATCCGCAGTTGAAGCAGAGAAAGTAGACCAAGGACAACGCGAGGCACCCATGTTCTTGACACTCATTGACAGACTTGACCAAATAGTCAAATTTGACCTGTAGTAGTACGCAGCCAATGGGCATTGAGCGAGTGGACGAAAACTCGAGCTTGCAGACGGGCCTTTGTGATAAATGCGGGTTTCAAAGGCACCCACTTTCATGAGTTGCTTGACAAAAAAGTCGATGAAAAACGCCACACAGGCCGTGACAACGCCCACGAAAAAGAAGAGTATCCAGGACATGAGTTGGTGAGTACGCTCTTCGCTTTCGCGCTTCTGCAAAGAGCGGGGCAATGATGGATGGGTTGCAGAACTGAGGACAGAGAAGGGAGCATGGCAGAGCGTGCGCTTCGAGGCTCGAGGCGGTGAAGCCAAAAGCAGAGGATAGGAATCACTCACTTTGATGGATTGCACTTTGAAGGCTTGCTGTTGGTCCCAAAGCTTGTTCTCGATCACGTCGTAGTTGAGGCTCTGTGTTCAACGTTGAAGCGTGTGCGGTAGCGTGACGAGCCAAGGAATAAGCAAGTGCATGGTACGAAGTGTGGATAGCCAGCATAAAGATGGACCGTTGCATCGGTGTAAGGAAAGCTGGGGGTACAAGGCTGACCTCATAGGTGTCGGCGAGCCGGGTGCGGGGCCGGGCTGCCACGATGGTGGGATCCAAGAGCACATCATCGTCCTCATGCTGATTGATGGAGGAGGCGCTGGCATAACGCACCCGGTGGCGCCGTTCCATGGTGCATGTGGCTTGATCGAGCCGTGAACAACAAGCTAGAGCCGTGTGGCTTTGAGGTGGCGCAGACGGATGAGCTGATGCGAAGCCACATGACGGGGCACAAGCGGCCGTCAAGAGGGCATTCCAAAAGTGGGACAAGCCCAATTAACCAACCAATGCACAAAAAGGAGCAGCTACTGGTCGGCATCCATGCCCAAGCCCGGCTCACCACAAGGTGTCTAATACATAAGCACCAAACAAACCCCATGACTACATCGCAACACTCCACGGTCCCAGCTTCCCCCCTCCCTCAGCCCGACCCCCTCTGCCAAAGGTTCCCGCCACACACACACACACACACCACCGATCGGACAAGACGAAGAAAACATCAACAGATGCGAGCTAATTGTCAGATAAAGATACGAAGACAGTGAGATAACTTTGATGTTGCATCATCTCACTGCTTTCGTCAATTTGGCATTAAGAAAAAAAAAAAAAAAAAAATTGTTCTGTTTTGTTGTTGCTGAGGAAAATTCCGTTGAGAGACTCACCCGGTTTTTTTTTTTTTTTTTTAACATGTAAATTTTTTTTGAAGGGAGCGGGGGATTGATTGAAACAACGACCGACGAACGGTGAGTGGTGATCGTGATGCGTGGGGGTCATTGAGGTTGTGGCAGCGGGTTGGGCTGGGTGTGCATGTGAGAGATTGTTCTATAAACGTGGCATCCTGTTGAGATGGTATGGAATGTGCCTGCTTCTCATCATTGACTTGTTGCACAGGCTCGAGGTCATTCAAGCTGCTGCTTTGTTGCGCCAGCACGGCAAACGATAGCCTCGCCTGCTCAAGCAGCTCTTGAGACCAAGCCACCATGTCGTCATTGCCGCCGCTGTACACTCACCGGCGCCCGGGCGCGCCCGTGCTTCCTGCACCAGTCGCCAAGGAGCCAGGTGCTGGCTCCAAAAAAGCCGCGACCCCGCGAATGCTTGAGGGCCCGCAGCGTTATAGCTTTGATGCCATGCTCGCTCTCCAAAAGCTCCATACCCAACCCTTGCCCGAGTTTGAACAACATCCAATCTATGAAGAACTCAGGTGAGCTTCACTACCCGTGTGGCAACAAATTTAGCTCAAAACATACATCGAGCGGTAGTGGGCTACGGGAAGTGCGCACACCAGTGTTCTATGCTCATCGGTGGGATTGGCGTGTTGCATAAACGACATCCTTATAGGCATCACGGTACGTTCCGGGATCTTGTTCCAGCAGTCTACAAGGCTCCGCCTCAGCATTCATCCCCACGCCAGCCGAATCGACGCAATGGCCCATCGCGGAATGGCCAAGGTGAGAGAGAACCTCCGCTGCAAGTGTTTGTAGCTTGAGCTTCTTGACTTTCAGACTTTGAGGCAGATTGCTGAAGTCAACTAGAGTTGGATGTGGCCTGTCTGATTTATCGATCCCATGTGATTCAACGCTTACAGGCTCGGGGGGCGCCAATGACGTCCCTTTTGTACGTGCACCGCGCTCAGCCGACGACCTTCGTGCGTACCGTCCGCGCCAGAGACTGAGCCTACCGTCTCGGCCTTGTCATGCATTTGTTTTCTCGTGCCCATGATGGTGGCTGTGGATTCTCAATCAAACCGTTTTTTGCGCATGACTGATATTGGCTTATTCAGGACGTCCGATCCGACGCGAGGCTGGGCCCCCCTTACGCTCATCGGGTAACTCGGGCACCGCTCGTGGCTCGGGCAGCGCCACGGCACAAACACGCCACCATCGCCCAGCTTGGGATGACGGTATGTCTTTGACTACGACTTGCTTTGTTTCTGCTGGCATCGAGATTTTAACTGCGCCTGTTTTGCAAACTAGACGAAGTGGATGCGGATAGTCAATTTGAGTTTCGTGGCTTTGACGGGCGCGCCACCTCCTCGACGTCATCCGTGCCAGCTACCGCAACGGGCCCCTCCGCTCCTCCTCCAGGTCTGAAGGTGCCAGGGGTGTCGACCAGTGATGTACCCACACCTGCAGTTCCTTCGAGTCCTACCCCGCTGACGCACTCCATGCCGGCGACTCCGGCCACGGGCGGCAAATCTCGCCTCAGCGCCTACCTCAACAACACCGAGACCGAGTCACCGGGTGCGCTGGACTCGGCCCCAGTTCCAACTGCCTCGGCATCGTCTTCGGGCAGCAGCTCGCGCTTTTTACGATTTTTCCAGCAGCAACCAAACGGCCAAACGGCTACCCAAGCAGAGAATCCGCCCCCCGACGCAGGAGGAGACGCCTCCCAGCGCCTCAAGAGCCTCTTCTTGAATCCCAAAGCCAATGGCCCAGCCAGCACCCCTGCTGCTGCTGCTACAACACCCGCCAAGCCAGCTGCGGCCGTGGCCGCAACGGTCCCTGCAGCCACACCCAAGAGCACACAGCCACCCAACCCCAAGCCTCAACCTGCAGCTGTATCGCAGCGCGCTCCTAACATCATCCCAGCCAATGCCACCCCAACCCCCAATGCCATGGCTCCGGCCAGCAATGCCACTGCATCTGCGGCTGCCAAGGCGCAAGCCTTGGCCACCGGCGCTGACTCGGCTGCGCCGACGGCTGGCTCACATCAAAATCGTCTGCTCAGCATGTTGCAAAATGCCAAACGTGTTCCCGCTCCTCAGACCAGTGGTGCATCAATAGGATCAAGCACCCCATCGCAGCCCATACCCACGCCACCCCAGGTACCTGGCAGCGGGCGTGGCAGCGCGTGGCCCGGTTCAGCGGGCCTGCCTCTGGGTCCCGATGGTCGGCCGTTGGCGCAGCATCCCGGCCAGTCAATGGGGCCAGGCCCTGTTCAGCACCAACCTCCACCATCTCAGTACCAACAGCCCCGGCCCCATCCCCAGTCACCCTCACCCTCGCCATCGCAGGCCTATCAGCAACAGCAGCGACACCTGCAGCAAGCACACTTTGCGCGTCTGCTCGGTAGCATGCGCTCAGACAATACTCCGCCTTCCAACGTAGGGCCGCCCGTGATGGGTCCAGGTGGACCGGGCGTGCCCATGATGCATGCACCACAGGGTGCAGCGCTCGAGAACCCCATTGGTCAGCCTGGTCCGCCCTCCAGCGGCGCAGCTGCGGGCTCTTTCCTGCCCACCTCAGTCATGTTGTACGTCGCGTCGTCGGGGTCTGCATTCCTTGCCTGACACGAAGCGTTGACCTTGTCTCACCCGGACCCTGCTGCTGGTTTTTGTTTTCTTGGCTCTGTGTGTGCGTCTTCTTTTCCTTCTTCTTCCTTTCACTTAGGCGCCTGAACCAGCAACATCCTTGAGGGGCACAAAAGCATTTTTGCCCTTGTTAACAATTTCCCGCACCCACCTCGCATGCCTCACTCCCCATTGCACCCGAGTTCCTCGCGCTTGACTATCCGCATCAGTGAACTTCATGACTGCCACGCGACACCAAAATTGACTGATGAAGAGTAAAGACCAATATTTAAAAAAAAAAAAAAGAGAGAGACAGAGAGAGAAGGGCTGTCAAGGAAAAACCCCCTTGTTTTGCTTTGAGCACCTGAACATCAATATTCAGCTAAACACGTACAAGTCGTTACGTTTGCTCCAGCATGAGAACTGCAAGAACTTCACCGATATCTTCATAAAGTCCTGACACCCCCAGTTTATGTCCGCGAGCAGCAGGAAATTGCTTTTTTTTTCGCTTTGCTCTCTCTCTGTGTCGCAGGCATCGTCGACTCTTCGACCGACCCGGCCGTCTCTTCTCTCTGGCTTGCCGCACACCAACACAGGGTGGGCTGATCAGTCAAGGCTTCTTCTCTCTTCAACCCTCGTGCGGTAGGTCGTCCCAGACCGCCTGCCTTTGGAATCTTGTGGAATGGATATGATATGAATGAGATTTGCATCAAGGTGTCGTTGTGTTGCGTGGTGTGTTGGTGGTACGCGGAAGCCGCTGCCCTCGTCTACCGCCTCGAGGAAGTGACCAAAGTCAGGGCACGCTTGAGAAAAGGCGTGGGATACCGAGGCGTCATTGTTGGAGGTCAAAAGCACACAAGCGACTCGTTGTGTGGGAGCACGCATGACCAACCGCTGGTGCTGTTGTTGGTGTTGTTGTTGTTCCCCGTCTCCTCTCCCGCCCCCCCCGCCCCCTTTGTTGATGCCCTGTTGAGCGACTCACCAACGGCATTCAACCCCCATGTGCCCACCTTTCCACCCATGCACTCGCGCAAAACGTCAGTGTCAAACGACCAACGCCATGTTTCGCATGTCTGGCAAAACATTCCGGTACGGTTTTGCTTGGCTCATGGTCATGAGGGAGCCTGGGACAGCAAGAGGAGAGTCACGTCTTCGGACACCTCGACTGGCCGTTATCCCATGGTGAACCCTATTCTCCTGGCACATGTCTATCTATCTCTATGTAACACTGTACATCTGCCCTGGCTTGCTGACTTTAGCGCGAAGAAAAACTTTAAAGAAGGCTCGCTCCGCCATGAGCTCCACAAGAAGGCCGTGGTCAGTATTTCTTGTCCCCATGTTTTGGTTTGACTGTTGGCTGGTGTTTTCGCCTACGCACGCATGAAATTGCCATGTCCCTGCCACAGAATTTCTGCGCGCTCACATGGTGCTTTTCAAACATCACTCGCCGTAGGCCACGCTCAACTCGGGCATTGACCTTCGTCAAGCCGTCAAGCTTCCTGAGGGAGAAGACATGAATGAATGGCTGGCCGTTTCCGCCGTCGAATTTTTCAACCGGTTCGGCACGCACAGTCACTTGCTCTTTAGTCATTTGTGATGCATTTCCAATGGCTGCCCTGCGCGCCTGTAGCACTCACGCCCATGGCCTTGTTGTCGCAGTGTCAACTTGGTCTACGGCGCTGTGTGTGATTTTTGCACAGAGGAAAGCTGCCCCATGATGCGAGCTGGCCCCGCGTATGAGTATCAATGGAAGGACGATACCTCGGCCGAGTACAAACGCCCCACCTACGTCAGCGCCCCCAAGGTGGGCACGGTGCCTCTGTGGTATTCCGACGCCTACCGGCCAATCGGCTTTGTTGCATGGCTCTCCTCTTACCATATCCCATCCCACTGCTGTGCTCCCATAGTACATTTCGTTGCTCATGGACTGGATTGAGCAAATCATCAGTGATGAAAGCAAATTCCCGTCCAACCCAGGTTTGTTCTTTTTGCCCCAATTCAAGCTAGCACATGTGAGTGCATCCACCTTTCGCCCTTTTTGCGAGGCATCGCATTCACCTATACATTGGATGTAAATGGACCTTCAGAGGTGCCCTTTCCCAAGGATTTCCAAAAAATCATCCAACAGATGTTTCGCCGGTACGTGCGCCCGTGCTGCACCTCAGGCGAGACAGACCACCTCTACGGAAGTTGTTGAGGTCCCTATCCCGCTCCGTCAAGCAAGCCTCATCCTCTTCTCAACCATAGATTGTTTCGTGTCTTCGCGCATGTCTACTACGAGCACTTTAACCAGCTGTCGGAGATTGGCGCGGTTCGTTGTTGGGGCACTTTTGGCGTCCTCTGTTTTTTGAAATGATCGTCCATCGTTTGTAGACTTTGTATTCGCCTTACGCCCCAGCTTGTATTTGGTTTTGCCGATGTATTAGGAGGCACATATCAACACGTGCTACAAGCACTTTTACTACTTTGCCACGGAATTCAACCTGATTCCAACCAAGGAGTTGGAGCCTCTCAAAGACCTGTCTGCAGCTCTTTGCAAGAAGTGAGCCCATTCAAAGTCAACGGTCAGCGCAAAGACCGAACTGCTCTGACTTGTCGGCTTGAACTCCCATCCTGGCATTGATTCTGGTGCCGCAAGGCTGCCAGTCCCCCGAATTTTTCTTCGCCATCCTTTTGTACAATCAAACCAGAACAGGCTCCGCTCTTGTTGCGCCATGCTGGGACTGCTTGAAAGCATGCTTGGTGCCTTGGATTGAATTCAAAATATTAGTGCGGTGTGGATGGCATCAAACCCTGCCGCTACAAGCACTCCTGTCTCTCATTGTCCTAATTGAATATGTTGGTTTTTGGTTTATTTGATTGCTTTCCCACATTGCCAAGTGTTGTCTCAACAACAAGAGCATTGGTAGAGTGTGAGCGGGAGCGGATGTGCGCTCATGGAAACGGGTTGGGTCAGAAGGTGAATAAAATTCGTGCTGGGCCATCACGATGTGACAACCTCGAATGAGTGTGGTGCCTCGTTTGTTGTCTTAAACTTGACCGGAACACAAGGTGCGGGAGGCTAGTAGGTCTCCAGCAAGGTTCGCAGACTTCGCTCCACGATGGCCATGCGCTCACGGTGACTTTCTTTCTCGAATATAGCGCTCAGTTGATCACGCGAAAATAAAGAGTCAATCACAAAATCGTACCGATCCACAACCCGTGTGGAGACGTTGGGTAATAGAATGCCACGCCAGGCCGCAGCGACATAGGAGATGGAGTCTACCAAGAGCTCCAAGTTAACCGGGGCCACTGAGGCGTTGGCCACCGCACGCCGCTCCGCTGCCAGACGACGGTCGCGCGCAAAGTGCACAAACCCCTGACAAAAATCCAGCGTTCGATCGTAGAGTGCCAGCTTATCCACACCCGGTGGAAGTGCGTTGGCGTGAACAATCACGGCGATGCGCGCGGCAATATCAAATATGTAGCCCTCCAAGCGAGATGCCAACCGATCCCCGCGCTCTACCCGTACAAAATCAACCACGGTGTGAATCAAAACCCGCGCGGCCTCGTCCAGGTAACGCTTAATAAGCAGGCGTCCCAGACGAGACGTGGCAAATGCGCTTGCCAGGGCAGAGCGCATTTTGCCCAGGCTAGAAAGTGTAGCATGGCTGTCGTCAACATCGGGCACTAAAACTATAGGCAGGCTTCGAGCCACCTCTAGCTGCTGCCACCAGGCGTCGTGCAAAGCTGCGCCACCCTCCACGGCGAGACCAAAGATCCGCCGGTCGGGCAAGCGAAAGCCAATGCCCCGACCAGAAGGCGCCTCGCAAGGCAAGAGCGTGACTCCACTGAGATGCACAAATAATCGCGGTGGATCCTCTTTCGACGCCATGTGGTGATAGAGCAAACTGCCCTGGACCAGAACAAAATAACGCCGCTTCCAGGGGCGCTCGTCACCGTTGCGCCGACATTTCTTCAGCAGATAGCCCTCCATGGTAGCGGCTGGTAGCTCTGATGGTGCGGTGATGCTAGCTGGACTGGGCGGCCGAATCACCTCGTCGCCCTCCACCCCACCCTCGTCACCATCTTCATCCTCTTCATCATCGTGGTGAGATCGGCCATCTTGAGACTCGTGCAAACCAGCCTGCGTGTCGTCGCCAACAGGATCCTGCTTTGAGGTGGCGGCAGATGGGCCCGCCACCGCTGTGGCAGACTCGAGTGTCATTTGGCCCAACTGCTCATTGACCGCACTGGCCACCTCTATCTCCTGCTCAGCTGCAGCAGCCATGGTGGGTGAACAGCGGGGTTGTGCGAGAAGAGGGCTGGTACAAGGACTCGCGGTGGTGTTCAGCGAGGGCAGCGACAGCAAGGGAAAGTTCACCAAGGCTGACGCGCCTCGTACCGTTGGATCTGCGCTGAATATCCTGCTCGCGTAACAACCCCCATGGCCTGCTGCCGTCAGCGCAGGCGAGTAACATTGACCTCCACTCTCTCGCGTCAGCCGGCGTGTGTGTGTGTGTGTGTGTGTGTGTGTGTGTGTGTGTGTGTGTGTGTGTGTGTGTGTGTGTGTGTGTGTGTGTGTGTGTGTGTGTGTGTGTGTGTCTGATCCAAAAAAAATCAAAAATCAAAAATCAAAACAACAAAGGGGTTGTGCCTGTGTCATGCTCTTTTGGCAAAGTGTGGGTTCTGAGAGGAGCCAACGAAAATGCATAGCTGGATAAATTTTTAGATCATCATAACGACATGCCTTATCGACCAGGCGGCTCAGCCGCGGGAGTGATGGCAGAAGAAGCGTCACGGAAAACTCAAAATACACAAACAAAAACAAATGACGGCCTTGGATGTGTGAACCTTCCTAAAAAAATAAAAAATAAAAAACATTGAACGAAATTTTAGCGTGGGTCAAGACGCGCAGCGTCATGCCCCAACTGTGAAAGCTTGAGGAAGAGGCGCTCAACCTGCTCTTTGAGAGCTTCGTAGTAGGCCAAGGAACTGGCTGCAAAGCGCTGGGCCAGCGCTGGGTTGTGGCTGCGAACCAGCTCTTCATAGAGTGGCGCAGCTGCAGCGTCTGGCTGTTGCGCGGCCTGCTGCAGCCACTCCCGACACGTTGCCTCGATACGCGGACGTTGCAATTGCATATGCGTCCTGTCAGTGCAGCCACAAGAGTCAAGGCAAACAAACATGGGGTGAGACACAAAGAGGGTGAGACAAGAAAGTGCGCATCGCGTCATGACAAACGCATGCCAGGAAAGAGCTACGCACCGAATAACCGTGGCAAAGGCCGGATCGGGGCTTTCCAATTGCCCCAGCAGAGCGTATTTCACGGTACAGAAGCGAGCAATGTTGCAGTAGCCTGCATTGAGTCGTGTACCCCGTGACGTCCCGGATAAGTCCTCCGTACCGGGCTCGGTGAAGTAAATTTGCTCGCACAGGACCAAAGACTGTACGGACTGAAACACCTGTTGCAGCGTGCTCCGCGAAGTCCATTGCTCCGTGCTTTGGCCTTCCCAAGTACCCAAGAGGGACAGGCACACCTTTCCGTTGTTGTAGAGATTGGGTGTCAAGCGCACAGCCCCGCGACCCGTCGTCAAAAACACCATTTTGGGTGGGGCAGTCGGGTAGGTGGGAGGGCAGTAGATGTCGAATACAAAGCACCCGCTACTGAAGGGAGTACCTTGGGCACCAGTAATGAGCACCCGCATCAGATTCAAATGGTCTTCGGCCACGGAAACAAAGATAGCCGCGTCAATCGAACACCGCAGCTTGCGTAAGTCGGTCAGCTCGGAGCTCAAGCGCCGAATGCCTGAGGAGGATAAGAGATGCCGCGCGGCCTCTCCTGCAAAAGAATGATGCTCGAGTCCGCTCTCGCCCAGCTGCAGCACTAACGGTTGAAGCGCCGCCGAGTATGCAGCTGCCGCTGCGTCGGTTGATGCAGCAGCTGGCTGCGTCTGACTCGTCGGCTCAGCCACGGCGTCTAGCTCTGAAGAAGCATTGCATGCTTCGATGGCCGTATGAAAGGCAACAAAGCGCTCCAGAAGGGCGGGCATCTGCTGATCACGTTGGCCACTGATGCGCATCGATGTGCGCAAGCTCTCGATAAACTCACTCAAGTGCGCTCCAAACGCAGGAGCAAAGCGTGCCCCGTATTGCTCAACCAGGACCTTGCCCAGTGACAAGACGGCATCGTAGACTGCTGCTGATTCACCAAGGCTGGTCAAGCTACCGGCGGCCAAAAAGTCAGTCACTGCTTGCTGCGCAATTGAAATTGTCTGCTGATCCGAAAAGGGTGCCACATGGTCCACGCTCCCTACCACGAGCTTGCTCAGCAACAGCAGCAGGCTCTGTCGCGCAGCCGGCTGTACCTCGATACGGCCCGAACCGTCAGTCTGCGGCGTGTCCAAGTCCGTCGTAAAGGGCGCGACTGTTGCGCCCTGCTGCGACAGCGCTAGCGTGTTGATGAGAGCCCGGGCGCTTTTGGGCAAATAGCGGATGGTATCACCCTGTCCAGATGCCGCCTGGTTCGACAAACGCAGCTCCAGCCGCACTGACTCCGTCGCCGCTACCAACGGAAAAATGTCTGTCGCGCCGGCTAGACCGTGAAAGCCTCCCAGAATACGACCATTAACGGCAAAATATATGAGATCACCTCGCACACCGCAACCCACAACGTGGTGAGTCTGCCAAGGCTCGACAGCCGCAGCAAACACCACATGATCTCCACACGTGATGGTTGCGCGTACGGGATCAAACAAAATGTGCGCCGGCAGCGCCCCGTGCTCGCGAGGCGCTGACGAACCTAGCGCAAAACCAACGTGTGGTGCCACGGCGTTGAGCCCCAAGCCCGTCACCCCGCCCACCGATGGTCGCGCACGCGGTGCGGCTTTTGCAACGCGAGCTTCAAAGTAAAAGTCTTCTCGCAAGACAGGAGAGAGAGTTCGTCGTCCTACAGCAAACATCAGACGCTGATGTGCTGCAACATCCCGGTGGCTTGAATTGCGTAAAGGCCCTTCGGGCCCGCCCATAACGTCTGTAGCACCAGCAGTCTTATTGGACAACCACAGAGAGTCAAAGCTGAGCATGCCGTTGCTGCGCAAGACCCCGCCCACAACGCGCCAATAGCGACTATCCAGCGCGGGGGTGCGGTCAACGCTGGGCTGAGCCACCAGCAACCAACGCTGGGCGGCGTCTCGAGCAGCGAACGCGAACAGCTGTGCCCCTTGCGACCCCGTGGCACTCGTCGCGGTCGTAACAGTCATCTCCCACCCGGCGTACCAGACGCCATCTAACATACAGTTGAGTTCGAGGGCCGTCGCGGCGGGCAGAATCCGAATAGGCGTCAAACCAAAGGCTGCCCAGGCAACCGCTGCAAGGAACGGGTGGTTGAGAACACGAGGCGCCAAGTGCGAACTGCGCAGCGTGATCAAGATCCGCAGGTACAGATCACGCCACTCGGACAAGCGCAGATCCCAATCCCGGAGCCCCAGGAAACCACACAGAGAGGCTGTCACGGGCCCGCCTTGTAACACGGCTTGTAAGGCGGACACGGCCGCGTGCAAGCGATCGG